TGATTTTGCTCCCATAAAACAGGCAGAAAAATCTGTTGCCTATTTCAAACCTTTACTTTTTAAGTCAATGTTGAAAATATTCCCTCACCAGTCTACCATGGTGAATACAAAAGACCATCAACAAGCATTTACTAAGCAATTACTTGTCATATTTTTTCAATTAAAAACCATTACAAAATTAATTTTTTAAAAAATGGTTTGTTGACTTTTTAAAAAATCACTGTCGTTTCACAGTAACTCTCCCAGCCCCACAACAGAAGCCTCCTTATCAAGAAAAAAATATAGCCAAGCAGAACAAGTGGACACATTGGTTCTCTCTAACAACATATGTACCATTCTATACCTGTAGTTCACCACTTTTCCACTTGCTTCATCAAGGGTACACGGAAGTCTCTGTTATTTACTGCTTTTATCAGCAATCAGATTATTTCAATGTTCAACAAATATTAATTGTGTACCTGCTACACGCATGACCGTGTGGTAGGCTGTCAGAAGATACAAGGACAAAATAAAGTGGTCCTTGACCGCGAGGAGTTTAAAATTTAATTGAAGGGATAAGACATAGGCCAGGTAGCTAAAGTACAAGTTATAATCATATTAATTCAGATTTTATTGCTTCATGGTTTAGAAAACATGTCCTCACAACAATCCTGCCAGTGAGTTGGTGCAAATATCACAAAGACTTGGACATGACTGAAACTACTGAACAATTATACTAGAGGGTAGAGAATGGAGGCCCAGAGAAGAAATGACTTGTCCATCATTGTACAGCCACACCAAAACTCACTCTGGGTCTTTGGACTCCACATCCAAGGCTCTTTTCACTGTGTCAACATACTTGACCGTTGCCACAGAGGATTCAAACAAATTACAATAAGAAATCCAATAGCAGAGAGCTCATTTTCAGTTGGGAGGATCAGGGAAAGCTTCGTGGAGGAGGAAGCACACAGCTGAGCCTTGAAGGATAGAGAGGATTTCAAGAGGTGGATATTACGAACATTCATCATTGTACTAGACTACATAATACAATGATACCCTCAGGAATAATCGAAGCATTTTGTTGACTCCCCAAATCAGCTGGTCAGTCGACAAGCACCATGCTAAGGGCTTAGGATACAAAGAAAAGAAAAGAAAAACAAAACCCCACTAGTCACAGTCTAATGGGGGGGGCGGGGAGATAATATGTAAATAATACAGGATAAATTGGGGATAATCCGAGAGGGAAGGCAATAAGATTAAGAAGGACTAGAAACAGCTTCTTATGGAAGGTGGGATTTTCTCATAGAATGCTGGGATTTTGTCATTCTCCTTTCTGCTAATAGGATTCTTGTTTTTCTCTGCCCAGTGCTGTCAGTAAGACGACCACGATCAAAACTGAAAGAAAGGGATAGGACACGAGTAGGAGCGTCTCTACATTATTGTCAGCTCACTAGCCCAATGTCCCACCTCCCGCCAAGTTATGCCCAATTTTGCACCATGCTTAGAAAATTGGCATAACCCAGATGCTAGTTTGCTTCCATTTGGTCGTAGATCCTTCTGATCTATAAGCTTCTGTGAAAAAAATACCAGCTGAATCAGTCTACTGACAACTATCAGCTGTCACTTCTCAGCACATCCACGTATCCTACTGCCCTATTCTGTCTGAGTGAGGAATTGGAGGGTGGCTCCATCTTGCCAAGAATGTAAAGTATGCAGGCTTTTGTTAGCTATCTGCTTCTCAGAAACCTTTTATCTTCTGCTCGGGGTTGGGCACTAGGGGTAGGAGGTTGAAATTGCTGAAAAGTCTGATTCTGGATTACTAGGAGAGAGGAGAGAGATCTTTTTATGGACTGAGGATACACCATTTAAAAATTTTATATACTACATTCCAGTTTATAAAGTTTATTCTTTCAGTAGGGATTATATACTTTACAAAAGGAAGCTGCAGTGAGCCCATTAGGGAGTGAATTCTCTAATATATTTAAATAAGATTTAATTGACTAAAGTTTAATTCCTGTACAATTCTTCAAGTACTGTATAAAATGAGGTCCTCTTGACCCCCTGTAAAAAAAAGTAGCATGGCATAATGGGCAGAGAACCAAACTTGATGTCAGGAAATACTGTGTTTGAATCCCACCTCTGACATTTAATAGCTATGTGACTGTGGGCATTTAATTTCTCTCAGCTTCAGTTTCTTCATCTGTAAAATGGGTGTAATAATAGTACTTACACCAGAAGATTTTTGTGAAGATCTAATGAGATAGATAATATGTGTAAAATGCTTTGCAGACCTTAAAATACTACATAAATGTTAACTATTATGATTGTTTATGAGATTAAGATGTTACAGTAATCTATTTACCAGATTTCTCACTGAATTGAGTCCTGTGGTCCCTGGTTTGATCTTGCATGAAGGAAACAACTGCTCAATCAACATTTATGTTTTGTTTTGGGTGTTTTTGCTTTTTGGTGAGGCGATTGGGGTTAAGTGACTTGCCCAAGATCACACAGCTAGTAAATGTTAAATGTCTGAGGCTGGATTTGAACTCAGGTCCTTCTGACTCCAAGGCCAGAGCTCTATTCACTGTCCCGCCTAGCTGCCCCTCAATCATCCTTTATTAAGCACCTACTATGTACCAGGCACTGGGGATACAAAAGAAGGCAAAAGATAGTCCCTGCCCTGAAAGAACTTACAATCTAACGGACACAGCTCCAAAGTGAACACTCATAGTAGGGCTTCAGCAGTAGAGTAAATGATGAGTGGAGAGATAGCCTAGTGGAGTGAAAAGTATTTGGACTAAAAATTAGTAAACCTGAAGTCTAGTTCTATTTCTGCTACCTACTTTCTCTGAGACATTGGAAAAGTCACTTTCCCTCTCTGGTCTTCTCAACCAATAGGGGATTGGTTATAGATGAATTCTAACATTCCTTTCAGCTCTAAAATTCTATGATTCTTTGACTCCCATGATCTTGTGTAAACCAATCAGAACAATGAGTTGGAAGTAATCTCAGAGGTTGTCTGGTTCAATGGGGAGCAGAAGTCCCTTCTACACAGGTTCATGCTGGAGTCAGCTCCTACCACCTTCCAAGAGCCAATTGTTAAATTTTCAGTGTGAGCACTGACACATCGGAATTCAGCAAATGCTACAAATTAGGGCTTGGTTTATTATTTTGTTGATTGTCTACCTAAGAAAGCAATGTAGAAAATGTTAATAATGCAGATTAAAATCCCCATCCACCTACCCAGAGAGCTGGTTGTTAAACATTTACCAACATATTCCTGCCTCTACACCATTCCTGCAAGGGGCCTTTGTTTGAAGGCCTCTAGGGATGAAGAGCTCTATCTTTAAAGGTAGCTTATTTTGCCACATTCTCTTTGATCCAATGATACTGGCCTCCGGGCTATTTTACAAATGAGACACTCCTTCTCAGCTCTGGACATTCTCTCTGGCTGTCCTCTATGCCTGGGACACTCTCCCTCCTCTGCTCCAACTACTGACCTCTTTGACTTCCTTTAAGTCCTAACCAAATGTCCACCTTCTTCAGAAAGCCTTCCCTGACCCCTCAATTCCAGTGCTTTTCCTCCTTTAATTATTTCCTATTTATCCTGTATATAGCTTTGTTTGTATATATTTGTTTGCATGTTCTCTCCCCATTAGACTGTAAGCTCCTTGAGGACAGGCTTAGCACAGTGCCTGGTGCATAGCAGGTGCTTAATAAATGTTTATTGAATTTAATTGAATTATATAGAGGTAAAATCTGCCTCTCAGTATCTTATACCAATTGATCCTCATTCTGCCTTCCAGGTCCAAGTGAAATAAAACTCATTCTTTTTCCAAAGGATAGTACTTTAAGTACTGCATGACAACCATCAGGAAGCTTTGTTGTCCCCACTAAGTCTTCTCTTTTCCGCTCTAAATATCCCTAGGTCTTTTATACAGATAGCATAATTTCCTTTTCTTTTAATTTTAAAAATAAATTTATTATTTATTTATTTTTAATATGCTTTTCTTTTTAAATTTTGAGTTCCAAATTCTCTCCCTCCCTCCTATTGCTCCCCCACCCACTGAGAAGGTAAGCAAAATGATAGCAATTATACATATGAAATCATGCAAAACATTTCCATATTAGCCAAATCACAAAACAAAAAGAAAGAAAGAAAAAGAGAAAGTGGAAAAGTTATACTTCAATTGCAGAGTTCATCAGTTTTCTCTCTGGAGGTGGATAGCATTTTTTTTTCATCATAAGTTCTTTGGAATTGTCTTGGATCATTGTATTGATCAGAGTGGCCAAGTCTTTCACAGTTGATCATCATTACAACATTGCTGTTATTGTGGACAATGACCTTCTGGTCCTTCTCACTTCACTTTGCATCAGTTCATATAGGTCTTGTCGTGTTTTTCCTGAAACTACCCACCTCATCATTTCCTATAGCATACTAACATTCCACTGCAGCTATATGTCACAACTATTCAACCATCCCGCAGCTGGTGAGCATCCCTTCAATTTCCAATTCTTTGACACTGCAAAAAGAACTGCTATAAATACTTTTGTACATGTAGGTCTTTTTCCCTTTTCTTTGATCTCTTTAGGATACAGACCTGGTAGTGGTATTGATGGATCAAAAGGTATTCACCTTTGATTGACCTCAAGGTCATGGACAATAAGAACTAGAAGAAACCTCAGAGGTCATCTAGTCCATTTTACAGATGAAAGCCCCAAATCCAGAAACGTTAATCTTCAAGGTCCCTTCAAGCTCTTACATTCTACCACTTTAATGGATGTGAAAGTTATTTGACCACGACAAAAGCACTCTACAAATTATTGTTGTCAGTGAGTCCATAAACATTTATTAAGTGCCTACTATGTTTAGGCTCTGTGTTAAATGCTGTGAAACAGATCCCAGGCTTCAGTCAGACCTGAAAAGATGACTTGTGACTTCATATCTTTTTTTTTTCAGCTGCAAAATGAGGGATTGGAAGAGTTGACTGACTTTGTGTCTGACTTTTGGCTCTTTCCAGCGGCGAGTCAGGAGCTGGGAAGACAGAAACGACCAAACTGATACTTCAATTCTTAGCCATCATTAGCGGCCAGCATTCTTCGATTGAGCAGCAGGTCCTGGAGGCCAACCCTATTTTGGAAGGTAGGTGTGTCACTAGCCCTTTTTTAAAAGGTAGGTCCCTCCTTTGACCATCCCTTTTTCAATAAGTCAATCAATCAATCAATTAAAAAGTACTGACTGATCAGTCATTGGTCAATGTGGTAGGTGCTGGGGATAAAAAGATAAAAATGAAATTGCCTCTGCCCTCACGGACCTTACATTCTGTTGTGGAGCGGGAGGAAGAAGAGAAACAACATGCAAATATGAACAAAATAAACACAAGTTAATATGGGTGAGCACAGGCAGCTGGATCAGGCTTCATGTAGAAGGCGGTAAAAATCAAGTTTTGAATGAACTGTCAGATTCTAAGAAGTGACAGCAGTGAGTAAGGACAGCATCCAGGCATGGGAGACAGTCAGGGCAAAGGCATGGAGGCAGGAGTAAAGGCATCAGGTGTGAGGAAAAGCAGATCAGTTTCATTGGACCCCAACTTAGAGCCCCTAGATTTAGAATCGCCTCACCCTCACTGTGAAGCAATGTAGTTTGCACAATGTGGTCTATTGTCCACTTATGGTCCATGAGGATTCCTCAGTAGTCCACTGTAAATATAAGATGTTATACAATGTTTGGGCAATCTTAGAAACTCCAAGGGAAAAAAAGAAAGAAATCCCAAGTGGGGATGAGGAGAGTTATTTATTCTTTACTCTGTTAGAACCTGCCAACCATATGGTTCAAGTTCATTGGGTAGATCCATTATGTTGCTTACCTTAATGCTACTTTAGATGATAATAATAACAATAGATAGCACTTACACAGTGTTTTAAGACTTACAAAGCAATTTACATATGTTAACCCAGTTGATCTTTACAACAATCCTAGGAAGTAGGTACTATTATTATCCCATGTTACAGATGAGAAAATTGAGATACAAGTTAAGTGACTTGCCCAGGATCACACAACTTATAAGTCTGAAGCAAGATTCAAACTCAGCTCTTCCAAGTCCCATGCTTTATCCATTGGCACCTAGATACCACTGAGAACAGAAGGGATAAATGTGGACCCCACAGTTACTCACTTTCTGTTTATGGAGAGAAATGTCATGCAATGCTAAGATCACATTTGTTACTCGTCCCACCACTCCCTCTCCTACTCTGACTTCTATCCTGCCGAGAACCTATGGGGTCAGTCTGCCTAATGGATAAGAAATCTTGCCTCTTCTCCTTTCCTGACCTCCCCTGGCACCACTTTCTTTCTCAGCCTTTGGCAATGCCAAGACAATTCGAAATGACAACTCAAGCCGCTTTGGGAAATACATCGAAATCCACTTCAACAAAAATGGAGTGATTGAAGGAGCCCAAATAGAACATTTCCTTCTAGAGAAGTCCCGAGTCTGCAGGCAGGTAAGTCCATGTCACATGGGAGATCATTTTGAGCAGCAGAGGCGGTCCACAGTGAAATGGGCAAGTAGCTGTGGTTTGTCTTCAGTGTCTCTCCACATCTCCTTTCCAGTACCACCACTACCCTGGCAACCAGACTTGATTCATTTAGACCTCCCCTCCTGGATGACAACCCTTGCTCTAGCTCTTTTCCTTTTTTCTCCCTGAGTCAAAACTAATTTGTCTTATGTCGGAACCAAAACTAACTGTAGGCGAGGTAAGCAGCTGTCTAGGGCACACCACTCAAGGGGAAGCAGTCAGATACACTTTGAATATTATTTTTTATAAACTCACATGTTTTGAATACCAGAAAACTCTATTCTACATGCCAAATAATAGTTTTATGGGGTTGGGTTGCAACAAAGACTAAACCTCTAGTTCAAGAGTGGAAATTTCCAGAGCTTGTATTAGGTCACACAAATACTTCATCCTGTTTCTGTCTTGTGGCCCAAAGTCTCATGACCCAGGACTCAGCAAAATTACAATAATTTTTTAGATACTGACCAGACAAAGCATTGTAGTGTCTGCTAATATAGTTATTGTACTAACCTTCCCAGTCAGGAATGGGTTTACTCCTTTATTTCAGTGAACAGATGTGAGTGTTCCCTCCACACATGTAGATAGATCATGCACCTCAAGATCATGCCTTAGAATGAGAGGTTGAAGGAAATGGAGATAGCCCAGGGAAGAGATTATTTAGAAAGAGACACAAGAACCACCTTCAGCTATTTAAAGGATTGTTATCACATGGAACAAGGATTAGATTTGTTCTGATATATTGTAGAAGAGATTCTTGTTCATGCATGGGTTCAATTCAATGGAAGGCCTTGCCAACTCTGAGATTCAATGATTCTTTGATTCTGTGAAAGACTCAGAATATGCATTGGTGTTCCTTTTCTTTTTCTCTTTCTTCTTTCCTTTCTCCCTCTTCTTTGTTTCTTCTAGTCCTTCCTTCCTTCCTTCCTTCCTTCCTTCCTTCCTTCCTTCCTTCCTTCCTTCTTCTTCCTTCCTTCCTTCCTTCCTTCCTTCCTTCCTTCCTTCCTTCCTTCCTTCCTTCCTTCCTTCCTTCCTTCCTTCCTTCCTCCCTTCCTTCCTCCCTTCCTTCCTCCCTTCCTCCCTTCCTCCCTTCCTTCCTCCCTCTTTTTTTTTGAAACTGTGTCTCCCTATCTTGCCCAGACTGGAAGTACAGTGGTTATTCATAAGAGCAATCCTATTGCTGTTCAACATGGAACCTTTACTCCATTCTGTTTCCCACCTGGATTGGTTTGCCCTTCCTTTAAAATCCTGGAACCACCGCTCCCTTCCAGGGACTCACTAAGTTGGTGTCAGACTTAGTATGGCTACCTGATTGACTTTCACTCTACTGCAGCTCAGAACTCCTAAAATCAAGCTGTTTTCAACCTCCTCTAATAACAAGATTATAAATATGCACCACCATTCCCTGCCCAGAATCTATTATTTAAAAAAGTTATCATGTCCCAGTTTTGGATCATATGCCTAAGTTTTGAGGTCAGTGTCAGATAGGACAACCATAACTTCACCTGAATCCACTGTCATGTTCCATCAAAGACAGAATCTTCTGCTGGATAGATCATAGGGGTGCTCCAGTGTGGCAATCCTCTCAACATTTTTACACTCCTACAAATCATCCAAAAATGACTTTGTAAAACAGACTGAATGACTTAAGAACCCTGATCCATGCAATAGGCAACCAGCACTCCAGAGGACTGATGAAGCTTACTACTTACCTCACGAGAGAGAGGAGATAGATTCAGGGTCCAAAATGAGACAGACATTTTTGGAAATGGACAGTGCAGGAATTTGTCTTGCTTGGCCATGCAGATTTATTACAAGGATTTTGTTATTGGGGGATGGTGGAAGGGAGAGAAAATAAATGCTTGTCAGTTGAAAATTAAAATTAAAAACATTCTTATATTCTCATGGGCACCACTTAGTTCTACTGATAAATTGTCTCTCGGGCATTTTCCTCCTTCCAGGCCCTGGAAGAAAGGAACTACCACATCTTTTACTGCATGTTAATGGGGATGAACGAGGAGCAAAAGAAGCTGCTGAGTTTGGGGACAATCTCAGAGTACAACTACCTCACCATGGTATGGAACAGTATTCCCTACCTGTCTCTACCACTCCCAACTCTACCTTATCTCTACCATCCGTCATTTCCTTCACCCTGTTATCCAGGTTCCTAAAGGGCCTAGCTTACATGGAAAGTAGATGTCTCTGAGATATTATTATGTCAAATGCAAAAAGCCATTCAGAAAATGAAGGGCTCTAGCTCTTTTGGATCTGTCATGGGTTAATTATCACCCAGTAGCTAAAAGCTATCAGCCAGGAGGAGACAGCATATGGCCCAGACAGAGCTGCAGCTGGGGTGGGACTCTGCCCTAGGGTGCTAATATTTACAGGGTGCTAACAAATTGAAATCCTTCAACAGCTTAGAAACAACTGAGTTTGACACTTAGTTAGCAAGAATAATTAGGAAAATCTTAGATGGCCATTATCTGACAAACTAATATATTCATATCTCCCATACTAACACCCCAACATCCCCCAGCCTGTTAGTGCCTTGGGCTCCATGCCCCAGGGTCTTCCCTCCTCAGCAGTATTTGAGAACCTGTTTCATGCTGCTTGCCCTTAAGTATATTTTGTACCAATTTTCCTAAATGCTGAAATTGTTGGTTATGCCTCCAGCCAACTCCTAAAACAATTATTAAGGACTCTTTTCTTCCATTACCTATCATTTGCATTTCTTCAATGCTACATTAAATGTACATAGGGCTTGGTACTTTTAAAAGCATTTTCAAAGGTTATACCATTGTTTCTTCTTCTTCTTCTTCTTCTTCTTCTTCTTCTTCTTCTTCTTCTTCTTCTTCTTCTTCTTCTTCCTCTTCTTCCTCCTCTTCTTCCTCCTCTTCTTCCTCTTCTTCTTCCTCTTCTTCTTCCTCTTCTTCCTCTTCTTCTTCCTCTTTTTCCTCTTCTTCTTCTTCCTCTTCTTCCTCTTCTTCTTCCTCTTCTTCTTCCTCTTCTTCTCCTTCTTCTTCCTCTTCTTCTTCTTCTTCTTCCTCTTCTTCTTCTTCTTCTTCTTCCCCTCCTCCTCCTCCTCCTTCTCCTCCTTCTCCTTCTCCTCTTTCCTCTTCCTCTTCCTCTCCTTCATCTCCTCCTCCTCCTTCTTCTCCTCCTCCTTCTTCCTCCTTCTCTCTCCTCTCCTCCCTTCTCCTTAGGTGCCCCACCCTAAGCTCTGTTGAACTGACACAGAGTTCGCATGCTATCTAGTTCCATCTGTTCCTTGCTAAGTTCCTTGCTAAGCTGAAAGTCATGGTATCATTGAGATGACATTGTGTTGTTATCTATAAGTCAGTGTCACAGGCAGAGGGGATCAGTACGACCATTCAAGGACCATTTGACACTCATGCCGTGTCCTCCTGCTTCCCTAGGGTCACTGCACATCCTGCGAGGGTCGCAATGATGTCAAGGACTATGCGTCCCTTCGCTCCGCTATGAAGGTTCTTATGTTCTCTGATTCTGAAAACTGGGATATTAGCAAATTGTTGGCAGCTATTCTTCACCTGGGTAACGTGGAATTTTCAGGTAAGTCTGGTTCTTCTTGAATCTAAGTGGCACAGTGCATAGAGCATTGGACCTAGAGTCAGGAAGACCTAACTTAGACACTTACCAGCTGTGTGGCTCTGCACAAGTCACATAACCTCTCAGTGTCCGGGTTTCCTTAAAATGAGAGATCGGATTGATTGCTTCTAAGGTCCCTTACAACTCTAAATCTATGATCTTATGATCCTACTGTATTGGAGAAAGCTCTGGCTTGTAATCAGGAGACCCCGTCTCGATATCATTCCCCTCTTTTAATTATTTCTTATTTAATGTGTATATAACTCGTTTGTACATGTTTGTTGCTTGTTGTCTCCCATTAGATGGAGCTCCTTGAGAGCAGGGACTGTCTTTTGCCTTTCTTCATATCTCAAGCAGTTAGCACAGTGGCTGACACATCATAGGTGCTTAATAAATGTTTATTGACTAGCCTGCTGATTTTAGCCTAATTAGGCAAGATATATATATTCATGGATGATTAGGAAAAACAAAAACAAAACATAGGGCAGTAGTAGATAATGAAATGCTAAGCTGAACATAATCAGACACTAACATACATGACAGATAAAGGAAGGGCTGTATGAGTAGTCAAAAAGAGAACTCAACAAAGTCCAGAATGAGCAGAGAACACTTCACAGAGGAGATGGAACTTAGGTTGAGGTAGTTAGGCATTGCAGGGAATAGAGTGTTAGACTTGGAGTCAGGAAGACCTGAGTTCATATCCTACTTTAGATGCTTACTAGCCAGGTGATCCTTTAGATTATAAGCTTCTTGAGGGCAGGGATTGTCTTTTGCCTCTTTTTATATCCCCAGTGCTTAGAACAGTGGTTGACACATGGTAGGTGATTAATAAATGTTGATTGATTGGTTGACCCTGGCCAACTTCTCTAATTCTTTCAGCCTTAGTTTCCTCATCTGTAAAATTGGGGTAATAATAGCAGCTATTTCACAGGGTTGTTGCCAGGTTCAAATTAGATAACAGATATAAGGGCTTTGAAAAACCTTAAAACACTGTATAAGTACTAACTATTATTGTTGTTCTTCTTCTTGAGTGATTTGTGTTCAGCTCTTCCTGACCCCATTTGAGGTTTTCTCGGCAAAGATACCAGAATGGTTTGCCATTTCCTTCCCCAGATCATTTTACAGATGAGGAAACTGAGGCGAACAGGGTTAAACAACATGCCCAGTGTCATACAGCTAGTAAGTGTCTGAGGCCAGTCTTCCTAACTCCAGGCCTGGCACTCTATCCACTGTACCACCTAGCTGAGTATTGCTGTTTTGGTTTTTATTGTTACATCCCCTGCCTTTTTTACCAGACCTTAAATGTGGAAAGTAGGCTCTGGGTTAAGTAGAAGAATGGGAGGATTGCATGTAAGCCTGGGCAGAAGGTCAGAAAAGTTTAAGCAAAAGTGCAGAGATTGGAACAAATATAGTACATTCAGGGGATAGGGAGAAGACTTAACTAGCATGTTATGTATTAGGCAGCCCTGGGAGATAATATTGAGTGGATAAAGAGCCAGATGGCACATGTATAGAGTGCTGGATCTGGAGTCAGGAAGACTCATCTTCATGAGTTTAAATCCAGCCTCAGACAACTTTATCAGCTGTATGACCCTGGGCAAGTCACTTAACTTGTTTGCCTCAGTTTCCTCATTTGTCAAATGAGCTGAAGAAGGAAATATCTTTGCCAAAAAAAAAATCAACAACAGAAAACAACAACCAAATGAGGTTATGAAGAATAGGACATGACTGGAAACAACTACACAACAACAGCAAAGAGGGTCCAGGTTGCAGATGACATAAAATGCCAGCCTGACTAATTTGCAGATGGGCAAACTCTCATAAGGATTTTTTAAAAATCATCTTTTCTACCACCAGTTAAGGAGGCTGGAATTTAAGTACGGCATCATGAGTACAAAATGACCTGGGAACAGGCCCTGTACTGACTGAGTTTGACCTTTTGTAGACACCCTGTGCTCCAGTTAATAAAATTCCAGAGATGGTTCTCATAGAATATAATCCCTTCTGAAACATGGGATTGGCCTGCTCTTAGAACACTTGTTAATCTTCCTGGGCAGCTCTAGCCTATGGCAGGAGGCCTAATCCAGCAGTTCTCAAAGTGGGGTCCATGGGCTGTGAGGGTCCCCAAAACCTTTTCCGGGGGTTTGTGAGGCCAAAACTATTTTCATAATATACTAAAATGTTATTTGCCGATGAAAATACTCCCTTTTGCAGCCACATTATCTGTGTGAACTAGGATTGTCTATATATACCTAAACCAAAACAATATATTATATGGAATAGATTGACTGCAGAAGCATTCTTCTTTTAAGCCATGCATTAGAGATTTGCAAAAATATGAAAAACAATGCTATTCTTTTACTATTTTTTTTGGTTTTGCAATATATAATTTTTTCATTGTTATTTTATTAACATGTAATGGGTTTATTTTAATTTTTGATGAATTAAATATTTTAAAATTTTTATCAGTTTTAATCTCTAAAACAATAAATATAAATAGATATGACCGACACAAAGAAAAGCTTTTTGCGTCCTCAGTAATTTTTAGGAGTATAATGGGGTCCTAAAACTATAAAGTTTGAGAACTTCTAGGGAACTGTCATTCCCTCACCTTCTGTTTTTCATTCTGACACATTCAAAACTACCCTCACCCAATACCATCCCCAGAAACCAATGTCCTCATTCTGTCCCCTGGCTGCCCAGGTTTCCTTAGACTTTTCCTTCTCCAATGTTCCAAAACCTTCCTTCCGCATTGGAAAATTCTCTCTCATTCCTTAACCTCATTGGAAGAAAGGCATCACAGGGGAAATAGATCTGTTAATCTAATTCACAATTAAGGTTCCAACAGCTACTAACCTCTAAATATGCTACCCCTCCCAGGGGTCTTTGCTTTTTTAAAGGATGACATTTAAAGACACTTGTCCTGACCCCAAGATGTAATAATCTTCAACAGTGAGATTTCAGGCCAGTGGGAGAGGGTTTTGAGGGGTGCCCTGTCCCCTTCAAATCTCAGGGTAAGAGACTTCTTTCTCTAGGCCAACCTTTCTCACAGATGTTTCTTATTTCTGGTTTCTAGCTGCTATTTCTGACAATCTGGACTGCTCTGATGTCGTTGAGACTCCACACTTCCTGGCTGCAGTTGAGTTACTGGAGGTAGGTTCTGGCATCCACTTTTATGAGAATGTGCCCACGATACAGGTCTCTGGGCTGCTGGATGCTCCAACATGTGCTTCTCTTCCCAGGCCTGCTGTTTCTCCCTTCCTCCCCACTTCTCTTATCCACCTGCGTGCACTGGTCTACTCTGACTTCCTGACTGTTCTAGGAATAGCCCTGGCCTTTAAGTAGCAAGAGGGAGCAAGTACTCATGGCATTAACTTAACTTAATTTTAGCAAAATGGTGAAGGTGTCAAAATTTGTCATCGATGCTCTTCCCATTTCGTTTTCCATGCCACTCCTTTTTTATTCTACTCGTGTCCTTCACCTTCAGACATTTCTCATCCTCATGTTGCCTCTCTACTGCTCATGTTTCCATTGCTATGCCCTTACCCATTACTTCGTGTTCTAGACCTGTCCTGCCCCCCCATTGAAACTTCTCCTCCTTACTATCCCTCCAACACTTTCATGGCTTTAGGAGGAGCTGTGGTATAGTGGTATAATAGCAATAATAATAATAATAGCTAGCACTTATTAAGCACGAACTATGTGCGAATAGCTGTGCTAAGTGCTTTGCAATGATTATCTCATCAGATCCTCACAACAACCCTAGGAAGGAGGTGCTACTATTATCCCCATTTTTCAGTTGAAGAAACTGAGGCAGACAATGATTAAGTGACTTGCCCAGGATCACACAGCTAGTAACCTGTGGCTGGATTTAAACTCAAGTCTTCCTGACTCCAAGCCCAGCAATCTATCTACTTCACCACCTAACTGCCTTAAAAAAAAATAGAAAAAAAGGGGCAGCTAGGTGGTGCAGTGAATGGAGCACCGGCCCTGAATTCAGGAGGACCTGAGTTCAAATCCAGCCTCAGACATGAAACACTTACGACCTGTGTGACCCTGGGCAAGTCACCTAACCCCAATTGCCTCACCACCACCACTCCCCGCCAAAAAAAATAGAAAAAAAGAATATAGGACTTAAAGTTACATGACCTGAATTCTAATCCAAGCTTTACCATTTACTAGCTGTTTAACCTTGGGCAAGGCACCTGATCTCCCTGGTCCTCAGTTTCTTCATCTGTAAAATGTTGTTGTTGTTGCCTGGCACACAGCAGGTGCTTAATGAATGCTTCTTGACTGATTTGACTGACCCCTAACTGTGGCTCTAGATACAAACTAAAATCCCAGACACATTGGCCCCCAACCTAGCTGTGCATTCTGCCATCGCATGGTCCTGAGTACAAGGGAAATAAGATGAAGAAACAAGAACTCACCTCACCTATCTAATCAGTTGCCAAATTTTGCAGCTTCTTCCTTTACCCATCTCTCAGTTACTTCTCCTTCTCTATTCCCACAGCCCCAACTCCAGTTCAAGGCCTCATCACCATGTGCCTGGACTCCTAAAGTAGCCTTGTCATTGTTTTCCCTGCCTCAAGTCTCCCCCCACTCCAATCCGTCCTCCACTCAGCGGCCAAAGCAACTTTCCTAAAACCTCAGTAAACTCCAGGGGCTTCCTACTGCCTTTAGGATCGAATGTAAACTGCTCTATTTGGCATGTAAAGTTCCTTACAGCCTAGTTCCTTCCTGTCTTTCTAGTCTTTAACCCATTATTCTTCACTATGTACTCCATGGTCAGGCTATTCTGGCTTATTTGCTGTTCCTTACATGTAACACTTGATATTCCATATACCTCCTTTTGCAGTAGCTGCCCCCCATGCCTGGAAAGCTCCTCCTTCTCACCTCCACCTTTTAGAATCCTTAAAAATTCAGCTTAGATGCTAGCTGTGTGACCCTGGGCAAGTCACTTAACCCTGATTGCCTTAAAAAAAATCAGCTTAGAATCCTTAAAAACTCAGCTTAAACACAGCCACCTGTAGGAGGCCTTTTCTGGTCTCTTCCCCTCCTCCTTGCACCTTCCCGCCCACCCCCCACTGCCATTGCTTACCTCTAGAGGCAGCTAGGTGGTGCAGTAGCTAGAGTGCTTGGACGGCAGTCAGGAAAACCTGAGTTCAAATTCAACATCAGATTTTTGCTGGCTGTGTGGCCCCAGGAAAATCCCTTAATCTCTGTCTGCTTCAGTTTCCTCAACTGTAAAATGAGGATGTTATAGCACAAGGTCATTGAAAGTCTCAAGTAAGATAATAATTTGTAAAGTGCTTAGGACAGTGCCAGTACATAGTAGGTGCTTAATAAATGCTTATTTCCTTGCTCTAAGGTTATTTTCTACCTATTCTCTATGTATTTTGTCTATACCTATTTATTCATGTCATCTTCCTCATTAGAATGTAAGCACCTTAAGGGCAAGCAATATTTTTGCTGTTTTCTTTGAATTCCTAGCTCTTAGCACCTTGCAATAAACATTTAATAAATACTTGTTGAATGATCATTATAAAATCAGCTCTGAGTTCATGCCTACATGGTGGCTCAGTAGCCACAACTCGCTTTTTTTCCCTTAAAGAATAATGCCCTGATGCTCTGCTGATGTTTACACAGGTGAAGGCTATGGAGCTCCAGATGTGTTTGACCAATCACTACATCATCGTCCGTGGGGAAGGAGTCTTCCGACCACTGAACATCCTCCAGGCCAGTGACCGACGAGATGCTTTTGTCAAGGTGGAAAGATTCATATTTCTTATCCATCCTTCTCTGGTCCTTCCCAACTTCCTCTATAGTTTGATATTGGGAATATTCAGTCCTTTTTCTCTTTTAACATATTTCATGGCAATGGAAATGACCTCTTCCACTTTTTGCATGTCCTTCAGGTAACTGAAAGGAGTCAGAAGGTATTCAAACCATATCTCTCACTCCCTAGTGCCACATTCTTAGGTCTATTTCATACGTTCTAGTGTCTTCCTTTGCCCTGAGCTCTTCCGTTTTGACGGATCTGATCCCCACTTCATCAGAATGACTGAGAATTGTATCTGTTTTGTCATTTTTACTTCAGCAACATTCTCTTGCATAGGACCTTCCCAAATATACCCCGGACCTTCCTTTCTCCTCCCAATATCATTTTCTCATAACCTCCCCTAGGTTGATTACCTCCTTGTACAACTCCATCTGTTCTCATATCCCAGCAATATGATTAGAAATTGTGCCTCACCTCAATACATTTCACCCTGGACTTTTAATGGTCTCCTTTGATGTAAGCTCTCTCATTACTTATTTACTACATACCATGGTGTACAATGTCTTAAGGTGTTCACCACTTCATATCAACATGTCTTTTAGCCATACCTTTTTTTTCATTTCTCTTTCCTTGTCATTCTCCCCTACCCCAACCCTTTTCCATATATACTTCACTCCTCTCTGTCTGGCTCTTTAGGACCTCTGTAATCTGATTGATCCAACCTTATCTCCCTCTACTCATAACTCTTTCTGCCCTAAGTATTGGAACACACCTTCTGCTTTGGTCAAGTCAATACACTCCAAATATGCCATACTCATTCCTGGGTAGAATAGTGGATAGATGGAATGTTGGATTTAGAGTCAGGTAAATCTGAATTTAAATCCTGCCACAGACATTTACTAACTGTGTGACCTTGGGCAAGCCACCTAACCTCTCTCAATCTTAGTTTTCTCATCTGTAAAATGTAGGTATTAATAACACCTATCTCATATAGTTGTTTAGCAATTATTATGGTTGAAATCTAGCTCAAATTCAAGGTCCAATTTGAGTCCTACCTTCTACATTAAGCCTACCACAACTACTCCAGTCTTCATTGCCCTTAGCATTTGATTATATGAATGAATGAATGAAAATGCATTCATTTTCCCCACCTTTTATTCATTTTTTATTCTCATTTTCAAATTCATTCTAAGTAGTGAATTTGGACCTTGTTTTAAATCATTTCTCTTAATTCTCTTTTTTTAACATTCATTTTTAAAATTTTTGGGTTCCAAATTCTCTCCTTCTTTACAGCTTCTCCTCCACATATTGAGAAGGCAAACAATGTTATACCCATTATTCTTGTGAAGTCATACAAAATATTTCTACCTTACCTATATTACAACAAAAAAGGCAACAAAATAAAATGAAAAAATGCTTCAATCTGAACTCTGAGTTCATCAGTTCTCTCTCTGGAGGTAGATAGCATTTTTTCATCATAAGTCCTTGGGAACTGTCATGGACCATTGTATTGATCAGAGTAGCTAAGTCTTTCACATCATCGTTATAATATTCTGTTTTATGTTGATAGTAACAATCCAAAGCACTTTTATGATGGCTTGAAGGCTATTTATGGGCCAAAGATCTATGGTGTATCTCAACTACTCAGCACTAATGGAGCCACATTGATTAATGATAAGGTACTTGATCCTGGGGAGACGGGCCGAACACTTCCACAATGTTCTCAATAGATTGACAATAGTCAGCGTTGAAGCCATTGACCATATACCTCAGGTTGAAGTCAATCCCTCTCTAGCCAGACTTGGGTTTGAATGCCATTAGGTTCCTCTTGTGTGGCAGAGTCTGGTGCTGATTCTATTTCAGCAGAGATTTATAAGTCAGAGGGTCCACTGCTCACACAAAAGTTGACTGAAATCTTCTGGGTTATGTGGCAAGAAGAAGTTATCCCCCAGGAGTTCAAGGATGCCACCCTTGTCCATCTCTATAAAGGAAAAGGAAATAGGTTATCCTGTGACAGTCACAGCAGAGGAAGGGTCTCTTAGGCATTGACAACAAGATGTTTGCCAGAGCCCTATTTAATAGGCTGATCCTTCACCTGGGAGATGGTCATCTTGCCTGAGGGATTGTTGTTGGTGACTTCTGCTCAGTGGGGTGGTATGAGTAGCCACATCCATCACATAATCAAAGGCTGGATAGGCCCATCTGTCTGTCTGTCTGTGTGTCTGTCTCTCTCTCACACACATACACACACCACACCCTATAACATACCATTCCACATACCACACACATATCTTCCCAGTATGACTACCTTAAAAATATGTGTATTTATTTTTTAATTAAAAATCAGTCTTCATTACTTTATAGTCAAGTTTTATCTATTGTGTATACTATATAGCACTCAGCAAAGCTCTGGATAATAATAATAATAATTAATAATGATAATGGCTAGCATTATACAGTACTTTATAGTCTGTTTACAAAGCTGTTTACATGTTATTATATTTGATTAGAGGTAATCAAGAAATACTGCTAATTAGCTGATTAAAGTCAAATCTGTCGCTTCATGATTTGTTGAGAGCATGTCAGGTCTCAACTTGTACAGAAGAGAGATTAGAGAAAGTGGCTTTTTCTGACTCATCCTCATTCTACTTCAATGCCTCAGTTGCTCACCACCTTATTTCCAGGGAATTTATGGGCATCTCTTCCTATGGATAGTCAACAAGATCAATGCTGCAATCTTCAGGGAACCCTCCAAAGACCCTCAGAATGTGCGCAGGTCCATTGGCCTCCTGGACATATTTGGCTTTGAAAACTTTCATACAAATAGGTACGATAGTCTCAATTTGTGTCTAAGGAATTGGGAGAGGTGGTGAACAGAGAAAAAGAGCCAGTTGGATCAGCAGCTCTTTCCGACACTGTTTTCCCAGTGGTCTTAGGGAGATTCTAGTCATGCCTTTCCTTCCTGCATAGTTCTCTTGACACTGTGATCTGAAGCATATCACATCCAGAGCATAAAATTCAGTTCCAGATGCCATTATTTTGGGAAGAACATTGATAACGTAGAGGGGGTCCAGAGAAGGGCAATCAGGAGGGTAAAGGGCCTTAAGCAGCAACCAAGTGAGGACTATCTGAAAGAACTGGGGAAGAGAAGACTTAGTTGGGGGACATGATAACTGTCCTCAAGTAAATGAAGGTAATGACGTGGAAGAGGGACTAAATTTATTCTTCTTGGCCCTAGTGGCCAAACCTAGGAACAATGAGTGAAAGTTACCAAGAGGGAAATTTAGCTTTGATATAATATATGTGAGATATTATCATATGAATGTTTGTGATAAGCAATGTGTATGTAAATATGTATGTGTGTATTGTACATTTGGGGATAAAAAATATGGACGGACAGACAGTGGGATGCATGAATAGTTGCACAGGGTGGGCCATGATAACTCATCTTCTTCATGATGTCTTAACAAGAACACTCTGGCAAGCTATAGATTAAAAAAAAAATAAATTGGGGAAGCTTTGCTTTAGAGGAAAAACCAAAGTAACATCCTGAAAGGCAAGACTAACGATCCCACTGGGATTGCCCCCACAGCTTTGAGCAACTCTGCATCAACTTTGCCAATGAGCATCTCCAACAATTCTTTGTCCGCCACATCTTCAAAATGGAGCAGGAAGAGTACCATGCAGAGAACATCGCCTGGAACTACATTCATTTCAATGACAATCGGCTCACTTTGGACCTACTGGCTCTCAAACCGATGAACATCATCTCGTTGATGGATGAGGAGAGCAAATTCCCTAAGGTGTGTGGCCCCCTTGTCACAGTGGGTCACAGCTATCAGTCACACTCAGGTTTGGGATCATTCATCTTTATCACCATCAAAAAACCACTTTTAAGTGGTCTCTGTGTGCCTAAAGTTGCAAAAGGTTCATCAAGTAATTGTAGGAAGTCATCCTTCCTCCTGAAATCATGGAATCATTACTGGATTTTCACTTACGCCTCAAAGAATTAAGTCCAATCCTGAGATGGCTTCATGATGTATGTCTCCCAGCCCCACTGTGGTTATGACCAGCACTTTCAGAAGATAGTCTGGGGTGGCTTATTAGTTGACGTCTCCTAAGTGAGGTTTGGGGGATCTGACCAAAGTGGCCGTTTTCCTTTATTGCTTAGGCTTTGGGACTGCCTCAGAAAGTAGTTAGCTCCCATTCACTGGAGGTTTTTAAGCAGAAGCTGGAAAACCATTTGTTGGGAATGTTGTAGAGGGACTCCTCTTTAGATACCAGTTGGGAATAGATCTTCTCTGAGTTTCCTTCAAGTTCTGATATTCTGGGAGGGCAATAATGAAAAAAGAAGTGGGCTATGAGTCAGGAAACTTGTCTTAGTCTAGCTCTGTTACTGACTCATTACATGATGTCAGATAAGTACCGCAATCTCTCTGGGCCTGAGTTTTCTCACCCCTGAAATGAAAAGAGTGGGATAGATGGTCTCTGTGATTTCTCTTAGCTCTGATATTCTATAATTCTAAATCCTAGTTTCTATTGCCCCACAGAGTTACTGACTTCTCAGGTCACAATGAGGAGTTTAACTAATCCACTAATGATTAATTGTCATTATCCCAATGTCCTGGTTATGTGTGCTTCTTCCAGGGCACAGACGCCACCATGTTACAAAAAATGAACCATCTCCATAGCAATAACAAAATATATGCGGCACCCAAGAACATTCACGACATGAAATTTGGCATTGTTCATTTTGCTGGTTTAGTTCATTATCAGACTGAAGGTGAGTGTCATCAGTCTCTTCTGAGGTGGGGGGTTAGGATGGGAAGGGAAGCGAGAGTGAGATTTGTATATTCTTCCATTCGAACAATGAGGAATTGGAGGAATGAATGAATGAACAAATGAATGAGTAGGTGGATGAAAAAGAATTAATTAAGTACTTACTATTTCTCAGGCACTGTAATAAGTGTTGGAGATAAAAATATAAGCAAGCAAAATAGTCCCTGCCCTTAATTAGGGAGCTTAGGTCCTAATAGGGAGAGACAATACATTTATGAGAAGAGTAGCCAAGGAAAGAAATATCTAGAAATTCATAGGAAAGGTAAGTTGATCAACAGAACAGTCAATTGACATGGTAGTACAGCTATCCTTTCCACGTCATGTTTTTCCCCATTGTGGTTTCAATATATTGTGGGTCAGCATAAGAAATTAAATAGGAATTTTTTGTGAGTTTTGTGGAAGCTGCAGATGACATGCAAAAGCCAGAAGATGACCCAGAAAAAGTTTAGAAACTCAGAAATGCATAAAATATATGCATAGTATTATATAATATCAACATATTTGATCTTTTAATACCTTAGTAATTCAGACTTCTTCTCTGGTACAAAGAGAAGGCCAAAAATTTTATGCAGATTATCCAGATAGTAGGGGTGCTGTGCCCCTAACCTCCTCAATGTGGAAGTGATAATTATATTGTATTTATTTAATTATTGAGCCCAGAGCAAGAGCATGAGGTGGAAAGTAAGGGAGGGCAAAACCATGGAGGCAGTACTGATCACAAGATGGCCAAGGTGCACAGCTTAGATGGAATGTAAGCATGGTGTGGTGCTCTGATGCCAACTAGACATAATGAGCTGGTTGAGTTTGCTATAACTCACTAGCCAACAAGGACAGCTGGACCTAAGGCTGGAGTTCCAGGATTGTCTGTGTATCATTTCAGTTAGAGAAATGAGGAACTTGGGATGATTTGGATTAATTTCAATAAGATAAATGAAAAAGTGGGACAATTTCTGTACATTTATATTCTGACAGCCCTAAGGATATAGGGATGCAGAGGTGCTCCCATGTCACCCTCATTCCAGGTTTCTGACAGGAACATATATTAGGGTATGGTTGGGTGTTCTTAGTGTGAGGGGTGTTTAAATAAAGATATACATGCTTTGACCCAGCAATACTACTACTAAATCTGTATCCTAAAGAGATTAAAAAAGAAAGGGAAAGGACTTTTATATATATATATATATATATATATATATATATATATATATATATATATATATATATATATATATGTATGTATAAGAATATTTATAGGGGCAGCTAGGTGGTGCAGTGGATAGAGCACCGGCCCTGAATTCAGGAGGACCTGAGTTCAAATCTGGCCTCAGACGCATAACACTAAACTAGCTGTGCGACCCTGGGCAAGTCACTTAACCCCATTGCCTAGCCAAAAAAAAAAAAAAAGAATATTTATAGCTGCTCTTGTTGTGGTGGCAAAGAATTAGAAATCAGGGGAATGTCTATCAGTTGGGAAATTGCTGAACAAGCTGTGGCATATGATTAAGATGGAATACTATTGTGCCAATAAGAATTGAAGAGCAGGGTGGTTTCAGAAAAGCCTGGGAAGATTTACATGAACTGATGCAAAGTGAAATGAGCAAAACCAAGATAACAGTGTACACAGTAACAGTAATATTGTACAATGATCAACTGTGAATTATTTAGCTATTCTCAGCAATACAATGATCCAAGACAATTCCAAAGTACTCATGCTGAAAAATGCTACCCACCTCCAGAGAAAGAGCTGATGTGTGTAGATCGAAGCATACTTTTTATTAACTTTAATTTTCTTGGGGATTTTTTGATATGTATTTTCTTTCACAATATGACTAATATGAAAATATGTTTTACAGACTATACCTGTATAACCTATATCAAATTGTTTGCCTTCTCATTGAGGGGAGAGAGGAAGGAGAATGGAAGAGAATTTAGAACTCAAAATTGCGAAAAACAAACAAACAACAACCAAAAAAAACCACCAAAGGTTAACTTCTAGGGCTGTATCCCAAAGAGATCATAAAAATGGGTAAAGGACCCAGATGTACAAAAATATTTGTAGCAGCTCTTTCTGTGGTGGCGAAGAATTGGAAATTGAGGGGATGCCCATCAGTTGGGGAATGGCTGAACAAGTTGTGGTATATGAATGTAATGGAATACTATTGTGCTATAAGAAATGATGAACAGGCTGACTTCAGAAAAACCTGGATGTACTGATGCTGAGTGAAGTGAGCAGAATCAGGAGAACACTGTACACAGTAACAGCCATGTTGTATGATGACTAACTTTGATAGACTTGCCCCTTCTCAGCAATGCAAGGATCTAAGACATCTCCAAAAGTCTTGTGATGGAAAATGCCATCCACATCCAGAGAAAGAAGTATGGAGTTTGAATGTAGATCGAAGAATACTATTTGCTCTTCTTTTTCCTTCTTTTTATTTCGTTTCCTCTTTCTTGTGGTTCTTCCTATTGGTTCTAATTCTTCCTTACAACAAACTAATGTGAAAATATGTTTAATAGGAATGTATATGTAGAGCCTATATCAGATTGCATGCAGTCTTGGGGAGGGGAAAGGGAAGGGAGGGGGAGAAAATTTTAAAACTGAAAACTTATGGAAGTGATTGTAGCTAACTAAAAATAAATAATTAATTAAAAAATGAAAGTTAAAGATTGTTTTTACATGTAATTGAAAAAATATTAAAATTTTAAAAAAGAAACAGACATCATTAGGAATAAATGGATATGGGAATGTGGTCCATGGAAAGGAGAGAATCATGGAGTATAATCACAGGATCATAGATTTAGGGCTGAAACAGATCTTGAAGGTCATTGTTCCCACCCTCTCATTTTATAGATGAGCAAACTGAGGCTAGGAGAGATTAAGTGATTGCCCCAGCCTCACAGAGTGTTTCTGAGGCAAGAATTAAACTCCAGCCTCTCTAACTCCAGGCTCAGTGTTCTGTCCACCACTCTACACTTGTAAAGGATTTATCCCACATTTGTATAGTATTGAATTTTTTCCAAAATACTTTTGCATAAGTTTTCTTGATTACAATACCTATATTGCACTTGGGAAACAAATAAGAAAAGCATTATTACCCCCATTTTATAGATAAAGAAACTGAGCCCCCAGAAACATTGTGACTATTTGATGTCACACAGCTAATTAGCAGCAGAGTTAGGACTAGAAGCCATAACCCCACTACATTATGCTGTTTCCCTTTCTACCATCATATCCTCCAACCTTCACTTTTTCCTTCCCGTTACTCTCTGCCTGCTCCCTTCTTTGCCCTTTCCCTCTGCTCATCCTTACCAATGGCCTCCTCTTTTCTTCATACCTCCACTTCATCTTGCTCCTTCTCCCACCCCCTCTAGACTCTGGAGGTTAAAGAGTTTTCCCATGTCTGTTTTAGTGTATACTTCTCTCAATTTAACACTTAACAATAGGCTCATTATCATCTCTGGGTAGAGTTGATTTTGAATATAAAACCATATTTTGACCTAATTGGGCTGTTTCTATATTTCTGTGCAGAGAGTTATTAGATTATGGACTGACAGAGAATGGGAATAGAACTGTCTCTGACAGCTGGACGTATTGCTCAGGGTTTTCCACAGAAATGCTTTAGATTTGGCATTTCCAAAAGACCCCTGCACACACATAAGCAGACCTCAAAGTAAGAATCCAATTTGGTAATATAATAGTTTGAGAGTCAGAAGACCTGGGCTCAAATCTTGGCTCTGTTACTTACTGCGCAATCTTATTTAAATCACTTAACATCTCTGGACCTCAGTTTCTAGTGGTAAAAACATTAGGTTTGGAGTCAAAGGACCTGGGGTCAAATCCTGGCTCTGCCATTTATGTCCTATATTGAGCAAGTCACTTAATCTTGCTGGGCCTCAGTTTTCCTGATCTGTAAAATGAGGAATTTCGACACCTTGTTTTACAGATGGTCCCTTGCATCTCTAAATGTACCCTTCTTGAAGGTCTCTTGTATCTCTAAATGCTATGATTTACCCTTATGATTGGAGAAATCAAAACATAATTTAAGTGACATAAAAGGGAGTGAATTTTTGTGGTCTAGTGATGAATTATGTCTGATTTTCTGAAGAAAAATGAGCACGTAGGGCATTTTGGCAAAGTGTTGGAGAGAAAAAAGCTAGAAAGTATAAGAAGTAGGGGAAATTGGTGAATAAGATGCCACCCTCCCTCTTACTTCTCCCCTAGTTTGAATCTATGGTTGTTAAGATGGGCTTATTCTCCTGACAGGTTTCTTGGAGAAGAATCGTGATGTTCTGAGTACTGATATCATCAAACTAGTATATTCATCTCAAAATAAGTTCCTGAACCAAATTTTCCAGTTGGAACCTTCCCAGATCAAGCTACGCCATGGTACCATCCGTCTGGCTAGGTCTTCAGACTTACTGTCTACGGTAAGTTTGCTGCTTGGACGTTATGATTAGCCCAGGAGCTAAGATCACCTTTTATTACATTCCCAAGTCCCAGACCAGGTCTCAAGGGTGTTGGGATGAGAAATTGACGTTGTGCTTCTGTTTTGCAATCTCTATAATACTTTACCTTTACCAGCTATTGTGAGACTCTAGACAAGGTAATATATTTGAATGCAAAAGACAGTGTTAAAGTTCCATACATATGTAAAGGCATAACATTTCTGTGGCTATGGAGGTGGGATTATATGTCATTATGTATATATTTCTATGGGTAAAACATAATTGGGCATGGGCTTGTCTGGGGATGTGGATATCCAGGTGAATGCACTGCAACTGTCAGCTCCCCCCACCCCCATCCCCCAGAACATCACAGATGTGTTGGGTAATAATGGCTTCAGTTGGTCCCAAATTAACACAGCTGTTAGAAGTCATAAGAATGTCACCTGCTGAAAAGTTCCAGCATCTGGAAAGCAGAGGAGGCTGAGCAAGGAAGAACAAGGAACTTCTGTTGGCAATATCGAGGAGTCTTAGGCAAGGCCTCATCCTCTGCTGCTACTGCCCCCTGGACTTTTAAATGGGACCCAAAGAGCTTGCTCTGCATAGAATTCCCTGGGAACTGAGAAAGAAAATGTAACCCCCTCCGACCCCCCCAGGTAACCCCTCATTGAAAATTGCTTCTACCTGGGGCAGTTAGGTGGTGCACCGACTCTGGAGTCAAGAGGACCTGAGTTCAAATGTGACCTCAGACACATAATACATACTAGCTGTGTGACCCTGGGCAAGTCATTGCCTATCAAAACAAAACAAAACAAAAGAAAATTGCTTCCACCTCACCCATTCAGCTCAATTAAGCAGTTACTGAGCACATGGAGGCTTGTGCCAGGCAATACAGGGATTATAAAATATAATGAGACATGGCCTGTCCTCAAGGCATTTGCAGTCTAGTTGTGTAGATGAGGCAAATACATGTTAAACAGTTAAAGAACCATGCAAGAGCAAGGATTTAGTGTGGAAGTGCATGACCAGTGGTCTGGGTAATTAGGGAGAAGGGATGATCTGGTCTAGAGAGGCACTTCAAGGAGGCAGGGTATGAGAGGAATCTTTTGCATGAAAAACCAGTGTGGCTTCAAACTCAAGAGGTGCTGTAGTCTTGGGTCATGATTCTTCCACTAAGATGGGACCTCGACCTTGTTTGTCAAGGGCCCCTTGGGTAGTTCAGTGAAGCCTGTGGATCCTTTCTCAGAATCATGTTTTTAAATGTGGGAAAAATACATAGGATTATAAGAGAAACCACTTATATTAAAATACAAGGTGTTCCAGAAGCCCAAGACTTTTGGAACAACTTGTATAGTTCTCAAAATGTGAAGAAGAAGAAGGAGGGGGGGAAGGGGGAGGGGGAGGAGGGGCAGAAGAAGGAGGGGGAGGAGGGGGAGAAGAAGGAGAAGGAAAAGGAGGAGGAGGAGGAGGAGAAGGAGAAGAAGAAGAAGTAGGGGTAGCTAGGTGGCGCAGTGGATAGAGCACCGGCCCTGAAGTCAGGAGTACCGGAGTTCAAATCCAGCCTCAGACCAAACACTTGACACTTACTAGCTGTGTGACCTTGGGCAAGTCACTTAACCCCAATTGCCTAAAAAAACAAAAAAAGCAGAAGAAGAAGAAGAAGAAGAAGAAGAAGAAGAAGTAGTTGTTCACAGATCTCAAATTAAGACCCCTGCACAGGGATCCCTTCACCTAGCCTTGGTGCCCTCTTATGCAGAGTAAAAGCAGCCAGAGTTTCTACACCTGTCATGAGATACCCTTTGTATCTGTGTCTGGCAGATGTTAAGACATATGTAGATGGAAGGTTCCAAGGTTAGATTTCATTATTTTCCAGATGGTGTGAATTGAGGCAAGAAGAGAAACACTCACCAAAACCAGCTCCTATGTGATATAAAAATTGATTCCAGGAATGAACAGTTAATTAGTCTCTTCTCCTTCCAGTAGACAGAACTGGTCACAAATCATTTTAGGCTAGTTAGAATCTATAGGACGGCTTCTGTCTGTGGTGTGGCCTGAAAGCATATGAAAGCTGGAACAGTCAGGCTGGTTTTGAATCCCTACTTTGCCACCTATCTATCATCTGCTAGACCCTGGATGAGTCTAACTGACTTTTCTGGGCTTCAGTTCGAGGTTTCATATGAGGACATGTAAAATGAGAATGTTGGGCTAGAAATTCTTTTTTTAGTTCTAAATCTTAGGAAATGTTTTTTAAAAGCTTTCAGGAAGGATGCATTTATAACCTTCCTTTGAAGTCCTTGTACGAGAAATCTTGCCTTATTGTAGGTGCTTGGGATTGTATATTTAGAGCTAGGAAGGACCTTAGAGAAGTCAGACTATCCAACTCCCCCATTTTACAGATGAGGAAACTGAGATCAGTGAAGCTAAATGACTTGCCCAAGGTAACGGGGGTGGCAAATAGCAGAATAAGACCTTGAACCCAGGTCCTCTGACAAATTCTAGCACTCTGCCTCTCACTGGCAAGCTTAGAATCTTCACGCTGAAACTGAAGCCCTTTTCCTCTGGTTTTATTCTCAGCAGTTTTACAGGTTATCAATCTTTGCAGAGCAAATCTCCACAAGGAGACATTTTCTTCCTAGAGGATGTTAACAAACCATGTGTTCACTACTAGAGGTATAATTAGAATTTTTTTTTCCCTATCAAGCAAACAACTGAACTGGAGGCACAGAAGACGGTCCTACCACAGGGGTCCTCTGTTAGGAAAGGGGGCTGTCCAGCCATTCTCACTGAGGGGTGATCCCATGATAGTATTTAGAGGGTTAAAGTATTTTGGGGTGAAGATAAACTTCCCAATGCATCTCAGATCTATGACTTTATGGCCTGTAACCTCAGTTTCCTCATATGTAAAATGGAGTGGTAGTGGAGGGGAGTAAACTAGATGGCCTCTGAGCTCTAGATTGAACTGACAAACGTTCCCCTACTCCATGGTTTGGCCTCAGACCCAGCAAGCTCTTATCAAAAGGGTGCTGGGGGCAAATTGCTTTGGGGAACTCACTGTGAACTCAAAGGCACCGGCCCTGGTTTTAAGGCATCAGCCACAAGAGGGCACTATTGTTTCACCGTGAGAACAAAGGAATCAGCCTGATTCTAGAAAACACACCTAGAAATTCTGTCTTGCGAGGCCAGACAGCAACCTTGTGAACTGGGAAATTGTCTTCAGCACACCTCATTTGCTGGGGTTCTTTTTTTCAGCCTTTTTTAGCCCATTTTTAGCACCATCACAGTCACCCGATACTCTCACACTTTCTTCACAGAAAGAAAAGGTCTAATAAACTAATTCACCTTCATAGATTATTATTCAATATCAGTAATACAAATAACTCACATTTTTATAATTTTGCCAACACCTCAAACTCTACATGGAAACATTATCTTCTCCCAATCTCCCACAACCCACCCCTCCCTCCCTCTCTTCCCTTTCTTCCTTCTTTTCTCCCTCTCTTCCTTCCTTCCTCTCTTCCTTCCTCCCTCACTCTTTTCCTTGCTTTTCCTTTCCTTTCCTTTCCTTTCCTTTCCTTTCCTTTCCTTTCCTTTCCTTTCCTTTCCTTTCCTTTCCTTCCCTTCCTTCCCTTCCCTTCCCTTCCCTTCCCTTCCCTTCCCTTCCCTTCTTCCCTTCCCTTCCCTTCCCTTCCCTTCCCTTCCCTTCCCTTTCCTTTCCTTTCCTTTCCTTTCCTTTCCTTTCCTTTCTTTCCTTCTTTCTTTTCCTTCCTTCCTCCCTTCCTCTCTCCCTCCTTTCCTTCTTTCCTTCCTTCTTGTGTTCCTTTCTTCCTTCCTTCTTCCCTTCTTTCCCTTCCTTCCTTCCTCTCTCTCTCTCTCTCCCTTCCCTTCCTTCCTTCTTCCCTTCTTTTCCTTTCTTCCTTCTTCTCCCCCTTCCCTTCCTTCCTTTTCTTTCCTTCCTCCCCTCCCCCTCTCTCTTCCTTCCTCCCCTCCATCCCTCCCCCCTTCCTTCCTTCCTTCCTTCCTTCCCTCCTTTCTTATTCCTTCATTCCCCACTCAATAGCCAAGTAGCTCCAATTCGACCTCCACAAAGTCTCTTACCCATCTCCCCTTTCTCTTCTCTCTCATGGCCCCCACCCCATTAGGTTGACTTGCCCAAATACACACAGCTAGTTATTGGCACTAGGACTACAGCTCAAAGTACCTTCTTCCAGTATCAGCTACCTTACTTATCTCCTGTATGACTTTGGACAAATCACTGTCTCTCTCTGATATTAAATTGCCTCATCTATAAAACAAGGTGACAGGACTAGAGGTCCTCTGAGGTCCTTTCCAGCTCTAAAGCTATGATCCTATGACCTCTGGACTGTCCAGCTCTGCAGCACAAAGGCCCTCCCTGCCTAGATGGAACTCTATCCTTAAAGCCAGTCCAATGCTCATATAAACCGGTGGCAAATCAATATTTTATTTCCAGAGCTCTAAGGGAACCCAATAGAGAAGTGGTATTTTCTCCAGAAGCCAACAGACTATTCATTTGGATTTTATTGCCAGACTGAAGCCTTGCTCACCTTGAACTCTACAGATAACAATGTTAAACTGGTCAGCACAAAGGACCTCAAAATTGGTCTCTGGGATCTGTTCCAGTCCTGAGGTTGCCTATAGGGACACCATACCCGGGTTAGTGAATTATTTGTCCAAACTAAATAGGAAAATAATTCAAGCTTCTACTACAGGACACTTTTCAGCAAGATCATGATATCATGTACTTAGAGCTAGAATGGATCTTAGGAGTCATCTAATCCAAACTTCTCATTTTATAAATGAGGAAACTGAGGTTTAGAGAGGTGAACTGGCTTGCCCAGGGTCTCAAAAGTAGTGAGGGGCAGAGCTGAAATTCAAATCCAGTCTCTTTGTCTCCAAATCTAAGACTCTTTCCATGGTACCAAGGATTTTTTCTACCTCTAACTCCTTGAGCCCAGTGTTGAAGAATGGAAAAATCAGAAGTTTTCAGGGACCTGGGCCCATACTTGCTTCTATTGTCGTGGAAAGCACCAGGGCCATTCTTAGATTTTTATGCAATAGAGGGCTGTCTGCATAGTGATTTCAGAATCACTGGGATACTGTCACTCAAAAATACCTTTCCGACGTGCTTTATCACAGCTGATAAAGCATGAAATCACAAAATCACAGAACCACATGATTAAAAAGGGCCTTGGAAGTCCAATAGAGCATATTTGTTACAAGGGTTTTCTTTTTCTTTCTCAATGAAGGGAGAGGTAAGAATGAGGGGGGAAATGCTCATTAATTGAAAAAAATAATTTAAACAAAGATGGGTGATATTGGCCCATTGATTTTCCAAGCTAGCATTTACATAGGGCTTTGAGGTTTGCAAAGCATGTTCCATAGGTTATCTCATTTGATCTTAACAGTAACCCTGTGAGATAGGTGCTATTATTATCCTGGGATAATAATATCCGGGACAGATAATAATGTCTGGGAGAGGTTAAGTGACTTTCCCAGAATCACACAAAGAGGAAGTGTCTGAAGCAGGATTCTAATTCAGCTCTTCCTGACACCAAACCCAAAATTCTATCCACTTTCAAACAAAAACGTCAATAGTTACTTAGGGTTTATCGTAATGGTAAATTGACTAAGAGTGGTAACCTGACCCTGTGGTTAGTGGATGAACAGTGAGTCAAGAAACTGGAATTCTATCCCCAATCTCAATTCTGCTCACAGTACTGCCTTCCTGGGACCCCGAGCATATCAAATAACCTCTCTGCTCTTCTATATCTCTCATCTATAAATGGATGATACTGCTATACCATTCAGCTGATTCAGAATGCAAATGAAAGGAACAAATTTCTTATGGCTCAGTTGGAGGTAGGCACTAACTAGTTGAGATTATTTTAATAAGCACTACAGTACATTAGAAAACTGGTGGGGAGTAAAATTGTAGGAAGAAGGCAGCTCATTGGTCACAAGCCTATTGATTGATTTAACTACAGGAGAAGAGGACATAACAGTATTGTAATCATTATAATTGGTAATAATTACCAATGACTTACTGACACCTAGGGAGACAATGACCTCATGTTTTTCTTGGCTTGTGAATGCTTGCAGAAAACATAATGGCAGTCATACATTCCTTATTGAATATTCCTAGGACATAATAACTGGCCTCTGAGAGAAACTAATCATTAATTTAATGCTAGGAAAGACCCACTTTCCTCTTTGCCCCCCCCTTCCCCACCTTTTCCCTTAATCGTTCTTTGTTAAGTTTCCTGAAACCTTATTCCAAATGACCAGTTAGACATAGCCAGACTCATGAATGCATGCTCTCTCTCTTGCGCTCTCTCTCTCTCTCTCTCTCTCTCTCTCTCTCTCTCTCTCTCTCTCTCTCTCTCTCTCTCTCTCTCTCTCTCCCCCTCCCTCCCTCCCTCCCTTCCTCTCTCACTTTTTCTCCCTCTAATGTAACCTAGGAATGCCTGCAAATGTTGGATTTGCCTGATGGTAGAGCCTCGAGAAAACACAGGGGACTTCACTCTAAGCAAACTCCATATGTGAAAAATCCATATTACCAAACATATATTTAGTTCCTAGGGGTCACTGACTGGCTAAGCATAAGAATCCTAGTCCTTAATGAAGTCTGGTCATGCCCAATAGCAGAGAGTGCACAAAATAGATGCCAAATTCTCTGGTTCTCAAAAAGTTGGATACCTCTGCCTACTAGCTCTATCTCTGAACGGCAGTGCTCACCTCGTTAATTTGTATATGGTCCTTGGGGGTTGACCTAATTCATGTCTTGACTTAGCCCTCACTCGCTAGGAGACTTTGCCCTCTTTCCTTCCCTGCTATATTTTAGCAATTATGTGAGCAAGGCCTAATAGTATTGACCACACAAGCATTGCTTGACTGTATACAGTGTTTTACTACTATCATAGAAGCAAAAGAAATAAAATTAAATATATTAAAATGGCTACTGCATGGACTAGATGGCCATGGTTTCACCCAGACTCAGGCAACATAAGGGTTTTCAGGGTAACTGGTGGAATTTTCATCGATGTCTACTTGCACTTCTCTTTTATGTATGTTCATGTATTTGTACATACGCGTTCATGATGTGCTTTTGTCCTACAGAATGCTGATGTCACCAAACGCTTCTCTACCCTAGCAAGCCAGTTCAAGCAGTCCCTGGATCAGCTGATGAAAATCCTAAACAGTTGCCAACCCTACTTTGTCCGCTGCATCAAACCCAATGAATTCAAGAAACCCCTGGTAACTTGCATCCTCCCCGCTGTTTTAGTTGTCATTTTAAGGAAGAGCAAGCAGCAGGTCATTTGTATCATCTGAGCTCCAAGGTCCTAGCCTTCTCCATTCTTTCTTTCCTCCCTCCTTCCCCAACACCACTTGCTTTTATCAACAATAAACATCTGTTACACACCTGCTATGTGCAGTACATTATGCTGGGCTCTGAGAACAATTAAAGTTTAGATACCTGGATTTGTAAAGCAAAGAACAGAAGATAATACCTTTCAAAAATAAACATTCTGAAAAGTGACACAAAAACATCTCATGAAATAGCCTCATATTTTTTGCCAATGAGGCTGTTACTTTTGCTTTGAAAGAACACACTAAGCTGACCAGAAAGCTACCTGAGATTTAAAGTTCTCTGGGACAGCATCCACTGAAAATCACAGTTTCAGAGCTCCTTGGAGGGTTCCAATGTGTTTTCTTTTACCAGGCCAATTAGAGGGACATTTTAGTTTAAATAAAAAGACATTTAACCAAAAAGCATAGCAAATAAGTGATATGAAAGACCCTCTGTGAAAAGCAAACTGTGCATGATGCAGATCTGCTATGTAATATAATCCTCTTTTTCTGTTCTGCTTTGCATATAGAAATGTTTATCTTATTTGGCTTTTGCTAAATTCAGAATTTTTAAAAAATTAAATAAAAATTTCTCCCTCTGCCTTCCCCTCAATAGTATACTTTCCCATCAATTGCTACCAAATGGTGGGAGGGATATATGTGGTAAACATGTGTGGCAAGTGAAAAAACATAGAGGGAACCATAAGGAACACATATGACCAGAGAACATGATGGCTTTGTCAACTCATGCCTCCAATACTGCAGAACCTCCCATGTCCCCTGGTGATATCATTGAATTGCTCTTTCCTCAGTGTCTCCACTGAGATTATGCTACTCTGTGTTGTTGTCTACCGGTCTACTTACCTCAGTTTCCTTATCTGTAAGACAAGGATAATAACAAAACCTACCTCCTAGGGTTGTTGTGAAGATCAAACAAGACAATAATTACAAAGTGCTTATCATAGTGCCTGGCACAGATTAAGTGCTATATAAATGCTAGCTATTATTATTGGTCTTAACACTACCAAAACCCTCTGTCCAAGTCCCTCACAATATGGAGACCTTGGTTACAGTCCCAGCTCTGGAACTAACTCCCTAATGTGCTGCACCTGTGGTTTCCTCTCTGCCAGCTCTTTGATCGGGAGCTGTGTATTCAGCAGCTACGGTACTCTGGCATGATGGAGACTGTGGAAATAAGGAAATCAGGCTATCTCATCCGCTACACCTTTGAAGATTTCTTCCAGAGGTACAAGATACTCCTACCTGCGGCTGCTCGAGTAGAGGTTTGTGTTATCCCTCCGCTGGGGGAAGGTTGGCCCCGGGGACTTTGCAGTTCTTTGTGTCCACCCTGCAAGTGCCTGCCATTTGGCAAAAGGTTTCACAGGCTGTTGGCTTGTCCCTGGCCTGGGTTGTAACTGGCCAAAGCAGATGGCCCCTCAGCAAAATTGGAAAATTGTTGATTTTGTACTCAGAATCCTGCCATCTTCCCTTTCCTGTTTCCTTTCTACCTGCTAACTACCCATCCCTCTATTCTACCAGAAACATTCAATGCCCTTATGCTGCCATTTACCTCCAGGGCCCTCGTTTAGACGTGTCCTCTCTGATTGTAATGGTATAATACAGGGAGACCTGGCTTGGGTGCTGACTGCATTGCCTTTCATCTATTATATATATGTGTGTGTGTGTGTGTGTGTGTGTGTGTGTGTGTGTGTGTGTAATATATATATATACATATATATATATAAAAACATATTTAATATATTTATATATATATATATATATAAACATATTTAATATATTTTTGCCTTTCTTTGTATCCCCAGGACTTAGCACAGTACTTAGTATGTGGTAAGCGCTTAATAAATGCTTGTTAACTTGACCTATACCACCTGTAAAATGTGGTTAGCAAAGTAACATGTATGAGCTCCTTCGCTGAAATATTCTGGAGGAACCAATGGAATCCCCCCTACAATGTTCCAATATCATGGCAATCTTGGAGATCAGGACCTCGTCCTTTGCTGGGGCACTAACCTATCCCTATTTTGTTTGTTTTGTTTTTAATGACAGCTGCAGGACAAACCTCGTCAGGCCAGTCTGCGCATCTTAGAAACCTGGCTAGGGAAAGATGAAAACTGGAAAATGGGGAGGACCAAAGTCTTCCTCAAGGTAAGGCTGGCTGAGCATGCCCTGGTCTCCACCTTTCAGGAAATAAGCCATAAACAATTTCTTAGAGAAATAGTCTCTCTGCCTTTCTTCCTACTTGACGCTCTAGTCCTGGGTCCATCACATCCCTTTGTGATTCCAGCTAGGGTAGAGGGAGCTCCTGGTAAAGCTTCCAGTAACCCCACATACTCTGTCACTTATTACTGAAAAGTGTAAGGATTTTTGGTCAACAAGATTTCTTCAAATTGATTCCCATTAAGTATAATATTGGAACTTGCTAATTAAAGGAATTTTGCAGTGAACCCTTCTGTAAAATGATACAAAATCACACCTTCAGCAAACTTCTTATAAATTCAGAGAACAGACTGAGATTTTCATTTCCCCAAGAATTATAAAATAGGCAGCACAGAGTAGGGGATAGAGAGCCAGCCTCAGCACCAGGTCAACCTGTGGTCGTGTCCTTCGTGTGATATATACTGACCCTATGATTTTGAGCAAGACCTTCAGCCTCTCAGTGGACCCAGGCAATTCTGGAAAATGGTGTGGAGCAACCATTCATCTGTATAACAAAAAGAGTTTCCACACTGGGAATTCCCTACACTAATGAAGTCACAGGTTTAATGCCCTCCTCCCCCTTAAAAAAAATGGGCTACAAATCTGGATTGTAGTAATACAGAGTATTCATATATTTATTCATTGACTAATATTATAGAGAACTACCATAGGATCATAGGATTTTAGAGCTGGAAGAGACCTTACAATGAATATAAATGCACAATTTTGTATAATTTACTTCACATAAACTGTGCAATGACTCCCAGTTGTCCATAGAGGGAAAGGGAGGACAGATGGGGAGGAATAGATGTAATCCGGATTATTGAAATCCTGAAATAATACCTGCTTCTCATTTGCATACCCCCCTCAACCCTCTTCCCCACCCAGCCTTTATAGCATCTGTTTCCAAATGAGAGAAGTGAAATGATAACCCTATTCCTTGCCATGACCCATTCTGAGATGGGTTTATGCAAAGTGAGGAACAAAGCAAAGAGATGAAAAAAGGGCCTGGATAACCAGCCTAGTATTCAAGGCTATCCACCATCTGACCCCAGTCTATCCTTCCAACGTTACCTGTTGTAATTACCCTTTTCCCCCAAATATGGATCCTCTACTCCAGCCAGGCTAATCTTACTGCTGTATACACACACACACACACACACACACACACACACACCCCAGCCTACATTGATCTCTCCCTTTTCTGAAAGTCTATTCTCTTTATACTTAGTGTGATGAAGCTTTCAAAGCTAGGCTAAAGAACTTGGCCTTGCAAACCAAGAACCCACCAGTGGTTCTGCTTGCCTATTCTCCCTCACTCAAGAGACAAAGGAAAGGAAGAAATTGAATGGGAAAGGAATAAGGATGTATATAGCACCTGCTATGTGCCAGGCACTGTGCTAAGTGCTTTTACAAATATTATCACATTTGGTCCTCAACACAGCCCTGGAAGGGAGGCAAATGCAATTGTCATCCCTTTTTACAGCTGAGTATACTGAGGCAGACAGCGGTTAAGTGACTTGCCCAAAGTTACATAGCTAGTTAAGTGTCTGAGTTCAGATTTAAACTCAGGTCTCCTTGATTCCAAGCCCAGTACTTTATCCACTATGCCACCAGCTGCCTCTTACAGAAAACGTAAATGGATTTGAACCAGCCTTCCTGGTCATTCAATTGACTCAAACTGTCTCTATTGGCAAGTAGGCAGGCAACTTTGGATAGGGTTCTTCTGACAGGATCAGGTTGAAATAATAATAATAATAACAACAATAACTAGCATTTATTCACACTTCAAGGTTTATAAAGAGCTTTACAAACATTATCTTATTTGATCCTCACAGTAACCTGAGAGATGGGTGTTATTATTATCCTCATTTTATAGATGGGGCAGCTATAGATTGGATAGAGTGCTGGATAGAAACATCTTCCTGAGTTCAAGTCTGGACTAGTTGTGTGACCCTGGGCAAGTCATTTAACCCTGTTTGCCTCAGTTTTCCTGATCTATAAAATGAACTGAAGAAGGAAATGGCAAACTGCTCTAGTATCTTTGCCAAGAAAATCCCAAATGGGTCACGAAGAGTTGAACGTGACTGAAAACGACTGAACAAGAACAACAACAACAAAAATTAGGAAAATGAGACAGGTTAAATGACTTGCCCATGGTCACCCAGATAATAAGAGTCTAAAGTGGGATTTGAACTCAGATCTTCCTCACTCAAGGTCTACTGCTCTGTTCACTGTGCCACCTAATTTCCACTATGGTCACACCCACGTAGAAAAGTTTGATTGGTCTGGTGACTGGGTAAACTCTTCCAGTCTTCACGCATCTCCTATTTGGTGGATACAACTTAGTCCCTGTATCAGCAGCACCAAAAGATTGAAGTCTGAGCTCATGTCAAATCCAGGGGGCTAGGAGGACACAAGGACCATCAAATTGTTTGGAATGTATATTATCTGCTCTCTAATTCTAAAACTTTCATAAGTCTGTGATTTCCTCACTGAGGGTATTCCCTCTGCCAATGTCATGACCCCATGCTGATCATGACTCCAGCAAGCCTTCCTGAGGGTGCTATGAATGAAGACATTTGTCATCGTCTGGTGATGAGTCTCTCTGACCTTACCTAGGCTGATTTTAGAAACTAGTCCACCTAGGGGCAGCTAGGTGGCGCAGTGGATAGAGCACCAGCCCTGGATTCAGGAGGACCTGAGTTCAAATCTAACCTCAGACACATAACACTTACTAACTGTGTGACCCTGGGCAAGTCACTTAACCCCATTGCCTAGCCAAAAACAAAACAAAACAAAAAATAGTCCACCTAGTCCATTTATGAGGTCAAACTCAAAGCTCTTACACCTTGGCAGTATCTGTTAACAGGTGTCACTCCCCTGGAGTAACATTCAAGAACCCAAATACACCTTCTTCTAATAATCTTCATGTCCTTTAACCCACTGAATCCTCACAACCCTCCCCTCAATAAGGCAGGTAGGTATTATTGACAAATAAGCATGTGTTTTACAAAGAGAAATACATAGTCCCTGATTCTTGCCTTCTGAGAGCTCACAATAAATTACATATACTGAGATGCAGAACTGAAGAAGACCTTCTACCTTCCCTCTGCAGGTGATAGGATCTAGCAATAATATGAATGAAATAAAAAGCATGTATTAAGTGCTTACTACAAAGCACTGGGGAAGGGAACAACACTTACTAAGAACTTACTATGTGCCAAGTACTGTGCTGAGCACTTCACAATGTTATCTCATTTGACAAATGAGGAAAATGAAGCAGAGAAAGATTAAGTGATTTTCCCAGGATCACACAGCTAATAAATGTTTGAGGTCAAATTTGAACTCAGGTCTTCTTGACTCCAGACCCAGAGCTCTATCCATTGTGTTACCTCATTGTATTTAGGGAGAAATAGAAAAGTAAAACAGTCTTTACTCTCAAGGAACTGACATTCTACTATGAGGAGACAATACACAGAAGAAGTTTTACTTGTAAATCAGAAGGAAATGTCCCGTGGTCCTTAGGGTACAGTTGGTGGTAATGCATCTTCTTTAATGCCATTTCCACTAATAAAATCATACGAGTTTCTGATATTGAACTATTTAACCAGTGTCAGGGACTTTGGTGGTAAGAACTTTCTCTTCTGGGTCTGGAGTGGCTGCAGCACATGTAGACGAGGTTGCCAGGCTGTGTCTCCACAAGGGTTTCTTCCTGGGATGATGGCTATGGGGGCTTGACTGGAAGCAGGATTGATGGTCTGGGAGATGCTACCATTCCTGGGGCTTTTGAACTTCACTGTCAGTTGGTGGCAGTTGGTGTTGGTGGTGTTGAGGAAAGTAGACCCTTTCTCCAAAGTGATCACTCCCCTTAATGACTATTGTGGGGTCTGGGCTGGAAGTAGGGTCAGTGGTCTGGGAGACATTGCTATTCTCAAGACTCTTGGGTTCAAGGTCCTGGGCTATTTCCATCTGGATCTGAGGGGAAGCAGTAGTGGGTCCATTTGCTTGCAGGTACTGCTTCTTGCCTCTCCCTTAGAGTGCCTTGTTGCTTTGTCTAGGCTGGCTTATCTGCTTCATATCTGATTCTCTCCCCACCCTCCAGGATTACCAAGATACTCTATTGGAGAAGCAGATGAGCCAGGAGCTGCACAAGAATGCTGTCACCATACAGAAAGCCATACGAGGATACAAGTATAGGTATACCTTGATCTGTCCCATACCCATCCCCTTCTTCATGCTTTCTTAGTTCCTCTCCAAAAAGGAAATTCCTCCTGACTCTACTCCCTTAAGAGACTGACCAATATTGATATTATGGGAAAGAGAATAAGCATTTATGTAGCACCTGCTATCTGCCAGCCACTATGCCAAGCACTATTTGTAAATATTATCACATTGGGTCCTACTCCTGGGCCCAGATTTTCTCCCTCTATCCAATTAAGTGCTGTTAAGTAAGGTATTTATAGAGCTATCTCAATTATCTTGGGAAATGTGCAGTACACTGAGACAATATTGTGTAAATCGGTCAATACTAGCTCATGTGTGAAGGACAGTCTTGTGAAGAGAGCTTAGATTTATTCTGAGTTGTTCTTGACAGCAAAACTAAGCCTATTAAGGTGAAGTAACAGAGAGGCCAATTTCAGCTAAAGTCAAACTGAACCTTACAAGAATTTGAGTTGTCCCAAAGTAGAACATGCTAACTTCTAAGATAGTGAGTTTCTGTGCCTTTTGAAATGTTGAAACAGCAAGCAAATGGTCGTCTCTCAAGAATACTGTAGAAGGAATTCCTTTGAGAGGGAGATTGGATAAATAACATCTGAGACCCCTTCTAACACTGAAATTCTATAATTTTGTGGGTACAAGGTCAACTGAAAGTGGCATCACTGTGAAAATGAAGATGATTGGTCCCCCAGTCACAGGCACCTCTATGAGGCCCAGCAAAGGAAGTTCAAAATCAGAGTTGCTGCCTGGGAATATTAGAGGAATAAGGAGGTGCTGAAAGATAGTGAGATAAGAGACTCAGGCCTTCTACCTACATCAGTTCAGTGGGGTTAGCTGGAGTCTGAGTAAAAGCCAAGGTCCCTAATGCCAAAAGCAATATGTCAAACAAGGGAACAATCAGTAGTCATCAGTACCATCCCTAAAGTGTAGCATGTCTAGGTGATTGCTCACTGCCCTATGGTTTGGTGGGCACTAAGACACTCCTTTGACTGACCATTCGGTAATGACTCAGGGAGGAAGCCAGCCAAGGAGGAAATGGGAGGGGAATCCTTTAGGTGGCAATAAAAAAAAAAAAAGACCTCATCTTCAATACTTCTAGCATTTGTAATTTCAGTGGTGTGGCACTCTCTCTAGCAAGACATATAGTATAGTACCCCTCTTTGCCTTAGTATGTGCCTTAGTATGAAGCAGGATGTTAAAGTACATGGGTTCTTAACCTGGGGTCCACAAACCTTCAAAGGGTCCAAGTATAGATTTCAGGGAGTCTGTAAACTTGGATGGGGGAAAAATACATCTTTATTTTAATATAATTGTTTTTCTTTGTGTAATCCTATGTGTAATATATATATGTACATATATATATGAATAGTTACATACATATATACACATACATATTTAAACATATTCTAAGAAGGAGTCACAGGCATCACAAGACTGTCAAAAGTGTCCATGACACAAAAAGTCAAGAACTGCTGTGGTAGTAGAAAGAGCACTGTCTGTGGAGTCGGAAGACCTAGGTTCAAATCCTCTCTCTGATACTTACTGCCTTTGTGACTTGGTCCCTGGGCCTCAGCTTGCTTGTCTATAAGATAAGGCTTTGGACTAGATGGCCCTATAGTTTCATGAGTCACTGTGACTCCCACCCTCAAATTCATGACCAGATATCCTACCACCTAGGGATGAGCTTATCTATAATTAGTCTGGTCCTTGCATGATAAACACAATGTATTTCCTAGCCTGTATTCAGTTGTGGTGATGCTCCACATATTGCAAGGGCTGTCCCCTTCATTTAGCATGGGGGTGCCATTGTGTGGCTCAAAAGGAAGGCAGAATAGGCATCTCTAGCCTCTTTTCCCCCCATTCTTATCCAAGGGAGAATTTAATTCCTCCCAGAAGGGGAAGTAGGAACTTGAGCCTGGAGGATACTCTGCCCTCCTTAAAGAGAGGGGATATCGGGCTAGAATTATATCTATCTTCTCCTTTAAGTATCGCTAGTCTAGGGGATGTTATTTTCAGGTTCAATCTAACTTCTGATTATTGTTTCATTAAATGGGGAGAAACAGGACTCCAAGCTTTATATACAAGGCTTGACTCCTTTCCCACCAAAATACCAATTCCACAATGAACACCCATATAGCAATTAGCGAAGAAACCCATTTATCCAATCTGATAGCAAAACAGAAATCAGAGAAGGTATACATAGGAGGATATAGAACAGACAATACAGAGTGAAGGAGCTCTCCCATTGGGAGTGAGATAACACAGCTCAGCCAAGAGAAAGAGCCCCAGGCTTCACCCAAGGTGAAGTTCCCTGAAGTCTCTAGTGCAACAAACTGGGGATAGGCACATGATGGTGACTGGCAGCTTCCCTCAGGTCTTCCCAGAGTCTTTTCCTTAAGTAACCTGAAGTGGGGTTGGCCTTGTCCGTCTTCTCTCTTGAAGTTAGAAACGAGAAGTGCCCAAAGTAACTACAGAGCATGAAGAGACTCATAAGCTCAAAGGTCTAAAGAAAATTGCAGAGCTCTCCTGTGTTAGCCAACTCCACCCCCAACTCAGATGTTCAAAAGGCATCAAAAGACTAAAGCTCAGGAGAGAGGTTAGAGCTGGTTGTATAGATCTGGAAATTATTTGCATGGAGATGATGAGTGAACCCAGGATTTCCAATGAGATCACCAAGTGAGATAAGTTAGAGGAAAAAGAGAAGAGAGCCCAGGAGAGGGACTTTGGGGATACCCAGATAGAGGCATATTCAGTCTTTGGAGCATGGTATAGAATCTGTCCAAGCTTGTAATCCACTGATATCACTTTCTAAATTCTGGGATTACCTTCATGCCATGATGAGGTACCAAAGTAGGGCTTGAGTAAAGGAGGCCCTATCTATCAGCCCATAAATTCTATCATTGCAATGAAGGCTAAGAAAGAACTGTCCCCAGTCTCATCCTATACCCTTTCCTCACATTCCCCTTTCATGACCTATTTCCCCCTTCAATCCTGCTTTTAGCATTTATTTTAATCTGATTTAATGTGCACAAACATATTTGAAAGTCAGTGTGGTGGAATGGATAGAGAGCAGGAAGACCTGGGTTCAAGTCCCACTCTGATGCATCTTGGCTGTGTGACCCTGAGCAAGTCATTTAACTACTTAGTATTTTTATGCAATGCTCTAAGACTTAAATTGCAAAGAGGATACTGACCTAAGACTACAAATTACAAAGGTGATTGGTAGAGGAATTTCCTCATGTAGGATTCCCTACACTGATATGATCACAAGTCTAATCTCTATTCTATTCATGTTCGTGGGAGAAGAAGAATACAGAGCTCTTTATCAGTTATTTACAAAACACCTACCAAAGAAGGTGCTTAGAGTCACATTTCCATTTTTTCATAAAACCATTTTCAATTTTTTCATCTCCAAAGTTATCCTCTCTACTTTTCATACCAACTTTACCCATTGCTTCAATATTTCTGAAACTTTTAGATTTCTGACTGGCATTTTCTGTTTCTAGGAAGGAATTTCTGAGTCAGAAGCAAGCAGCTGTGGCCCTTCAGGCAACATGGAGAGGTTATGCTTGCAGAAGAAATTACAAGATGGTAAGAAAGCTGACTGAGGATCCCCAGAAATCTGTGGGAGGGAATGGGTTATGCTGTAAATGGCTCTAAGATCTCTGAGAGACTTCTCAGGGAAAGACTGAACAGAGAAGGGGTAACTCCATCAGGAGACCCTGAAAGGGGGCAGTTGCCTAGAATGAGTTGGATTGGATTTATCTTCCACGTGTAGAAGAGACTTCAGAGAACCATCCTGACATAGTGGGAAGAGAACTAGTTTCAGAGCCAAGAGGGCTCGGCATTTCTGACAAATATTAGCCGTAGGACCTTGGATGTATGACTGAGCAAGTCACTGATTAGTACCTTTACTGTAAGTTGCTGAGAAAGCATCACTCTACATTGTTAGAAAGAGTTTTCTCCCTGGGAGGCTCTTTATGCTTATGAACCAATGAACTTAAAATTAAAAAAAAAAAAAAGAGTGAGGAGAATACATTTGTGAACTAATGTCTCTACTGTAGCCAGCCTAATACCTGTGCAGGAAAGAGAAATTAGTTCTCTCAGAGGTTACCAAAAGACCTTGTAATCACCACATTCTATGGCCTTTCTCATGCCTGAACCTCCTGAACATCTCTACTGCATTTTACACTGTTGACTACCCCTTCTTTCTGACATTTTCTTCTTGGCACCCTTGACTTCCATGACATTGCTACTTCTTTATCGGATCCCTATCTTTCAAACAATTCCTTGTCTGGCCCTGGGTTCATCTTCCTCCTCTCATCCCCAAGACAAAGGATATGGATAAAGCTTCTTTCAGACTTTGCCCTTTTCAGACTTTTAGGGACAATCTTGAGGGGCCTATTTAAAGATTTTAAAAGACATGAAATTTTAAGTTTCCCACTCCCAGCTGCTAAAGGCAGGGGAATTTTGAATGGCCCATTTGCATATGAAAAGGTCAAGAAAAGCAAGGGTTGGCAAAGACATCTCCACATCAAATGGGAGAGGCAGAAAAAAAGAGGTTTTTGTTAAATTAACAAGCATTTGTTTTCTTTCCTTCCCACTCCTCCCCCAAAAGAAGAACAAAACCCTTGTAGTAAGGATTGTATAAATATATATGTGTGTAAATATATGTGTATATTCAGGATAGATAGGTAGATAGATAGATGGATCGATAGATGGATGGATGGAGATATATAGATATCTATATCCATGACTCACATTATAGGAATTTACTTTGCTTAGAGATATCTTTATATCTATATCATATCTCTATATATAAAAGTATATCTATGTAGCCCCACCTACCTTAGAGATAGATCTCTCTCCCTCTTTCTCTCTCTCTGTCTTATTTCTGCATATTTAGTCTATCAAAGTAGGTGCCACTGCTGGTGTCCAACTGCAGAGTAGGAGCACTGAGAAAGTAGAGAGTACAAGCATTTGGAGTGCGAACCCTGCCCCTGAGATGATGGGACCTAGAGCTGAGACTCCTACAGGTTCTAAGGTGTGGGCTTTCTGAGGTGAAAGATCATCACAGGACCCTAGGATGGGGAACTGTCTGAGCCCAAAGTTGGAGGCTTCAGTGACAACAGCTAAGCAGTGCAACAGCCTCCCTCCCCTTCTCTTCATCCACCCTATTTCAATCCCTTGTTGTATCTCACCCAGACAATTGCAGTGACCTTTGAAATGTTCTCTGTGTCAAATCTAATTCCACTCCAAACCATCTTCCACATAGCTGCTGAAGCGATTTTCCTAAAGCACAGGTCTGGTTATGTCACTTCCCTGTGCAAAAACCTCCAGAGGCTCCATAAAATATAAACTTCTCTGGCAGTTAAAGCCCTTCACAGTCTGCCCCCTCCCATTTCCAGCCATGGGCTGTACATAATTCCTGTTCAAGCACTTTACCATCTATTCAATCTGCCCTTCTTACTGTTATTGCTTATTCGCAGCGCTCCATTTCCTGGCTCCATGTCTTTCCAATGGCCATTCCCCATGCTCTCTCACCTCTGCCTCTAAGAATCTCTAGTTTCCTTTGAAATTCAGCTCAAAAGTTTCCTGTCATAAAAAAATTTCCTGATTCCTCCCTAACTAGTAGTACTCTCCTCCACTCCCAGTCACCTTGAATTTACTTTGGATATACCTATATATGAACATGTTGTTTCTCCCCTGATAGAATGTTACTCCACGAGGGTGGGAACTATATCTTTGTGTCCCCAGATACTTAATAAATGCTTGCGGGCTGATTGATGAGCCCCTATCTATATGTCTAAATGGGGCAGTTAGTTGGTTCAGTGGATGGGGTGCTGGGCATGGAGTCAGGAAGACTCATATTCCTGAGTTCAAATCTGGCCTCACACTTACTAGCTCTGTGACCCCAGGCAAGTCAACCCTGTTTCCTCATCTGTAAAATGAACTGGAGAAGGAAATGGCAAACCACTTCAGTATCTTTGCCAAGAAAACCTCAAATGGGGTCATGAAGAATAGGACATGCTTGAAATGACTGAACAACAACAACCCAAAAATCTGAATATCGACCTCTAGAGTCTCCCCTGAGCACCAGTCTCAACTTCCTAACTACCTGCTGGACATCTCCTCTGAACTACTTCCCCACCAAAACCTGCCCCTCCTCCTAACATCCTTATTTTTGTTTATGGTACAACCGCCTTCTGATCCCCCCAGACTAGAAATCTCGATTACATTTGCCTCTTTCCTCTCCCTTCGTTAGCACAGTCAATCATTTGAGTCCTATTGATTTCATCTCCACCACCTCTCTCACATCCATTACCCTTCTTCACTTGCCTGTTGTATTGATCTCTTTGCTTCTACTCTATTCTCTACTCTTCACTCCACTGCCAAACTGGTTTTATCAACGCACAGCTCCCTCCTCAAAAACATTTGGTGGCTTCCCTTTAACTAAAGGAGGGACCACAAAATCCTTACTCTGACATTCATTTTCCAGCCATATTTTGCCATGCTTCTCTTTGTTGCGGTCTGAGAGATTGAGAGGTTGTGACCTCAAAGACTGAAGTACATGGGTCATCTGGAATGAATTCACTGACTCAAGCATTCTTTAAGTCAAGGTGGCAAAGTTTTTTGTTAAACTTTTCAGCGGGCAAGGATTCTTAAAGGATCCTGCAAACTTAGAGAGGTACAGTTAAAGTTTATATAGGATAAAATACAATAAAACATGTGCCAAATATGCTAACTAGGGGATTCAGGGTGGGATTAGGGAGTGGTTAAGGAGTGGTCAGTCCTTAAAAGAACACGCACTTCTTGTACCTACTGCGCAGGCATTTTACCCAGAGTTCACTAGGAAAAGCCCACAAGGGGGGCTACATGGAGGTGTGGTTTTAGGCCTGCTACATCACTAAGTTAACTAGAGTTCAGGGTAACTGAGAGTTGTCCAGTCTGCCACCAATCAATGTCTTGTTAGACAAGATGGATGTAGGGAGTGTACATATCTCTTAAGTCTAGAATACAGTTAATGAGGAGCCCAGGATGTAGATAATGTGGTAGGGCGGTAGGATAGTATAGTAGTGGGTAAGAATGTCTTTATGACCCAGTGCAAAGCCAGTTTAAACTAATAAGTCCTTCAGGTGCTGTTTGGAACTGCACCAGGGAGAGAGATAAGGGTCTTGCTGGGCCCCACTCATGAGTAATTGCCAGGGTCCTTGGGCTGGGGAGAAACTGTCAGGGATAGTGTTTCTGAGGCTAGGGAGAAATTGGGCCCAAGTACAAGCACCCAAACATAAACACCCAAGCATAAGCACCACATCATCTTCACATTCTCTGTCAGCTGATCTCACTGCTAACAATTCCTCATCTTGTCCAGACCTCTCTTATTTCTTTGCATTTGCACACATCATCCCCCATCTCTGGAAGGGACTCAGTATCTCCATCTTTTGAAATCGTTTCCTTCCTTCAAGGCCTAGCCTAGGTGCCACTTTCTCCATAAAGCCTTTCATGAGTCCCCCATATGGAAGAGCACTCTCAATCTCCAGTCTTTTATGCTTCTCATTTGGATTTTTCCTTTGTATTTCTCTCATTCTGAATATCATATGTGTTTTATGTGTTTCTGTATAAGCATCATTGGCTTACTAAACTGTATGTTCTCTGAGGGCAGGAGCTACACCATTTTCCATCTTTGTAATTTCCAGAATCTAGCATAATACCATGCACACAGTTGATTCTTAAGAAACAATTGTTTTAATTAACAAATTTATCTTCAATTCCCTAAACTAAATTTTAACTAATTCAAGTCAGGTTTTATGCTTGGGCCATAGATATTTGCATAACAAGGTTTTAACTGGACTTGTCTCCCAGATGTGAAATAACACAACTATGAAATTCTAACATAACCTGTAAAGTCCAAACACAGTTTCATTTATTAAGGGCCATTAATGGATTTCAATAACCTATGAGCTAAAACAACAGTTTCCTTATTTGTTTGTAGTTTAATTAGAAGGATAAAATAATTAATTTTTTCATTGTTCATCTAGACTTCCAAGTTTAGTTGATATACGTGATGCTTTCACTTTTTATCTATAAAAAAGATAACGTTATGGGCTGACTCAAATAATAGAGATAAATGTAAAGTTCTATACCTGGGTTCAAAAAATCAGTTTTGTAGAAACAAGGTGGAGGAGACATCACTAGATAAATAGATCTGAAAAAAAGATCTTGGGCTTTTCAGTGAAGTTTAATATCAGGATGAATAGGTGGTATAACATAAATAGCTACAAAATCTAGTGCAATCTTGGGGTGCCTTCAGAGAAGCATGGGATCCAGAGCACTGGAGATGTTCCTCTGCTGTGTACTGTCCTGGTCAGACAACATTGAGAATATTGTATTAAGTTCTGACACTGACACTCCAGAGAAAAATGGTGAAGGGGCTGGAGACCACAACTCATGAGGATTTGGTTGAAGGACTTAGGGATTCTTAGTCTGGAAAGGAAAAGAGGGGACATGACAGCCATCTTCAAGTATTTGAAGGATCATTCTGTGGAAGATAGTAGAGAGCAAAACTAGGTGGTTGTTCATTGTTGTTCAGTTTTGTCTGACTCTTCCTGACCCTGTGCACCATAGCATACCAATGCTGTCCATGGGCTTTTCTTGACAAAGATACTGGAGTGGTTTGCCATTTTCTTCTCCAGTGGATTAAGGCAAACAGAGATTAAGTGACTTTCCCAGGGTCACACAGCTAAGTATCTGAGGTTAAATTTGAATTAAGGCCTTCTTGATTTCCAGCCTAGTGCTCTATCCACTGAGCTACCTACCTGCCTTCACAGAACTAGGAATAATGAATAAAAGTTGAAAAAATTTAGGTTTGATGTAAGGAAAACTTTCTAGCATTTACAGTTATCTAAAAGTGGAATGAGGGGGCAGCTAGGTGGCGCAATGGATAGAGCTCTGGCCTTGAGGTCAGGAGGACCTAAGTTCAACTCCAGTCTCAGACACATGACACTTACTAGCTGTGTGACCCTGGGCAAGTCACTTAACCCCAATTGCCTCACCAAAAAGCAAATAAATAAATAGATAGATAGAGAGATAGATAGAGAGATATAGATAGATAGATAGATAGATAGATAGATAGATGAATAGATAAATAGATAAACAAACAAACAAATAAATAAATAAATAAATAGATGAATGAATGAATGAGTGAATAAAAAAAAGTGAAATGAGCTGCCTTTGGAAATAGTTCTCCTTACTGGAGGGCTTTGCAAAAAGGCTGAGTGACCACTCATTAGGAACATTGTAGAGAGAATTCTTAGGGGTAGCTAGGTGGTACAGTGAATAGAGCACTGGGTCTGGAATCAGGAAGACCTGAGTTCAGATCCAGCCTCAGATACTTACTAGGTATGTGACCCTAGGCAAGTCACTTAACCCTGTTTGCCTCAGTTTCCTTATCTGTAAAATGAGCTGGAGAAGGAAACGGCAAATCACTCTAGCATCTTTGCCAAGAAAACCCTAAAAGGGGTCATGAAGAGTCAGACAGGACTGAAAATGACTAAATAACAACTGCAAAGAATTTTTAGTCATACATGAGTTGGACTGGGTGGTTTCAGAGGTCTTGTCTAACTTTAAGATTCTATGATTCTGTGATCAGTTGGATATACTTGGAAAACAGGTTTCTTTCTGATTTTCCTTCAACTCTACTTATATTCTTTCAGAATTTCCATGCAACTCTGCCCTAGCCAACCTCTATCACCTTCCCATTAATGTATCTCTTACTCTTTGCAGATCCTTTTGGGCTTTGAGCGGCTACAGGCTATCATTCGAAGGGGCCAATTGACAAAACAATATAATGCCATGCGGGCCAAAGTTATCCAGTTCCAGGCCCTTTGCCGAGGCTATCTGATTCGCCAGAAGGTTGCAGAGAAGAAACGGGCAGTGGTGGCAATCCAGGCACATGCAAGGGGAATGATTGCCCGCCAGAATCTCAAGAGGAGAAGAACAGAGGTAGGGCCTGGAGTCCAAATCCAGAGATGCTACATTTCAGTGATATAGAGCCTGTTGGAAAGTACAGAGGTGGGGACCAGAGTAATAAGGTGGGGGCAAAGGTGATGACAGCGGTGAGTCAGTCAAGAGAAGGGGAGCAGCTATAAGGTGGGATCATCAGAATTTCCATGGAACCACTCTCTGAACCAATCATATGCCAGAAAAGTGTATAGTTTCATACACAGTTCTCTTTTTTTAGTCTTCCTTGTATATAGAAATATTTATTGATGGTTATTAAATTCATAGTAAAAAAATACCAAGCCAACAAAAAAAGCATAATTTTCTAAATCTGCCTATCCTCATGCTGGCAGATTAAAAATATGTTCTGGTGTCTTGTGGGTATGACAAACACAAAACTTTGGGTTAGATTACAGTTAAACATAGTTCACATTGAGTTTTTGATAGCTCAAATATCAGACCTCTACCTACTTGGATCTCCTTTTTAGTGGGTTCTTTTGGGCTCAGGAGCAGAGGCAGAGCAAAGATAAAGAATTGAAGTTAGAGATGGACATGAGAAGTGGGACTGGGGCCAGATGGAGAGACAAAGGGAGGGCAGGGAAGTAGATGTAGCAACAGAAAACCCAGAGAATTCCATATGCTCTAAATCTACAGCAATTCTATTCAATTCAATAAGATAGCGTCACATAATGGAGAAAGAAATAGCCTCAAAGCCAGGAAGGACTGGATTTCAGCCCCAATTATGACATTTTGTGACCGTGCAACTCTGAGTAAGTCATTTAACTTCTCAGGACTTAGGGCAATTCTCTAAGACTGTAAGTTGATGAGAAGATGCCAGTCCACATTGGTAGAGAGAGTTTCCTCATCTGGAAGTTCCCTACACTAATAAAATTAGAGGTCTTGTCCCTGTCTTCAAATACCCATAGTTCTTACCTCACAGGATTGTTATGAGGATCAAATGATATACTGTATGTAAAGTGTTTTGCAAATGTTTAAGTGCTATAGAAAGATCAGTGACCAATAGAATGTGAGCTCCTCAAGTACAGGGATGTCTTTGTATCCCCAGCGCCTAGGACCATGCTTGGCACATAGTAGGGCTTAATAAATTCTTCTTGATTGATTGGTTGAGTGATGCCCAAGGGAATACAAAGGCATAGAGTACATCATCTAGATCCTTAAGGGATTTACAATGTGGCTGAAGAGTTAAGATATTCACATGTAGAAGAGTTTGATAACAATATAAGACAATACATGACCACATGCTACATTATATGGTACCGGCAATAAGCATCCTAGCGGTTTTGAGATATTAAAGATTATTGTGGATCATAACATCAGGGAAGGATTCATGGAGGACATGGGCTTTCTGAATGACTTGAAAGGATGGGTAGAATTTGGATCCCCTAAAGAACCTGGTTATTAAGATATCGTACAGTGTTTGTAATAAGGGTGCCTTGACTACAGCGTACAGATTTATGTGAGTGGCAGCCAAAGCAGCTGGTTCCCAGATGAGTTGCAACATCTGGGTAGCTTTAACCTTTAGCCCCTTTCCCACAGCACCAGAACAGACCTGAGACAAAGAAGCTTCAACTGGAAGAGAAGGAAGGTCTGAGGCTGATTGTCAGGTCAAAGAAGGCAAAGGAAGAAGCCAGTCACCTCCAAAAGGTGCGGAACAAGCTCAGGGGGTGGGCCCTGGCCTCAGTCCTGCGTCAGAAAACATAGTGAAGCCAAATCTTTGTCCATGGGCCTGCATCTGATGATCAGAAACTCCCCTCAACTCTAACTTGCACTATTATTTAGAGGCCATTTCCTCTGTCCCTTCCCTGCTTCTATCTCCATATGACCCTTTCCCTGCTTGTCAGTCCAGAGGGAGCCCTGGAGTCGAGGACAGGAGAGAGGACTCCAGCCTGTTACCCTTTGTTTATGTAAGGGAGCATCTGTGGCAACAAGTGTGGGTGGGGGAAGGAGGCCAAAACGGGGTCTTCTCTTGGAAAGAGGACTGGAGTAAGAGTCAGGGGGCCTGAGTTCTAGTCCTGGTTCTGCCACAGCAGATAGAGGACCCCAGACAAACCATTTCAGCTTTCTTGTTAGTGTGAAATGTTCTCAAGCTGTCAATAATTTGGACTTGAAACATTAAGACTTTGTGATAATACAGACAAGGGCTAATATGACATTTATCTTTGCTCCACCTGTGAAAGGGAGAATTGTCTCAAGTAAGGAATAGTGTGAAGAAGAGAATAGCTTCCAATCCCTCCAGCTACTTCCATCTGTTTGGAATGAATGTGCTTCTTGTAAATTGATCTCATGTGTGGATTGTAGAAGCACCTCCCCCCATAAGGACTTTTACTTGACAGCATTTAGCCTTTGGTGAGAGGTGCTATCTGGATAATAATAATAATAGTCATGATTATTATATATAATATATTATATGTTGTTATATGATAAAAACATGTTATATCATTTATTGTATAACATAACATGATAAATATCGATATTGATATGTGGCAAATATAAATACTATGTAATGATTATTTATTATATAATAGTAATTTATACTTTCCAAAATACTTTGAAATCCATTATCATACTTGATCCATATAACAACCCTATGAGGGAGGGATAGCAGGTATTATCATCCCCATTGTAGAGATGAGGAAACTGAACCTTAGAGAAATAAAGCGGTCTGTCCAAGTGCACACCCTGGGCAGCAAGGCCAAGATCATGTTTTTCAGCACCAAGGTCAGTGCCCTTAGTACTGTAGTACTACTCTAAGAAAAAAATCCAACAATTCAGACAACTCTCTAGCATCCTCCTTCTCAAGTAGTCTGAATTAATGAAATTTGACCCAAATTTCTGACCTTCTGATTATAGTTCAGTCCCATTAGGGCCCAGTGGTCTTGCCCACTTGTCAATAACATCTGTGCATCTGTTATGTGAGTAGGAACATCTGGCTGCCCTAGAGAAAGAAGAGGAAAGGAAGAACCAAATGGTCCAACCAGCCAAGAAGCGTGATTCAATCTATGACCCTGTCAATGATACTGAAATGGTTGAGGAAGTATTTGGCTTCCTCCCAATGATCATAGGTGGCCAGAAAGGCCAGGCACCACAGGGATTTGAGGTAAGTTCAGCCCATTCATTCTAACAAGTCTTTATTGAATGTCTATTCTTCACCCACACTTCTTCTAGGTGTAGTAAAGATACAAGAGAAGAAGACATCATTCCTGCCTTCAAGGAACTTACTGCCCAGTTGAAGAACCAAGACTAACACACACACATACACACACACACACACACACACACACACACACACACACACACACACAAAGACTAGTACAAAGGGAAGAAGGAGAGATTGTTGAAGTGCTATTAGGACTATTATGGCTATGCACTAAATGCTATTAGGAGATTAGGAGAGAAGCAAGAAAAAGGGAAGAAGGGGAATCCGGAGAACAACAAAATGCGTGAACAATTCATTTGAGGAGTATGTTGCAGGCAGGATAGGAAAAATCTAGACCTCTCCTGTCTATCCCAAACCATTTGTTCAACAAAGACAAATAAGATGCAGGGAAGGCTGCAGAGAGGACTAAGGGAAGTGAGGGAGGGTAGTTCTCAGACACTTCAGTAAGGATGGAGACACAAGAAAGGAGAATTCCACAAGGGATGCACACAGGAGTTGCTAAGTCCCTCCTTCTTGAATGATAGTCTGACTATCAGTCTGACTTTGAAGTTAACTGATTGTTTATCTCTCTTTCTATCTTTCTCTGACTGTTCCCACCAGGATCTGGAAACAACCACTGAGAAGTTGACTGAGGTAGACTTGGACACCATCCCTATGTCAGTGGAGCCTGAGGAAGACATGGATGACCTAGATGAGTATACTTTCCCCAAATTTGCTGCTACCTACTTCCAGAAGGCTGCTACCCACACACACATTCGCCGGCCCCTCCACCACTCATTGCTCTACCATGAAGAGGATGAAAACTTCAAGGTACCTTGTTTCCATACTTCTTCCTCTGAGTAGTTGAGACCATATCCTCTCCTTCCTGAATACAGAGGAGGAGGAAGAGCACTAGTTCTTAGAGTCAAAGAAAGAAGTGGGGACAGGAAGAGAGAAATGGTTGTGAGAAGCAGCCCTGTGGTCCCTACAGCCCTGGATCCAGTCTCTGATGGGGTGCTAACAAGAGCAAATTTTGCCTTTCTCTGAGGCTGCTGTTCTTTTTGTTGCTACTCACTCTCCTCAAGGAGTAAGATGGTACAGTTTCCTTCATGCTAATTTCTTAGGCCTCCAAAGCAGGTCCAAATACTGCCTTGGTGGGGAGTGGAAGGAAATGGGAACCACAGAAAAGAACATTATAATAGGTATCCCATTCCTTTAATGGTTCCAGTGTCTTACCAACCCCCAGTGAAATGAGACGGTAGAAGCAAAAGTTAAAAGAAGTTGTCTGGGTTCTAACTACCCCAAAAATATGTGTCTATATGTGTGACTGCAGCACAGGAGGGAGACAGTGCCTGGCACATAGTAGGCATTTAATAAATGTTTACTGAATTGAACTGGTTGTCTCTCTACATGTGTTAGGTGGCTACATGTATGCCTATGTAGATGTTTGTGCATGAATCTATATATGTATGTGTACACGTCCCACAGGTAGAAAGGGTCTGTTCACAAAGAGGGGCTCCCATATCCAAGGTGAATCATTCTCGTTTCTGTTTCTCTGTGTCTCCTCTTCCCTAGATTGCTCTAGTTATATGGAAGATTATCCTGCGATTCATGGGTGAATTCCCTGAGCCCCAGCTATTTGCCAAGAACACCAACCCCCAGGGCACATCGGTAGCAAGACAAATCCGAGACACTCTTGGTAAGAAGAATAATGCCCAGTTTGTGGTGGACAGCGTGCCAGAGAAGGTGAGGAAAGAGGAAACTTGGCCCACACTAACTAAGGAAAGGAAATTGGCACTTCTGATCACCCTCACCCCATCAAACCTCAGTCCTTGATGACCAAGGAATAAAGTGCAAATGATTTATTTGAATGCAAGGGGTTATTATTGAGAATGACTGGCATTGACTTTCCTATGTTTCTAAAAGGAAAGCAGTGGCCAAATTATTTCATGGCTGGTTGCCCAATGGTTAAAGCACATGTCATAGATTATAACATTGTAGATTTAGAGATGAAAGGGACCTCAGAGGTCAATGAGTACAATTTCCTTCTTTTACAGATGGGGCTTCTAAATAGTTTAGTGGGTAGCGCCCCGAGCCTGGAGTCAGAAAGACCTGAGTTCAGATCCAGCCTTAGACACTTACAAGTGTGTGACCCTAAGCAAATCACTTAACTTCTATTTGCCTCATTTTCTTCATCTGTAAAATGGGGATAAGAATAGCACTTACTTCACAGAGTTGTTGTGATTATCAAATGATATTAATATTTGTAAAATGCTTAGTTTAGTGCCTGGTACATAATTAGCTTTATATAAATGTTAGCCAATATTATTATAGATGAGGAAACTGAGGCCTGTAAAGGCCAAGTGAATTACCTAAAGTCACACAGGTAGTAAGTATGTAGCCAAGTTGAGATTGATCCTCATTAGGTCTATCACCACATACAGAGTGTCCCAAAAATCTTAGTGCAGCTTTAAGCTTTAATAGCTTTTGGCACACCCTATATTTTAGGACATTGACTCATCAGGGGAGTCCTGCTTTAGTCCTGGCCAGAAGTCTTCCCTTCTAATTGCTTACATTTTTATGCCCCTTAACTATTTCTGGCACACTATCAGCCCAAAATTCTTGCGTAGGTCCCTGATTTCCATGCATTTCAATTAATTTGCACAAAGGAAAAACTCTATTCTATAGCCATCAGCTGATCCCAGACTGACCTCAAACTGACTTTTTAACTCTAGCTATGACTAATTCCAATCCCAGCCATCAAATGACCATAGACTGGCTTCCTAACCCAGTCAGTGACACAAAGGTGTATGCTCGATGATTAGGGGTACAAAAGAGTGTGTGGATGGCTCGATAGGAACCCAACCCTAGTTCTCACTGATGAGGACCTGATTCATAGTGCTCATCCTCTTGTAGAGTAGATGATGGAAAAGCCAGAAATAAGTCCTGACTCCTGGGCTTGAGTCATATGACCATCAGCACAAAGCAGGTTTTGCAGGATACTGGCACCCATAGTGTTCTTATTTTGGCCTTAAAAACTGGGTCATAACCCATCAAAGAGGCAGCCAGCACAAGCAGCTCTGATTTAGGAATTTGAGAGAGGTGAGGAAATTCAGGAGCCTTTAGTCCCTACTGACCCAAACTAAGGGATCCTGAATTTCCTCACTTAGAACATCCCCTATGTCCAGAATACGGTTGATGGCCTGAAAGAATAGGGAGGCATCAAGGGATTAGAGCTCACAATGGGTATGTACAACAGATCTAGTAGATGGGAGGGAGAGGAAGAAATGGAAGGTGAGGCAGTTGTGTTCTTAGTGAAGGGAGCTCTGAGTTCACAGTCTTGAACATGGAGCAGTTTCAAGTAGTGACAAGATCCAAGGAGTGTCCATACAGTAGTGGAAGTGGAGGTGAAGATAATTAGTGGTGAAGAACTCTTAACTTCAATACTTGATGGACTATCAGTACAAATGTTGAATTTGTAGAGGGCAATGATGGGAGATGTAGTGGAAAGTCTTCAGCAGGTGATGATTGTACTCTCTCACCTGTTTACCTTTGTGATCAACAGTAAATATTTATGAGATGACTGGTCATTGTTAGGAAACCAATTTGTAGCCTGTGTTTTGTGTGTGTGTGTGTGTGTGTGTGTGTGTGTGTGTGTGTGTGTGTGTGTATGAATCTGTTTGAAGATGTGCTAAGAAATCAGTCTGTGACCCCAGTAGTAGATGCAATAAAGTGACACATCACACTGTACCATACTGTGCCATATCTTACCATACTTTACCATACCATACAATACAAGAACACGCACCAAATGCCCTTTATCTGCAGAACACTGTGATAGGTACTAAGAGAAATACAGAGTCTAGAAAAGTCATGAATCCTGCCCTCTTGGGGCTTACAGTCTAGTAAAAAAAATGAGAACCGATACAGATAACTGTACTATACATTACATAGTAAGAGTTTAAAAAAACAGTTCTATATGAAATCTAAAGGTCTAAGGGGATTATTACTGATGGGGGAGCACAAAATCAGAAAGGCTTTATGGAAGAAATACCATTTGCATTAGGTTTTAAAAGTTGTAAAGAATACAAGTTAAGAGGTGCAGTCTGCAGCAGTGAAAGAGAGAAAAAAGCTAAGTTGATCAAACCTGAGATTTTGACCTCACTGACACAATGTTCTAACCACTGAGCTAAACACCAGAGAATGGTTGTGGGTTGTTGTTGTTTTTTAAAACTTTATGTTGCTTGATTGGCTTCGCAAGCTCTAGGCTCGCCTTGCTGATTCCTTTCACGCAATCAGGGATTTCATTTCCCTTCCCCCACTATCTTTTCTCCTCCAAAACCTATGTACCTCTTTCACCCTTGGGCTTCCTTCTTTTTTCTCTTATTCAGAAGTCCACTTGGAGGAAGAAGAGCAACAGAGACATTTCCTCCATGAAGCTGAAGCGTTCATCCAGGTTGACAGGAGAGGTAAGGGCTGCAAGATGAGGCTATTTTCCATTCTATAGCTTTCTTGATATCCAGAGATGTCCTCCCTGATGCACTAGTGGGCAGAGTGGGTGTAGTGGAAAGAGCATGAGAGCAGACCTGCATTCTGGTTCTGGTTCTGTCATTGATCTGCTCTATGATTTGGCATAATTCACTTTATTTATCTGGGCCTCAGTTTTATCATCTATAAGATAGGGATGATTCTGTTTAATGAAGGGTGTAGAATAATTTCTATGCTTTGAATTAAATTCACATTATTTTGTATGTTGCTCTACCCTCCCTTACTCATCTACTCCCTTTTCCCAAACCCCCAAAGGAAGGAAGAATCTAATTATATCTTCTGAATAACAGATCTTCACCACCAAACTTTTCAGAGAAGAGACAAGAGAATGGGGTAATAACAATACGTGAAACAGAATAGAAAAAAATAGGCAAATCATGGACATAGGCCATATAGATTAAGGAGATGAAAAGACTTGAGATCCACAAAGATAATTTTGGACTTTGAGGAAAATTCATGAGGAGTCTTGGAAGGGATATTTTATTCCATTCAATAAATATTTATTGAATCCTTATTGTGTGTCCACATCTGGGCAGGGCACTGTAAGGGCTGCAGAGAAATGCAAAGCACAATCCCTACTTTCCAGGTGTTTAGAGTTTAGTAGAGGAAACAAGACTATTGTGTATAGTTGAAGAACAATGTCAGGCAGTGTATGATAGATACCTAATGGGGGATCAAGAAAAGGGTAAAAGAGCTCAAAGAAAAGAGACTACTATGGTCTGGGGTAATAACAAAAACTCATATGTTGTAGTGCTTTCTGGATACAAATTTGTTTTGGATGCATTGTCTCATTGTCTTCAAGGGAAGCTTCGTGGAAGTATTAGATTTGAGCTGGGCTCGGAGGACGTGTTGTTCACTAGAACAACCCCAAAATCTGAAATAGTTTTAGATAGAAATTTGTTAGCGCATTTGGGGGTTTTTTGGGGTTTTTTTTTTCCAGGCAATGGGGTTAAGTGACTTGCCCAGGTTAAGTGACACAGCTAGTAAGAGGACATTTGGAGAGAGAGAGAAAGAGAGAAAGAGAGAGAGAGAGAGAGAGAGAGAGAGAGAGAGAGAGAGAGAGAGAGAGAGAGAGAGAGAGAGAGAGAGAGAGAGAGAGAGAAAGGGTGGCTCCCTCTTCAAGTCTTCGTGAGTTTACATTATGAAGAGTTTAGACAAGGTATAAGGACATTTGCCTGATTGGCCTCACATAGGCAGTTGGTCATCTCCAAGAAGATAGATATAGATATATATATAGATATAGATAGATAGATAGATAGATAGATAGATAGATAGATAGATAGATGTGTGTGTATGTATGTATATATGTATGTATACATACACACATATGTATGTATACTATATATGTATATATGTGTGTGTATATATATATATATATCAGCAGGTAAAATCAGTCTATTTTGGGGAACCCAAAACACAAGTTTTGTGTGAACCCAAAATAGGTACTGGGTAGAATTCTTTACAACCATCTAGCCTCCCTGGAGCATCTCTGAGGTCAGCCTGAACTTGATAGTAAACTTTTTGGTTTAGACAAATTTTTAGCCACATAAACCCAGAATCCAACAATATTAATAAATGATAAATAATAACTCACAAGGGATAAGATTTGAATAATAATTTATAATAATGAGAGGTAGTTTGGTATAATGGATAGAACTTTGGAATCCAAGGATCTGGATTTGCATTCTAGTCCAACCACTTTTTAAAAAATATTTTGTTTTAATCAACCAAAATCTGGCTTCTTACCCTCTCCCCATCTTGAAAAATAGAGTACACACACACACACACACATACACACACACACACACACATACACGGAGCAGCTAGGTGGCAAAGTGGATAGAGTGTTGGTCCTGGAGTCAGGAAGACCTATCTTCCTGAGTTCAAATCTGGCCTCAGACACTTACTAGCTGTGTGACCTTGGGCAAGTCACTTAACCTGGTTTGCCTCAGTTTCCTCATCTGTAAAATGAGCTAGAGAAGGAAATGGTAAACCACTTTAGGATTTTTGCCAAGAAAACCATGTAGTCACAAAGAGTCAGATACAACTAAAACAAAATGTATGTATATGTATAGTCAATCAAAACTCGAAACAAACTTCCACACTGGCCATGTCCCCCCCCACAAAAAAAAATTGCCTCATTCTGCATTTTGAGTCTTTTGCCTCTCTATCAGGAGGTGGGTTGTATGTTTCATCATCAGTCATCTGGAACTGTGGTTAGTCATTACATTGATTCAGCCCAGTAGTATTCCATTATATTTATATACAACAATTTGTTCATCCATTTCCCAATTTATGGGCACTGCCTAAGATTTCCATTCTTTACCACCTCAAAAAGAGCTATAAACATTTTTATGCATTCTTAGAGTTTGTTTTGCTTAGTACTAATCCTTCCCTTAATCTACTTTCTCTCTAATTCTCCTTACCCTCCTTCCTCCCTATTTCTCTGTTGCATGAAATATATTTCTCTACCCAACTCTGTGTGTGTATTCTTCCTTCTTTTAACTGTTTAGATGAGAGTGAGGTTCAAGTGTCAGCCACTCTCCCAATCCAATGCTCCTTGTTTGTACATATGTCTACTTGCACACCTGATCATGTGAAATAATTTTCCCTAATATTTTTCCCTTCTTCCCCCCCCCACCACCTATGTATTCCTTTTCCCCTTTCTTTCCATTCTCTTCTTAAGATAATACATGATAGAACCACTCCCAGGCTTTGTCTAATTGCATTACCTCTATGACCCTTAATGATAATAAGGTTCAGAGGGAACATGTGTATCATCTCCTATATTTGAATATAAGTGGTTTATCCTTGTTTAGTCCTTCATCATTGTTCATTAATGTTTTATGTTTCTCTTCTCTCCTGTGTTTGAACATCAAAGTTTATCTACATCTTTGTTATTTTCATCAGGATTGCTTAGATGTCCTCTATTTTGTTCAAGCTCTATTTTTTTCCTCTAGAGGATTATATTCAGTTTTGCTGGATAAGTTACTCTTAGCTATAAGTCCATTTCCTTCACCTTCTGGAATATTGTATTCCAAGATCTCTGTTCTTATATAGTGGTGGCTGCTAAATTGTGTGCGATCCTGACTGACTCCTTGGTACTTGAATTCTGTCTTCCTGGCTGCTTGCAATACTTCTTCTTTGATGGGAAACTGGATTTTAGCCATGACATTTCTGAGAATTTTAAGATTTCTTGAAAAGAGGCTCTTTTTTGGTCACTGCATTCAGATACTCCAATGACTCTTACTTTTTTTTTCTCTTTGATCTGTTTTTAGGTCAGATGTTTTTTGCTGAAATACCTTACATTTTCTTCTATATATTCAGTGTTTGAACTTTGATTTAATATTTCTTATTGCTTCATAGAGTCATCGACTTTTTTTGGTTCATTCTGATTTTTAGAGTTTGTTGTTTGGACAAAGTTTTGTACCTTTTGGGCAAAACTGTTAATTCCCTTTCCAATTCCTTGTTCCACAGCCCTCATTCTTTTCCATTTTTTTTCCCTCAAGTGCTGTCCTGTTATTTAAAAAAATAACCTTATCACTTTTTAGCTATATGATCTCAGGCAAGTCACTTCCCTTCTCGGACTCTCAATTTTCTCATATGTAAAAGGAAAGGGCTGAACCAAATGATTTCTGGTTTTCCTTCTAGTTTCTCAGCTTCCAGAAATTACAAAATTTCTATGATCATAAGGTTTTTAGAGGGAAGGGGAGAGAGAGAGGGAAGGGAGAAAGGAAAGGAGGAAGGAAGGATAGGAGGGAAAGAGGGAGGGTGGAAAGAAGAAAAAAGAAGGAATGAAAGAGGGGAGAAGGAAGGGAGAGAGGGAGGGAGGGAGGAAGGGAAGGAAAAAAGAAAGGAAGAAATGATCAATAAAAAAATAGGGGAAAGGAATGAGTGTGGAGCTGAGGTGGAATGTGACATAAAGGTAAGGGCCAGTAACAGGGAATAATGACCAGCAAACACAGCTGGAGCTACAAGTGCAGGTTAGGAAGAATGAAAGATAAAATTAGAGAGAGGATGGGGTCCAGATTGGGTATCAGGTTGACTCAGGAACATTTCCAGTTGAGGCAGGGAAAAGCAGGACCACCCCTATCTAGAACCCTCATTTAGAGAGATAGGTCCCATGCTTAGACCTTAGAAACTGAGAGAATAAGGTTGGTTTGGGGAGTCTTTGTAGAGACCTGGGCCCCTCAGATTTTTAACAACACCTAGTTACCCCAGGAGCTGGAGATTTTGTGTATTTGCTCTCCTTCCCCCAGATGTACACAATGGGGCAACCTTCCCCCTAGTCTCTCTAGTCCCAGATGTATTTCCCCTCACGATAAAAAAAACCCTCATCCCCACAGCTGTCTGGATACACCAACTTTGTCCTGGGAGAGAATTCTCCAGAAAAGGCTTTCTCTCATGCTTCTCCCCCTTTTTCCCACTTCCTACTCACACCCTGGGTTTTAGGTAGCAAGCAAGCTGAGCAGCGGAGAAGAAGCCTTTGAGGAAGAAAGCCCTATCACAGAACGACCTATGTCCAATCTGGAAAAGGTCAACTTCATCATCAGAAATGGCATCCAGCAGCCCAGCCTCAGGTTAGTGACCTTCAGTTCTGTCTCCTCAGCTCTATCCGACGCTGGTCTCCCGTGCCAGCCCTAGCACCACTCTGCAGCCCCTTCCCACCCGATAGCTACTACCCTTTAATTCTTCATCCTTACTCTACTCTTCCGAGGTGTGCTGGGGACAGCTTGCACTGCTGGAGAGAGTAGATGGTGAAATTGTCAGTGAGCACTTACACCTCAGAAATAAGCAAATCAGAGTTCTGTTTATTATTTTGTTGATTGTCTAGACAAGAAAGTGATGGAGAAAATGGTAATAATGCAGGTTAAGCTTCAGAGTGTGTTGTGGGCATATTCTGTTTTCAGAGAGTTGGTTGTGAAACATTTACCAGCATACCCCTGTTTACCTTCCTCTAGCTCTGGAAGGCTGGGACACATAGACCAGAGCAGTTTCTCCTGTTCCCTGATATTTAAATATAGGTTATACTTCATTAGAACAAATATTTTTACAACAAAAATGTCTATATTTGCTTTAAGCTATCTGATATATGAAAAAAAATCCTTTGGGGGGGAGGGGGCTAGGCCATGGGGTAAAGTGACTTGGCCAGGGTCACATAGCTAGTATCATATGCCTGAGGCCAGATTTGAACTCAGGTCCTCCTGAATCCAGGGCCAGTGCTCTATCCACTGCACCACCTATCTGTTCCCCCAAAATCCCTTTTTTTTTTAAGGCAGCTGGGTGATGTGGTAGATAGAGCACTGGACTGAGAGTCAGGAAGAACTGAATTCCAGTCCTGCCTCGAGCACTTGCTAATTGTGTGGCCCTGAGCAAGTTACATTCTCTTTCAGCCTCAGTTTCCTCAACTATAAAATAGAGATAATTAAATCACCTGCCACATAGGGTTGTTATGAGGATGAAATTAAATAGCACACGCAAAGCACTTTGCAAGCCTTAGAGTGCTATATAAATGCAAGCTACAGTTGTTGTAGTTTTCCAGAACAGATGAATTAAGGGGTGGTTATCACAGAAGGATTCTTCACTTTAGGGAAGGAGTCACTGTTTGGTGTCTTAAAATAACTAACTTCCCTTGGGAATTTTTACTTAACTGAAGTTTGATTTGCACGAAGCTTTCAGGAAGTACAACTGTGACTCAGAGTGAGGAGTTCCTATTTAACAAAAAATATTTCCAAAGTACAAGTGATACTCAGTAATACTAACAATGTTTTGTTAGACCCATTTTTTGTAGCCCCAGAGAGTAGAATTAAGTGAAAAGTACAGGGAAGCAGATTTCAGCTTAATATAAGAAAGAATTTTCTAATAGCTAAGAAGTGTGCCCCAATAAAACAGGCTGCTTTGTAAAGCATTGAGCTCCTCACTTAACCATGATTGTTCTGTGAAAGCTGACTGTCCATGTGGCAGAAAGTCCCACACTGGGTAGGAAGATGGCTCAAATGAACTCTAAGGTTCCTTAGGCTTTACACTGCTATGATGCTATGAATTCTAGGCAAGCCAAAAGACTTGGATATTTCATAGATCTATATCACAGATTTGTGCAAGAAGGGTCAGAGGCATCAAGTCCAATCCCCTTATTTTACAGTTAAGGGAACTGGGTCCTAGGGAAATTAAGCTATCATGAATAAATCAGCATAGGTGATGTCCCTAGATTAGTTAGCTGTCACCTGAGAGAACATAATACTCTGAGGCGTTAAGATCTGGGATAAGCAAATTTTGTTGGGGAGAAGGAATTAGCCAAAGTTCAGAACATGGTGCATTTCTTGAAAAGAATAAGTTTTGAAGGGGCCTCTATGGTGAAGGGTCCTGGGCGTCTTGGGCACGAGAGAGACAGACAGACAGACAGACAGACAGAGAGACACAGAGACAGAGAGAGACAGAGATAGAGACAGAGAAAGAGTGTGTTGAGGGCCAGGAAAGGGATGTTAAAGGAAGACAGATGTAGTAGGTGCCAAAGATTTCAGGCCCAAATCTATCCTTATCCTTCACCTCTTAGCATTCTTCTTTCATTCTCCTCATCCTCCTTATTTTTATCATCTTCAGAATCATCATCTCTGCCACTAACTTTCTATGTGACCTTGGGCAAGTTACTTCTAACCCCAATCTGGGACTCAGTTTCCTCATTTATAAAATGAGTGGACTGGACCATTCTGACCTCTCGGGTCTCTGCCTTAACCAAAATAAGTGTTTCTATTTCTTTGGGCAAGTCCCTTGAGCCTCCATGTCTTCAGCTGTAAATGAACCTGGACTAGGTGATCTTTAACTTCTGCAATACCATGTCCTCAACCAACATTTCACTAGCTCCACGTCCACTGCTTGTGTACCTCTTACAGAGATGAGATCTACTGCCAAATCTGCAAGCAGCTGTCTGAGAACTACAACAAGAACAGTTTTGCAAGAGGGTGGATTCTACTGTGTCTTTGCCTCGGCTGCTTCCCCCCTTCAGAGAAGTTTATGAAGGTACAATTTCCCGGCCTCTTGGGAGGCAGGGAAGTAGGCTTTGGCCTCTAGGGAGCCCAAGACTCTGGGGTTACTTGGAACCATAGTATAGTGGAGATGAAAACTGGCTTTGGAATCAGAGAACCTGTGTTCAAATCTTAGTTCTGTTCCAGAGTACCTATGCAACCCTGAACAAATCACATCTCCCCTTTGGGCCTCAGTTCTCTCATTTACAACTTAAAAGGCATGGACTGGATGCTTTCTAGGATGACATCCAGTTTTAAATCCTATGTTCCTATGACTGACAGGACGCCGTAAACCCTGTGGGGAGGTTGTAATCAGCCTTGGACCCAGGTGGGAATAATTTGGAATGTTGCCATTTAGTTAGCTTTGAGAGGAGGAAAAGGACTAAAGCAGTTAGAATTCATTTTAATATTGTAGGATATAATTAAGAAGTTAATTCTACTACTTTTTCTCTCTTCTTTCCCCCCAAAAAGAATCACAATCTAAAAATGAGAATCAGTGTGATGTGTTGGAAAGCTTGTTGGACCGGGGATCAGGAGACATCACTCACAGTCGTAGACCTATCAGGGCCTTGTTCTCTGACACCGGACAAATTATTCAAACTCTCTGGGCCTCAGTTTCCTCCTCAAGTAAACAGGATAGTAATACCAGGGCTAACTCCCTCATGGCATTGTTGTGTGGATGAAACAACATAACAAATGTAAAAGACCTTTTGTTCTTGTTCAGTGATTCAGTTGTGTCCAACTCTTTATGACCCTGTGGACCATAACACAACAATACTATCCATGAGATTTTCTTGGGAAACGTACTGGAGTGGTTTACCAGTTTCTTCTCCAGTGGATTAAGGCAAACAGAGGTTAGGTGACTTACCCAGGGTCACACAGCTAGTAAGTATCTGAGGCCAGATTTGAACTCAGGTCTTCTGACTCCAGGCCCAGCACTCTTTCCACTGAGCCATCTAGCTGCCTCTAAGTAATCTACAAATGTCCAATATAAATTACTTATCTGTCCTCTGTCCTTCATCCCTCCAGTACCTGCTGAACTTCATCAGCAGAGGCCCACCAGGCTACAGATCCTTCTGTTCAGAGCGATTGAGGCGTACCTATGCCAATGGAGTGAGGACTGAGCCTCCCAACTCGCTAGAGCTCCAGGTGGGAGCCATCATCTGGGACAGGTTCTGGGGGCTGGGAGGGAAGAATAGATTGGTAATTGGGGTCTGGCACATGTGCAGAATGCCACAGATGGCATCTCCAGGTAGAGGATATGAGGGAAAAGATGGAGTCTCTTCATGTGGAGACATCATAAGAGGCATTTTCCACCTATCCCAGAAGGTCCCCATTACACATCTTTCCAGAGACCTCCTAACCAGGTAGTGAAGACAAGCGTAAGGAGATGAGGGAAGAATCTGTCCACATGATCTCTTCTAGTTCTGGGTCCTTCATAGTGTATCCTCAACACTCATCATTCTTCCAGTGGTGTGTCCTCTACTCAAAACCCCACAGGAAAGCCATAATAGCTTTCCATGTGCTTTCTGCAGATGGAGAGGGTGGCAAAAGACCAAGGTGTTTCCCTAGGGTAGGTAGTCTCCCCAGTTATCAATCACATACCTATTTGGTGTCCGCTGTATGGCCAGCACCATGCTAGATATTGGGGATACATGTACAATGAATAAAACTATACCTGTTTATGTAGGACCAGTGACAACTGGATGGGAGCCTGGACACTAGAGCCCTTGTTATTTTTCATTGTGGCTGTTCTGAGTAATCAATTAGGCAAATTACAATCATTTGGAGGCCCATCAATGAAGCACTCTCTATCACCACACTATAATAAGTCACTATTGGCAAAATCATTTAATTAACAGGACCAATGAGGAAGCAAGCAGAGAGGTATGCAAAATGTCACATCCATTTTTGGACATAGCAAAAGCAGGAATTTGTTTTGACTGTGCATATTTGTTACATGGGGTTTTTTCCTTTTTTTTTTTTTAATTTGGGAGGGAAAGAAAATAATGCCTTATTAATTGAAAAATTAAGAAAAGCTCAAGAAATCATTTAATTAGAACATGAAAATTGCCTAAATAATAGGAAGGAACCAAGCACCAGAATTCAGATCCCACTCCTGTCACTTAATTGGCTGTGTGATCCTGGACAAACTTATTTGACTTACCTAAGCTTTAATTTCTTTGATCTGTAAAATGCCAAAAATAATAGCACCTACTTTCACAGTGTTGTTGTAAGGGCTAAATGAGCTAATACATGCAATGCACTTTGCATATCTTAAATTAAAATGATAGCTAGTGTTTCTATAGCACTCTAAGGTTTGCAAATATTCTAATTTTGTTCTCACAAAGACCCTGGGAGGTAGGTGCTATTATTGTTCCCATTTTACAGATGAGGAACTGAGGTAGAGAAAAGTCAAATGACTTGCCCAGGATCACACAGCTATTAAGGGTCTAAAGGATTTGAACTCAGGTCTTCCTGACTCTAAGTCCAGTGCTCTGTTCACTACACCACCTATCTGCTTTTGATTCTCCCTTAAAGCCCCATATAAAGGCTAGCTATAGAAATAATCATTATTATTTTAGGGTTGTATAAGCCAAAAAATATCTCTCAATACATAATGTATTGATCCCCAAATGTCTTGGGGAATCAAATCCTGGGTTTTTTTTCCTTTGTTCATGCCCATTAAGGAATTTGTGAAGACATAATACAAATGCAGTCTTTGTTAGTATAATATGCTCTTCAGATGGGAGACAAGATTATTTTTATATTTATTTTCCTTCCTCCAAAAAATATTCACTAAGTGCCTGCTCTGTGGGAGGCTATGGAGGATGTAGAGGTGTGTACGTTCTCAGATAGTTTAGAGTGGAATACTCACAGGCTACAGGAAGATGGGGCAGGAGAAGACAATGGTGAGTGGAGGAGGCCAGCTCCTCCATGAGCAAACTAAAATCTCTTCATGCTGAGGGATTTGCAAAACTAGTCACAATGCACATAAGTGTGTAAATGCTGGAAGGACTCTGTGGGACTTTGGCCTCAGCCCCACTCAAGAAATTAGAAAGGGGCCCTGAATCCTAGTCTTGTCTGGGGACTTTCTTACAGGCGGTCAAGTCCAAGACTCGTATTCCTTTCAACGTCACCCTGATGAATGGGGAAAGCCTGACAATTACAGCCGACTCTGCCTCTTCCTCCAGGGAAGTCTGCCAGCATATAGCTGATAAACTACAGCTAAAGGATCTCTTTGGATTTTCCATCTATGTTGCCATATATAACAAGGTAACTCGTTTATTTATACACACACACACACACACACACACACACTCATGCATACAAACAAGCGTGCTTTTACTCTGAGTACAGACCCACAAAATCTAAGAACTCAGAGGTTACCTAGATTTCCTCCTACATACCCTTACATCTGACTACCAGATATTCTACACCCAACCCCCATAATCCAAACAGACATTACATACCAGTCACCACACATCTAGGTACCCACAGATCCCACATCCAGATGACTCCTGGCCAGACACTGTCACACTCAAGCACCCTCCTATCTAAACACTATGTCTACATATCAATGCTCATATTCTCTAAAACAGATTCCTGTTCTTACACATGCACAAACATACAGAGGTACCCAAAGACCTACCCTCACATTATCATATACCCCTATGCCCCACATACCCTCACACCCAGATTTCCACACACTCAGTTGCCACCCACACACACACAGAACACATACATATATCCATATAACCACATACCAAGTCACCTTTGTACCTTTACATCAAAGATATTAGGTCAAGTTTATCTTTAGGCAGTATGTTTGTGTGTCATGATGCCAATGTGCAAACTGACCTATTCGCAGACAGGCTATCCTCCCTCTGATTAGAGGGTCAGACTCTGGCAAAGTGGGGAGAGACATCTCTGGCCATTCAAAACCAATAGCATTATTTAATTCAACTTTAAATGATCAGACCATGCAAAATCCTGATGAAGGAAAGTTAGTCCTACCATTTAGAAACTGTCAAAGTAAAATTTTCAAAACCTGAATGTTTCACAGTACTTCCTAATGGATTCATTTTTTTTGTTTCTTTTTTGAGCTTATTATAATACTATCATTTCACATTTGCTCAGATAACAATCCTCTTTCAAAGGTATTGACATGTCCCCTCTCTGAACTTTAGCTTTCATATCTGTAAAGTGAGGGCCTTAACTAGATGATCTCTGACATTGCAGTTCGATAACTCTTATGACATTTGGTTTTGAATATACCTGTGCTTACATCTATGTAAGAAGTGTTAGATTTATGTAGGGGAAAGTACTTCACTGCCTTCATCTTGTGATTTGGAAGCCCTCTCCTACAAAAATATTTCTCCCATTGTCTTAAATTTTACCATGAGCATGATATATGAATGTAATAGAAAACTATTGTTGTGTAAGAAATGATGAGCAGGAGGATTTCAGAAAAACCTGGAAAGGTTCACATAAACTGATACATAGTGAAGTGAGCAGAACCAGAAGAACATTGTACATAGTAACAGTAACATTGTGGGATGATCAACTATGATAGACTTAGCTCTTCTCAGCAATATAATGATCCAAGACAATTCCAAAAGACTCATGATGGAAAATGCTATCCACATCCGGAGAAAGAACTATGAAGTCTGAATGCAGATTGAAGCATACTATTTTCACTTTTTTTGTTTTTTCTTTTTTGTGGTTTTTCCCTTTTGTTCTGATTCTTCTTTTACAACATGACTAATGTGGAAATATGTTTAACATGATTGTATATGTATAACCTATATCAGATTGCTTGCTGTCTTGGGGAGGGGGGAAGGAAGGGAGGGAGGGAGAAAAATTTGGAACTCAAAATCTTATAAAAATGAATATTAAAAACTATCTTTATGTGTAATTGGAAAAATTAAAATGCCATTAAATGTTAAAGAAAAAAAAGGAAGGAAACTAAAACCTGCCAATTTTTTTTAAAAAATAAATTTTACTATGAGATAGTTATTCTTTTGAATAAAGGCCTCTCCACCTATGAAAACAGTCCCAAGAGGCACATTAAGTTGTTCAAACATTAATATCAACCAATTTTTCAGATCCTTTCAGGAGAGCAATCTTTGACAGAGAAAAAGTGGTAAGAGTTTGAAAGCACATGGGAGAGTAAAGTTGGGAAGGAGTGTATATGTATACACACAGAAGGGGGGGAGAGAGAGAGAGACAGACAGAGAGAGAGAGACAGACAAAGACAGAGAGACAGAGACAGAGAGAGGGAACTGAGAAAGCAAGAGATCTTTGTTCTTTTTTCTTTCTGCTGGTGGAAAGCTGGCTTCTGGATCTCAGGCCCCTCCCACATATGAGACTCTCTGTTACTCAGGTCTGGTCATTAGGTGGAGGGCGTGACCATTTGATGGATGCCATCTCCCAGTGTGAACAACTAACCAAGGAGAAGGGTGAGAATGAACGCCTGTCCCCTTGGCGCTTCTTCTTCAGAAAAGAAATCTTCACTCCATGGCATGACTTCAAGCAGGATCCTGTCAGCACAGAACTCATTTATCACCAGATTATCCGAGGATTCCGGTTTGGAGAGTACCGCTTGGAGAAGGTGAGGGGATTCTTTGAAACAGTCGATCAATCAACTCTTTTGTCTCATGTGATTTTTCATTTATGATTTCTTGAAATATAGCTCTGGAAAACCGGGCTTTGTTAAAGCGCAATGTGATTCTTGACTATGCCTTTCTTTAAACCTAAATCACTCTGGCTTTCACTGATTGGCCAATAATAGGTCCCAGCCCTCACCTCACTTGCTCTTTGTTTGGGTTTTGATGGTTCAGAGTGAGTGAAAACAGCAATTATTTCTGTTCTGGCCAGAAACCCTGAGGGTCTTCCCTTTCTTTTAATGAAGGCAACCTAGGCCATCTTTTGCCTCGATTCTTGCCTAGCCCTTAATTACTGAATGGGCTTTGCCTCAGATAAACTAAGACCTGGGAAAGATCTTAGCTTAAAAAGGCCAAAATCCCCCACTGCATCCAGGGCCATCGCCAGTCATCTTGACCTGTGTCTTGTCACTGGACTCCTATGACTATGAAGGAGAGAGTGAGGCTGATGACTTTGCACAGCTCTGCCTCGCTTAAATCCAATTCACTTGCCAAGTCAAGACATCACCTTCCTGATGTCATTGGTCACCTTTGAGAATAAAGACAAACAACAACAACATTCAGCAAGTATTTATTAAGCACCTACTATGTGCCAAGTACCATGCTAGGGGCTGGTGATTCAAAGTAAAAATTAAAACAGGTCCTGACCTCAAGGAGTTTGCATTCTATATGATGGAGACAACACATACATGTGTAAATATATGTATATGTATATATATATGTGTGTGTGTGTGTGTGTGTGTGTATAGATAGATATAGATACACATGTAGCATCCTCTCTGAACTACTCTCTGAATTTGCACTCACACTGGCAGGTTGAGTCCTGGTGATCACTACCTTGAAATTTAGGACTAACCCTGTTCATGACTACTTCTCACAATTCCTCACCAGAGTCTTCTCATTAACAATCCACTAGTAGATTCAATTAGTTCTTAGAGTCAATTAGTCAACAAACATTTATTAGTGACCTACTATGTGCATGTGCTAGAAATGCAAACAACTATGTACAAATAAGATATAGACAGGATAAGTTGGAGATAATCAACATAAAGAAAACACTAGCATTAAAGGGGAATCAAAAATCCCAATTGCCTCCCCCAACAAAAAATATAATTAGAAGGTCCATCTAGTCATATGAGATGGGTAAAAGAGGAAATATTAGCAGAAAGCATCTGAATGATGTGAGATGAGGAAGATGGAGCTCTAGGAGAATGGCCTCAATTTTTCCAGTGAAATATGGGGCAAGCTTCTCAGCTGAGAGAGTGAAGAAGGGGAACTATGAAAGGTTTGAGGCAGGACAAAAAGTTTTTTAAAAGCCACTGTGGTGAATGGGATGAGTCAATTGGGGAAGGTGGGGTAAAAGGATTGCATTGCCACAGACAGAACCTAGCTGTGATTAAATTTTCTGTGTACCCAGTCATCACAGTTTTGTGTTTTTCTCCTAATTTCAGTGACATGTGAGTAGTAGCAAAGGCAATGGTGGTGGGAGTAATCCTAGGCTTGGGTTTGGCAGGGTAAAATCAGTAATGAGATAAGGAGACAAGGGACTTGAGAGAAGAGGACAGTGTACAGCAGAACTTGTTCACTAAGGGGTCAAGATGGAGAAGTGAGGGGAATGCAGCCAGTGTAGGTATGATGGGCTGGGAAAGAACTGAGGAATGGAGGGCTTCAAGAACAGAATTTGGGGGTGCAAGCAGAGTGAGAAGTAGAATGACAACAGATTGTGATTAGATAAAGGAATTGCAGAGTTCATGAAGATGGAGGTGGTGCATTTATGGATAATAGTCAAAAGTATGACCATCGCTATGTGTAGCTGAAGTTTGGGGGAGGAAATAGGTCATGGAAAATGATGCAATGGAGTCAGGAAGACCTAAGTTCAAATCCAGCTTTAAACACTTACTGGCTGTGACCTTTGGCAAGTCACTTAACCTCAGCCTGCCTCAGTTTCCTCAACTTTAAAATGGGAATTAATAATGGCACCTATTTCCGAAGGCTGTTGTGAGAATCAAATGAGATAATAATTGTAAAGCAATTAGAATAATGCTTGGCACATAGAAGGTACTATATAAATGTTAGCTATTGATGATGATGATGATGATGATGATGATGATGATGATGATGATGATGATGAGTAAGTTGAGGAACTGGGACATTAGTGTGTTTGAGAGAACATATGTATATTGAATATGTATGTTGAAGTTCCCTACTATGAGACAAGAGTTGAGGTGGAAAGATTGTGAGCCAGGCACTAAACTCATTAGGGAAAGAAGAGTAGCGTCCTGCATGACGGTTGATAACAACCAACAGAATTTTTGATTGGGTGGTAAATTTGGATTAAGTGAACCTCAAAAGAGGAGAGATTATGAAGTGATAATGGTAGAGAGAGAGAGCATGGCAGTGTCAATGTGGAGCAAAGAATATTCCATCTCCCTCACCTCAACCAGTGAATGAAATGTTTGAGCAGCCAGTGCAACCAGTACTGGAAAGTCTATCCTGGGAGGGTGTGTCCTCAGGAGGGAGCCAGGACTCAGAACCCAGAGATAAAAGGAGGGAGAAAGGAAGAGATTTAAGATGAAAGCAAGTTTGTTACCAGTGGAGGAGACATTCCAGAGAACAAACTAGAAGGAATGATTCACTTTAGAGTGGCATCTTGGCAGGATTGAGTTGAGGGAAATGGGAATAAAGGATTGGATGGTGGGGAGGAGAGAACAGGTTTGAATAACACAGCTAGAGATTCAGAATCACTGGGATGGGGAGGGGACAAGAGGCTGGGAGTATGTTTAGGTCTGAGGAATGAGATTGGGTATATTATTATTATTATCCTTAAGGACTTGGTCTCAGGGTTGAGTATTCTCAAGGTTTTAGGCAGCAGAGAGCTCAAAGGAATGGTACCTGTCTCCCCTCCAGCAGGCAGGCCAGGTCAGGAGACCATGTGAACAGCAATAGTAGTAACAAAGCATTTCCCCTAAAAAAATTGGGGTGAACTGTCCCACAAAGACATACAGAGTCAGAAGCAGGGAGTGGAGTGGACACAGCCCTAAGAAGACACATAGGTAGGGAATACATTTGGTCAAAGGAATCTGCAACCCCAAAACAGCAGGACATCAATGTCTTTCCTTTTTCTGAACAATCTTTCCAAAGTTCACTTCAAGGCATGGGGTCAGTGATGCACAAGGGAATCTACAACTAATCTGAGCTGGCACCCCACAAATGCTGGTATCTCAGCTGAATGGGAGGATCAACTAGACTGATTCCTCTCAGGGAACATTGTCTCTGTTAGATGGGCCAATTTGCTGCTGGGTGAAGCTGGACAAGGCTTACATACAAGAAACTTTAGAGAACATGATAAAGCAGTGTTAGATCGTGTGATTCCAATTATAAGTACAATGGGATTTCATAATCAGCATCAGCTGGAATAGTCAAGGAAAGCTTCATGGAGAAGGTAGCACTTGATATGGGTCTTAAGGCTGGGTAAAATTTGGGCTAACAAGGAGTAGAAGATAGGAAAAAATTACATAAGCTAGGACACAGAAGATGGGAACAAAGCATGGTACGTGAATGTGGTAAGAAAATTGGCCTGGCTAGAGCAGGAGTTTGGACAAGGATGGGAAATTGAGTTGGATGGTCTCAGTTCTAATCTTCATTCTATTTTTAACCTACTACCTGATTTTGGGATAGTCATTCCCTCTCTCTTCACAGGGGTTTAGACTAGATAATGACAAATATCCTTTGAGCTCTAACACCCTATGATTCCATAACTACATTTTAGGGGACCTTGAGAACCAAGTAGAGGCTATGTTAAGTTATCTGGTACTCCTAGATGGGGAAAGCAGCTGGCCAAATGTATATCTCTGGTACCTGAAAGATCTTCAAAACTAATACAAGCACCGATATATTTTATTTCACTAGCAGTAGGGCCAGGGCCAATATCAGGTCATCATTAAGTTTGAATCAGGACCCTGCTTCTATAAGAAGCAACTGCTATCTGAACTTGAGGTCCTGCTTAACATATGGTCTTTTTCTGTCTGATATTGTTTGGAAAAGGGGATGTTCTACTAGGAGGCAGGGGGATGAATCAAATGACCTCTCTAAAACATGTGTTTTGCTGGGCTTTCTTCCTGTCCTACTTATTTTCATTCTCTACCTCCCTAGGGATTAAGTGGATTCAGTACTGATCTTGGGAAGTAGTGGTGAGCAGTTAATTGGGTTGAATTGAGTATGGGCCCCAAAAGGAAAGGAGAGGAGAGTAAGGCTTAAAGGGGAAGAACTCTTTCTCCCCAATCCCCATCAGACTACCTATGACAAACTGAACTTTTACAGGAGGAGGACCTGGTGGAGGTAGTAGCCAAACACTGCTACATTGAATTTGGGAGCTTCATCCAGAGCAGTGACATCCAGAAGACCCTTCCTGCCTGCATCCCTGGGAGGGTGCTCAAGACAAAGTCACAGGAACAGTGGGTCAACCTCGTGACTGCAGCCTGTGCAAAGGTCAGAACCTCCAGATGGCAACCAATTCTCCTCCACTCGATTCCAACTTCAACGCCTGCTATGTTCTGGGCACTCTAGAGATGTGATGATGTGACATAGTCTGTCCCAGTGAAGGATGGCAGTTAAATAACAGATGATGTAACAAGCATATACGTGTTCAGAATAGAGGAGAGAAACTTGCAGGCTAGAGAAATCCATGAACTACCAATAGTGGTAATAAAGAAGGGGAAGGAAAATATAAACCTTATGGACATCTCTGGTATCATTTTGTCTGCTAGAGAAGCATACTGTGTCCTTCAGACTCACCTGTGCCTCATGTTTTCTATTCTTAAATTTAAAAGTACACAAATGGAACATTTTGCCCTCATGTTAACCTTGAATTATGTTTCCCTTGTATACTAGTGCTTTTGAAAAAAGTTCCTCATTACTTCTCTAAGAGAGCTAAAAATGGTGTGATCCCTGACCCCAGTGCGCTTCCTACTTACTACTACAGTTTTTTTTTTCTCGTGTGCAAAATACTAGTGGCATTTCAGAGCTGTTCAGTGCTCAAATTCATTCAAGAGAAAGAGGAGGCAGTTTTGTTGCTCAGTGGGGCCTACTCAGGGACTACGGCCGAGAGTTTTCCATGGTATGAGCCTCAATACTGAAAGGCCAGCTTAGTCTGGGTAGCATGGTCCACAGTACTAATATCTCATTTAGTGAGCAAGAGGTAATCCTATTTCATTCATGAGAATAGAGTCTATTAGCGAGGCAGCTAACATGAGCTAACCTAGAGGCAGGAGGGCTACCCAAGATCTGAAAGTACAAGTCAGCAGTCTTACCAAGTCAGGATCTTATAGACAAAACAGGAAAATGTGGTCTAAAGTCAGGTAAAAGTTCAAGGGATCAGGTATCCAAACAGATTTAAGCTTGAACAAAGACTCTCTTCATTGGGTGAGCAAGTTATGATCCTTTGGATCCTTAATTTGGAGCTAACCCTGTCCTTAGGGGCAACTAGATGGCATAGTGAATAGAGCAATCAGGCCTGGAGTCAGTAGGACCTGAATTCAAATCCAGCCTCAGACATTTACTAGCTGTGTGACTCTGGGCAAGTCACTTAACCCCAATTACCTAAAAAAAAAGAAAAGAAAAGAAAACCCCAGATGGGATCATGGAGTCGGACATGACTGAAACAACTGAATAACAAAATTACCTCCTTTTTCTCTTGAATGAACTTGAACTCTAGATAGCTCTGAAATGCCACTAGTATTTTGCACGTGAGAGAAAAAACTGTATGGTAATAGATAGGAAGTGCATTGAGGGTAGGGATCACACCATTCTTAGCTCTCCTAGAGAAGTAATGAGGAAATTTTTATCAAAGGCACTAGTATACGAGGGAAACATAATTTAAGGTTAACATAAAGGCAAAATGTTCCATTTGTGTACTTTTAAAATTAAGAATAGAAAACGTGAGATTTTGTTTAATAAGTATAAAATATAATATAGAACAGTTCTATGTTCTGTTTTCTAAGGAAGATAGAATTCGAGGGAAGGAAACGAAGGGGAAGAGACAGGGATGAAAAAAAAGTCAAGTGAGAGAGAGAGAGAAATACAGGGAAAAGAAACGTACAAAAGGGACAATTAGACACATACGCAGAAATCAGGCACAGAGCAATGTCCAAGGAGAGGGAAACAGAAAAAAACAAAACCCTAGGAACAAAGCAGGCAGGGCAAAACACAAAGGGAGGGATATGCTGAGATGAAGTATGTGCACAGAGAATTTCATGGACTAAGATCTTCATCTTGTGGCCTTCTCAGAGGCTGGAACAAAAGGGTTTTAAATCTGTGTTACAGTTTTGTACGTAAAAGACCTGATGTCCTTTTTGATACCTCTTCCACAGGCTACATAAACTTCATACATTTATTCAGTCATTCATTCATTCCACAAATATTTATGAAATGACTCATGTATCAAACACTCTGAGAGATACAGGCATTTATTAAGCATCCATTATGATTTGGTACATTACGGGAAGAGAAACTCCATAAAGAGTTTTATTATGGCCACCATAATGGAGTTTTCCTATGTGGACCAGACTGGAACTGGCCTCTAACGTGGGAATTGCTGGAGCTAAACAGAGCAGGCCAGAGGTGGGTATATCAGGGACAAAACAGAAGTTTAATTAATTTCAGAGCGAGGAAAACGCTTGCAAGCAGAAGCCCCACCTCCTGAGAAGGAGGGCTTAACATGCTGAAGCAAAGGTAGGTCTTAAATACATTAAAAAACCCCACAAGTAGGCTGGACCACAACACAATCATTCTTCACAGTTCCACGGGAGGCTCATGTGTGGACAATGCAGGTCTTCCTGGATCCTGTGGGAACGCTTCATTTTTTTCTTTTTGTTTTTTTGGTGAGGCAACTGGGGTTAAGTGACTTGCCTAGGGTCACACAGCTAGTAAATATCCTGTGTCTGAGACTGGATTTGAACTCAGGTCCTCCTGACTCTAGGGCCAGTGCTTTATCCACTGCACCACCTAGCTGCCCCTATGTGGGAACACTTCTTAAATTGATTGTCTTTAAATCTTAAGGGTCAGTAGAGTACAGAATCAGAGTTAGCGTGGCTAGAACAAGCGTGCAGTAGCTAGTTCATTTACACAAGCACTGGACTTCAGGAATTGTAAGCATGTCAGAGATTTTGATGGATGGCTTTAGGCTGCAGCACGTTGGCTGTCAGGTCCTGGGAAACAGGGGGAACTCCAACAAATCTAAACAGGTGTTGATAAATATGAAAGTCATAAATCCCTCAGTGAACACCTGGTGCTGGTCAAAGCAATACACTTTGCCAGAGGATGAGGTCATCTAGAACGCAAAGGTTTGTTGTTATGCCAAGCTCAGAGCACAGCCTGCTTTCTGGGCCTCAGGTCTGGGAAACAGGGTGTCTCCAAATACCTTGACACCTACTTGTAATCTACAAGGTCATAATGGATGCTTAATAAATGCCTGTGCCTCTCAAGAGTGTTTGGTACATAAAAGTCATTCCATAAATATTTGTTGAATCAATGAATGTTTGAACAAATGGGTTACTGAGTGGATGAATGAAAATACGGACAAGAGTACTTCTGTTGGGTATCACAGAAGATGTTTTCTCCATTTTAGGCTCCCTACATCCAAAATCGCTCCTCTCCACTATTGGTAAAGGAAGAAATTGTGACTATGGTTTGTTTTCAATGGCCTCTACTATTCTCCAAGTTTTTTGAAGTTACCAAAGTTTCAGGTAATGACAGCTAATTGGGAAGGGGAAAACAGTAGGGAGAATGGGGCAGGACTGAATCAGGGCACCATCCCTCAGTGTTCATAAAGAATATGTCATCCAATTTCCAGGGCCCAGCCTGCACAAGACTCAGCTGATTTTGGCCATCAACTGGAAAGGTATCTGCTTCCTCGACAAATCAGAGAATAAACTTTTGGACCTAACTTTCCCTGAGATTACTGGCATAGCCACCAACAGGTTAGTGCCCTGAGCTGCAAAGATGTCTTTACCTGCCATGTGCCCTCTGCAGTGGCATAGCTACCTGTGTATCCTTGGGCCAAACAGTTAACCTCTCTGGGTCTCAGTTCCCTTAGCTGTAAAATAAAAGGATTGAACTAGATTAGTCAATCAACAAGCATTTATTAAACACTTACTGTATGCTAGGTACTCTGCTAAGAGCAGACGCTACAAAGACAAGCAAAAACAAAAATGGTCTGTGGCCTCAAAGAGTTTGCGTTCTGATGGAGGAAGGCAATGCATAAAAGGTTAGCTGAAAGGAGGGGAGGGGCAAGAAGGAGGCATCTGAATTGGGGCATAATTATAGCTAAGTCTAGAGAATCATGGATGACTCTGGGGCCTTTTCCCAAAGTGGAGGTTATGGAAAGAACTCACCGAAGAAAGGGCATACAGGAGCCCAGACTAAATGAACTCGAAGATTCTTTTCAGCTCTAAACTCCTATCCTCCTATGATTAGAATGGGTCTAATGGTCAGGGGTGGTAGGAGCACTGACTTTCCCAATTCCTTGGGTAAATCAGAATTGCTAGAGGTGGAAACTCTGAATAGGGAGACCTGTTGCTCAGCTATGATTACTGAACCTTTTCTGTCTGGGCTTTTCCCTCACAGAGGAGTATTCAGAACCCCCCCTACCCATTGTCACCCCAAAATAATTATCCATCTGCCCTGAGCTTCATTTATTTCACTTAACCACTATTCTTTCCAGGCTTGTATTAAAACACAGATGCCCTCAGAAAAGGTGGTAAAACATCAAGTCTCTCACACTTCAATGTAAATAAGTTGATCAGATCTTTCTGTTCAGGACAGTTGTAGTAATATAAAAATATTGGGTGCTGAGAGCCTGGAAAGCAGAGGATGCTGAAATAGGGACTGGAAGGTGAGAAACACACGTGTTACTAAACTTCACAGTTTTGTTAAGGGCAGGCCCTTAACAAGGGCTGATCCCATCAATTTCCTTTCTTTTCTTTTTTTCTTGTTTTTTTTTTAGGCAATTGGGGTTAAGTGACTTGCCCAGGGTCACACAGCTAGTAAGTGTCAAGTGTTTGGTCTGAGGTCGTATTTGAACTCAGGTCCTCCTGACTTCAGGGCCAACACTCTATCCACTGCGCCACCTAGCTGTCTCCGATACCATCAATTTCAAGCCACCTGAAACAGCCTTCATGTCTTGTTTTTTCCTTAGAAAAAGTTATTACTTACTTTTTAACATTATTTTTCAAATTTTGAGTTCCAAATTCTGTTCCTCCCTCCAAACCCTCCCTACCCATTGAGAAGGTAATCAAAATGATGTCAATTATACATGCAAAACATATTTCCATTTCTGCCATGTTGCAAAAAAGCAAGAAAAATAAAGTGGAAAAAGGATGCTTCAATCTCCACTGAGTTTATCAGTTTTTTCTCTGAGTTTTCATCATGAGTGTTTCAGAATTGTCTCAGATCATTGTATTGAACAGAGTATTAGCCTCCATTTCTCATCAAAAATTCATCCTATTCACTCCCCAAGGCTACTCCCACAGATGCTCCCACTCAGTGGTTTGTTTCTGAATGGAGGCACTGAGAAGGGGATACTATTATAAAACGGCTCTCTTGATTGCGACAAATCCAAACAGAATACATACCTACCAATATCCACCTCCCTAAAAGATACCTCAGCTTGTACTGAAAGACAGCTGATGTTTCCTGTCATTTTAAAGACATGAAAAACTTCCCTCCAAATCCTCATTTGTACTGGCATTAATCATACAACCAAGATACTTTGTTTATAATCAGACATATGATAATAAGAGGAGACCTGACCAGGAGATAAATAATATATGAAACATCAGATGCTGTGAGCAGCAACCGAGAGGATCACATCTCCTCCTCTCTCTTCCTCCCTGGCTGAACAGGGTGGGCACCACTAACAAGCATCCCATAATTCTGCAGCAGCCGCTCTCCAAAGTCTTGGAAGAAGAATCACTAAGCAACTAGGTGGTGCAGTAGACAGAACGCTAGACCTAGAGTCAGGAAGACCTGAGATCAGACATTTACTAGCTGTGTGACCCTAGGTAAATCATTTAGCCTCAGTCAGCCTTAGTTTGTTCATCCATAAAATAGGGATGCTAGCTATTAGATCTCACACACATACACATACACACAGTTGGTCCTGTCTGCAGCTCTTCATTCTACATGGTGCACAAGATGGAACAGCACTTAGTACGGTGCCTGGCATATAGTAAGCACTTATTAAATGCGTGTTGAATGTTGACTTACTGTTCCAACTTCCCTCTCCCAATAGATCAAAAGTGTCACCAAATGGGTGAAGTCTGGGACAGACTTGGCCATTTCTGGAGTCTGACATCTCTATGGCAATCTTCTCCAGGCAGCATCCCAGGAGTCAAGGGATTACATGTAGTTAATAAAGTTATTATTCCCATTTTACAGATGAGAAAATTGGGGCTCAATGAGATGAAAGGATTCACACAAAGGTCACATCGTAAATGCCAGGGCCAGGATTCAAACCCACTGTTCTTTCACCTATACCTTCATTCTCTCCTACTTTTATAAGCTTTGTCTTTTGCCTTTCCCTTTTGGTTTCTATTCTGACACCATTTTAGCTGAATATTTCTACCATATCTCTGGCCAGAATTTTTTCGAGTGATTCTCCCAAATTTGATGAATGAAAATTTCTCCACTTTTATTTTTCTCCTCTCCTTTACCACAGGAAACAGGAAATAACTTAAATGCTATAAAGAGAAGTAGAAACAGCTGAGCCTAAATAATTCATAGTCTGGTAAATCTGCAAATAAAATAATCCACAATCAGGAAAATCCATAGATTGATTCATACCCTCAACCTGGATAATGGAGAATAGTTGTCTAACTCTGAGGCCAGGGTTAGTCCTTGGCCTTAGTGATAACCAGCATTCTTACCCACAGGGCACCTCAGGTATTTAAGCAGAATTTCACACTGTCCACCCTGTATGCTGAGGAGTATGTGTTTACCTCCAGCGAGAGCGTGGCTATCGCCGAGCTAGTGGCCATGTTCCTGGAGGGTCTGAAGAAGAGATCGATCTTTGCTATGGCCTTAACAGATAAGAAATCCACAGGTACCCTGGTCCCAGGGAATAGGGGAGGGGGGCAAGGTACCAGGCAGGGGTGTGAGGTGCTGGGCAGGGGCAGACCCTACAATGGGCCAGTGATTCCATGATGCTGATTGAAGCCTTCTTAGTATGGTGGATGGTTGAGGGGTAGGGGAGGGACTGATGGTGGGGCAGCAAGGGAGCTGGGGAAGAATCCACAGTCATAAAGTTCCTGACCAGACAAGAGCCAGAAGCATGTCAGTAATCAAATAAGGTTCGTGGATCTGAAGGCCATAGGTTAAAAACTCCTTTTTTCATTAGGAATAAGGTTATAACTAGCATGATGAAGTCTGAAGGGATCTAGAAAAAGGCCAGGCTCTGGGGTTGGGCTGTAGGGATTCAGTCCTGAGGTCGATTTAACTATTCAATTCAAGGAACATTTATTAAATCCCTATTATGTGTAAGGCACTGGGGATACAAAGACAATATAGTCTTTTTTCTCAAAGAGCCTGCATTCTACTTGACAATGGGGTTGAGTTTGGCAAAAAGTCCTCTGGACTTGTCACATTCAGTGCTCTGAGGGCCTCTCTTGGAGCCAGCTCTACCTTCCAGCTTTCTCTGAATTCACCTGAGCTTTCCTCCTGGCTCTCTATGGGAAAAGTCATCTTCAAGCAATATCAGACAGCATCAGGGCAAAGCATATAGGAGATGCTTAGGGTAAGAAATAGCCCACATCAAGTATAAAGGAAAAAGAACACTGACCTGGGAGTCAGGAGGCCTGGTTTCAGATTCCAGTCCACTAATTCAGTAGCTCTATGATCTTGGTCATAGTGTATGTATGACCAAGTGACTGGCCCTCTCTAGACTTGGTTCCTCATCTGAACTCCAGCCTCTGCCCCCCCAACCCCCATCACTAACTGCCTCTTGGACATTTTCAACTGTATGTTTCCTATACATCTCAAATTCAACATTCCCCAAACAGAATTCATTATCTTCCTACCCCCTCAAAACCTACCCCTCTTCCTGACTTCCTTCCTTCTGTCAAGGGTACCACCATCCATCCAGCAACCAAGGTTCACAATTTTAGAGTCATCCTTGATGCTTAACTCTGTCTCCCTCTCACCAATACCCTCTCCTCCCCAGTCAAACAGTCACCAACTCTTGTTCCAATATCCAATAAAAGAGAAGTATATATTGTCCCTTCCAGAGTTTATTGTCTAATTGGGGAAACAAGATTCTTGTACACATAGGTGATCAATAGTTAGCATTCATGTAGCAATTTAAGGTCGACGAGACACTGTACAAATATTGTCTCATTTGATCCTCACAACAACCCTTTCGGCTATTATTATCCCCATTTTGCAGTTGAAGAAACTGAGGCAGGAAGCAGTAAAGTGACTTGCCCTGGGCCACATAACTAGTAAGTGTTTGAGGTCAGGTTTGAACTTGGATATGCTAGTAATATAAGGAATTAGATTCATTCTTCATTGATGTTATGTCTATGTACTCTTCTTGACTCCAAGCTTTTCTCTGCTATGACACCTAGTTACATATAAGAATGATAAGAGGTCCAAACCCTAGAATGGGCTGAAGTATTTGGTGAAGTACTATGGACTGCAAAGAAAGGAAGGGATCGGAATAGGGACAATGAAGAAACATTGCCTAGGAGAGGTGAATTTTGAAGAAGGTAATGATAATGGTTTAGAGATGGAGTCTCTGGAAAGTCTCTGGGAGACTATCTCTAGACTCCTAATACTGTAGGAAAGAAGTAAAATGAGAACCAGGATAATTCCATTCCTTTTAAAGAGAGGTCTCAAAGAAACAGGTGGAAACTATTGTCACTATTGTCTCTTCTTCTCTGAGTCTTTCTTTGCCTTGATCCTCCTAAAAATACCTGATTTTCAGGGCCAAGGGATAATGTGTTAGCACTATCCCCCTCACCTCCAGGTAGACAGTACCCTGTGTTTATCTTTGGGCTTCCAGATGACCCCACCATCCTGATGTATAGAAGAGGAGACTTGTTGATCCTGACTGAAGGTGAAGGGCTAGTGCCCAATGACAACTGGATCCTGGCCCAGAATGATAGGATGGGCAAGATGGGAGCAGTATCCACTGAAAGCATCTATATCATCCCCACTGTCGTGAAGCCTACCCCCAAGATGATGGTAATGATGCTCTCTTACATTTATGTCATTTTGTGCTTCTCAAAACAGTCTTACAACCCTGAATGTTTAACAGAACTTATCCCTGTTTTACAGATGAAACTAGGGTCAGAGCATTGAAGTAACTCACCCACAGGCATAAAACAAATTAGTGGCAAAGTCAGGACTTGAACACAGATCTCAGTACTTCTTCTACTATACCCTACAGAGCTAAATGTAAAGCAGAACCACCTGCTATTTTTTTTTTACCTGTTGGCAAGATCTCTGAGCTATATCCCTTTTTGTCATAGATTTATGGCACTTCCCTAAGTCCCCAGTTTTGTACTTCTCCCCATCACCTTTCCTATCACCCCTGTTAGATGTTTCTGTCCCTATCTGTAACATTATCTGCCACGAGGTAGGAGGAGAGAGTAGTTCTGTGTCAGGGGAAGCCTCCACACTCCTTTCTGATTTGTGTGTGGGTCAATGTCTTTCTTGTTCCACCTCAATGATGCCAAGATCAAAAACCTTGGGCTCACTAGCCCTAGAACTGTGAAAGAATACAAAAGTGACTGGTTTAAAAAACCAAAAAGGACAGTCGACTGTCCTAAATATCTTAATTATTCATAGGTCATAGAATATCAGGGCTGCAAGGGACTTTCGAGGTCATTTAGTTTAACTCTCCTTTCTCTTACAGATAAGGAAAGCAAGGCAAATGCAGAGAAGAAAAGTAATTGTCCATAATCAATGCAGCAGCTAGGGAAACTAAAGCACTAAAACTCATGTCCCTCGAGGTCCAGCTCTTTCCACTCCTCTTGTTCACTGGTCAGAACACAAGAGGCTGGATCGGATGACCTCTAGAGGTCTCCTCCTGCTTGGGAATTCTGAGGCAAAGGAGATATTCTCAGCAATGGCTAGAGAGCCCATTCCCCATAGTGGAGATGGAAAAAGAGGCCTCTCCTCTGAGGCTGCACTTACCTCGGGTTAAACCTCCTCTTGAGGGGAGGGCAGAGCTGGGCAGTGATGACTGGGGATTTGGAGACCACAGCTGAGTGGTTCTCTCCCCCTGAAGGAGCTCCCCCCTCCTCTACAGTGCTCACCACCCGCAGCCCCACCCCTAAAAATACAGCGTCATAAAGATAACAATACAGAGAACACCGTATGTTATCCCCATTTTACAGATTAGGATAGTGAGTTAGATAGTTCAGAGAGATTAGTGACTTTCCTATTATCACACAGCTAGTGAATGGAGGAGAATTAAAGCAGATGCTCCTGATTTAAATCTGGTGCCTCTATTCCACTGCCAAAGAGCAAGGTAATCACATAACATTTGAAACCCTTCAGAGAGATTCCCCAGTGGTTATCCCTGATCATGCTGGCACATCAGCAGGACTAGGAACTGTTATTAATGGAGAGTGTGTTAATCCCTCAATCGATAGCATTTATTAAGCACCTGCTATGAGTTTGGGGCTTAAGCAATAAGAATACAAAGACAAAAATGGAATGATCTTTCCATTATGGACTTTATATTCTATTAATGGAAGAAACGGTACATAAACAAAATAAAGATAAAGGGGCAGCTATGTGGTACAGTGGATAGAGCACCAGCCCTGAAGCCAGGAGGACCTGAGTTCAAATTCGACCCCAGACACTTGACACTAGATGTAGGCAAGTCACTTAACCCGTACTGCCTCATCCCTCCCCCTCAAAAAACAAACAAACAAAAAAATCCAACTCCATGTCTGGGGCAGCTAGGTGGTACAGTGGATAGAGCTCTGACTCTGAGTTCAAATCCAGCCTCAGACACTTGACACTTACCAGCTGTCACTTTTTGAATGACTTATGGGTCGGTGAAGGGCTTCTTTCTTTACTAAAAGGGCCAGGGCCTCACACACATGGCCTGACACAGAGTCAAATAAATGCCCATTCCATGTGCAGGGTCATTCTCTGGGTGACCCTCATTCCCTGCCCTGCTGGGATGAAGCCCCAGAATTGGCACTGCACGTGAATTCTGTCCTCTTCCTGGAGACCTGATCTCTAGGTATTTCCTGACTTAGAATTAAATTCTATATCACTTCCACATGAGTGGGCAAGTCACTTAACCCCAATTGCCTCACTAAAAAGCAAAAAAAAAAAGTCTTTTGGTGAGGAGGGGAGGTAGTAGCCTCAATGGGAAATTGGGAAAGCATTCCTATAGAAGGTGGTGCCTTAACTTTGAAAGGAGTTCTAAGATGAGTGGGAAGAAAGAGAGCATGGCAGGCGGGGAGGAAGCGCAATGTCATAAGTAAGACACAGGAAGAAGGCCTCTTTGTCTGGACCTTCGGGGGTATGAAGGGCAGTAGAATATGATAAGCCAAACTGGAAGCAGTTTGAATGTGGCATTAAATGACAAATAAGGGAGTTTATAATAGGTTGGAGCTAGGTTGTGGAGGGCTTTAAATATCGGGATGAGGATTTTATGTTTTATCCTTGAGGCAAGGAAGCCATTGAAAATTTCTGAGTAGGGGAGTAACATTGTTAGATCTGAGTTTTATGGATATTGATTCAGCAGCTATGAAGAAGATGCTGCATCAAAGAGGCGACATCCTGGGAACGAGGAGGTTATTGGAGGTTATTGTCCTAGTCCCAAGGAGAAATAATAAGGGCCTATACTAAAGTTGTGGCTGCCTACCCTGCCCACAAGCAAAAAGAGTGGGGAGTTTAGTAGGAAATGGAAAAAGGGGGCAGATGGAAAAGAGATTATGGGGTTGGAATGGACAATATTTGGCAACCGATAGCATGCGCAGATGGGGAGAAGAAAGATGTAAATTTTCTAGCTATAGTATGGAAAATTAGACTTCATTAGGGTCCCCACCTTCCAGAGTAGGGTAGTTAATCAATCCATCAACAAAAATTTATTAAAACCTACCATGTGAGAGGCACTGTGCTAGACCCAAAGGCTGCAAAGACACAACTGAAAATTTCCCTGCCCTCAGGGAGTTTACAGTCTAGCTGGGGGAGACGACATATACATATGGGTAGATATAAAATAGATAGTAAGTAATTTGGGAGAAAGACACTAGCAGGCTGGGATAAGGGTGGGAGAGGAAAAGGCTCATATAAAAGGTAGCATTTGAGCTGAGCCTTGAAAGAAACCAAAGATTCCACTAGATGGGGGTGAGGAGGGAGTATATTCTAGGGATGGTGGATAGTGGGGAGGGGTCAGTCAGTGCAAAGATAGGTGGTAATTGGAGTTAGCAGTGGAGCTGTTAGTCTTAACAAGTACAAAAGAACTCATGTGGAAGTGATATAGAATTTAATTCTAAGTCAGGAAATACCTAGAGATCAGGTCTCCAGGAAGAGGACAGAATTCACGTGCAGTGCCAATTCTGGGGCTTCATCCCAGCAGGGCAGGGAATGAGGGTCACCCAGAGAATGACCCTGCACATGGAATGGGCATTTATTTGACTCTGTGTCAGGCCATGTGTGTGAGGCCCTGGCCCTTTTAGTAAAGAAAGAAGCCCTTCACCGACCCATAAGTCATTCAAAAAGCATTTATTAAGTATTTACTGGGTGCCAGACACCAGGGATTAAAAGAAAGCCAGGAAGAAGATTGGAAAGATAGGAAGGGGCTAGATTGTGAAGGGCTTTAAAAGCCAAAGAATTTTGTATTTGATCCCAGGGGTAATAGAGAGTCGCAGATGTTTATTGAGTACTGGGGTGATACGGTCAGAGCTGTGCTTTAAGGACAATCAGCTGAGTGAAGAATGGAGTGGAGCAGAGAGAGAGAGATGAGAAAGCAAACCAACTAGACGGCTATTGCTAGTGGAATGTGATGAGGGTCTCCACCAGAGTGAGCCTATGTGAGTAGAGAGAAGGGGGTGTGTATGTAAGAGATGTTTTTAATGTAAAAAGCAGGACCTAGCAAGAATTTGGCTATGTGGGGTGAGTGGGTGAGGAGTCTGAGGGAGAGAGCCTGAGTAAGAGCAAAATGCTCGGGTTAGACATTGGCTTCTGTGCTAAAGGTCACTCTGTCCCTTCTCTAATGTGTCCTTGGTACTTTGTGCTGAGTTCATGGCCATGTCATCACCTGGGAAACATGAGTTTGGAACTATGGACAGGTGTTTTCCTCTTTGGAGAGCCCTTCCTCCAGACCTGGCCTCAAGTATTCAGTGTGTAATTGTGGGACAGAACCTTGCTGGGGCTCAGACTTGCTGCATGAAGACAGAGTGTTGCCACACTTGGAGTATCTGTATTTCTAGAGTCTGTTGGCAACGTCCCCTGAGGATCGGAAGCTGGCCACCCAGAACACACAGCCACAAGAACATGCAGAAGAAGAGTCGAAGGAAAAGCCATTCACACTAGAGGAGTACTCCTATGAATACTTCAGGTAATATTCCTAGGTAACACTACCCTCTACCCTCACAAACAGGTGAGACCCAGATCTGGCGTTACAAACACCCAAGGACAGAGGCTCCTTAGTTCAGCCTCCATCAGCAACTTTTTTCTTTTATGGATACATTTTGCTTTGACACAGCAGACACATCCCAACAAACATGTAACTAATGCTACTCGACAAAGTGTATTCCCCAAGAACAGTTAAGAAAAATTCCTCAGAGAACCAGGAGAACATTGTACACAGCAACAGCAGTACTGTGCAATGATTAACTATGATAAACTTAGCTCTTCTCAGCAATACAATGATCTAGGACAATTCCAAAAGACTCATGATGGAAAATGCTATCCACATGCAGAGAAAGAACTATGCAGTCCAAATGCAGATCGAAGCATGCTATTTTCACTTATTTTGGTTTTTGTTTTTTTCTCTCATAGTTTTCCCCTTTGTTCTGATTCTTCTTTCACAACATGACTAACGTAGAAATGTGTTTGATATGATTGTACACATATAACCTATATCAGATTGCTTGTAGTCTTGGGGAGGACAGAAGGTAGGCAAGGAGGGAGAAAAATTTGGAACTGAAAATTTTACAAAATGAATGTTGAAAACTATCTTTACAAGTAATTGAAAAAAATAAAATTCTATTAAGGAGAAAAAAAAGAAAGAAAAAATGCTCAAAAGAAGGATTGCAACTGATAGTACCCATCATTTTATCACCAACAAAGTAGAATACGAACTTTCACTTTGATGCTTTGGTGTCAGTGTGATCCATTGCCTTTGACCTGAGTTTTGTTGCTTTTTAATGTTGTCTTCATTTACTTCAAGGGTTCTTTACCTTTTTTTGTGTGTCATGGACCCCTTTGGCAGTCTACCAAGTGGACATTCCTATGGCCCCTTCTCAGAATATTGTTATTAAATGCATGAAAGAAAACACTTCTAATTACAAAGAAAAGCAATCCTTCTCAGAATTATACTTGTTTCATAATAGAAGAAATGCTAAATTTCAGTTAAAGGTTAGTGAAAACAAGGATATAATTGTTTTTCATCTAGGTTCAAAACCATTCCCCCAAATTTGCTTATGTGCCCCAGATCAAGAACCCCCAATTTACATTATTGTAGTCATCAGTCTTTGGCTCTGCTTTCTTCTGTATACATCAAACTATAGAAGTCTTACTATGTGATTCTGAGTTCATTTGGCTACCCATTCTCTTATCACTGGGTACATAATGTAATTGCTTAGGGAGTTGTGAGATATAAGGCTGTAAAATGAAGCAGGTGGGGCCAATTTGTGGATACCTCATTAGGTCCAAGGGCTCTCATGTAGACTTAACAATAGGAGTTAGGCTGGAGGTGAGTGGCAGAGTAGAAGGTGAGAGAATCATTAGCTGGCTAATGTGTGGGAAAAGGAAATGTCTGGGAGAATTGAAGAGTAAATGGTGGAGAGAAAAAAAAAAGGAAAAGAGGGAGGAAAAAAAGAAAGTGTAATGAATAAGACAAAACTAAATGCCTTTGGCCCACATAAATTGGTGACCTTCCCCTTTTCCAAGTCTTTCTTATGGGCTGACAAAGAGGAGACATTCAGTAAAGGCTTATTGAACTAACTTGGCTGCTCAGATATGTTTAAGCCTTAGGATTCCTTCCCTGTAGTCCTAGCCTTGACCCTGCTGTCCCACCATGGAGAGTCCCTGACCAGAGTCCTTAGGCCACAACCAAGCTTCTCTCCTTATCTAGGCCCCCCGAAAAGGAGACTATCAACCCAGTCATGTTCCCCAAGGCAAGGGGTAAGAGCCAGCTGTGGGAGCATTCCTGGGAGCCCCTCAAACAGCCGCTACTGAAGAGAGTCCATGCCAATGTGGACCTTCGGGACATCGCCTGCCAGACCTTTGCTGATATCCTTTCTCTGATGGGCCAGGCCTCCTTCCCCAATTCCATGGGGTGGGGGCAGAGAATGAGCACTATGCTTTGCCAGGGATCCCTTATCAATATGACCCCAAGGTGAGGTGGGGGGCAGGGAGTAGAATCTCTTCCATGTGGACTCTCCTGTACAATTCATGTTTTGTGTCCCCCAGGATGAGAGCCAAGAGCAGACTCTACCTGGCCTCTTTATGACCATCAATAAGTCACTGCTGCCCAAAGTTCAGAAATTCATTGAGATAAAGAAGAAGAAATAGCTACTCAGTCCAAAGTCACAGAATAACAAGTACCAAACAGACTGAATGTTCAGGAGGGTCCCTCCACCTAGGATTTGCTGTGACTTTGGGTGAATCATTTACCCAATCTGGGCCCATTATGCTCCTCTGACTACAAAATGGGAACAATAATGGAGAGACATACCCAGCAATGTTTGCACCTGAGGCAGGCACACAGTCCTGAAGAAGGAGGTCCATCCCAGGACACAGGGAGGTTTCCATGTTGTTGAAGGAAGAGGAGATGCACCGTGGAAGGAACTCACTACTATTGTCCCTAGGGATGGGGCCTGGGCTGTCAGGATAAGAAGTTCCTCCCTCAACAGTGTTGCCAGCCAACATTGCCCTATAAATACCATACCTTGTGACAAAGCCCCATGGCTCCATCCTAGTCAAAGCTCTGATATAATGGCTGTTCCTACCTGCTTTATAGAATTTCATTAACCTTAAAAAAAAAAAAACAACTCTCAAGAAAGTTTAAACTCCTTAGAGGTCATTGCTATGTAAATTTAAATTATGCAAATATAAAATCTTAATTAGAAATAAGTTAACTGCAATTCTTTTTTCCACCCTCAGCTTTAAGGAAAAAAGTTACAAGTGACAAAACAACAAGCTGATATTTGGAATTTAGTAAAAAGGAAAAAAAAAAAGCATCTTCCCTGGAGTGCTCAGCACTCAATGAGCCTCTATGCCTAGGGCTGGTACACAGATAATGGCTATTCAGGACAATGCAGGTGAGCCCAGGAAGATCCTCAGTCAGCAAAGACAAAGTCAGTCCTGGTCATTAGACTGGACTGTCTGAAGTAAGAAAGGATACTCCGATCATTTTCAGCAGTAGGGTAAAACCAAAAAGAAGTTTCAAGTTCACTTTTCATTACCCCCCAGAATTCAATAAACCATTCTAAGAGTTGACATTTATTTATTTATTTATTTATTTAGCTGACACTTTATATATGTAGAGTATCCCCAAAGGTATCAAAGCTTAAAACCGCACTTGGACTTTTGGAACACCAATACCATATCATTCAAGCCTCCCAACAACCCTATGAAGTAGGTACTGTAAGTATTGTTTCTGCTTCATATATAAAGGAACTCGGGCTCAGAAAGATTACGTGACTGGCTTATGATCCCATAGTAAATAAATGGTAGAGTGAAGATGTGGGTTATAGGTTATAGATTTAGAGCTATATAAAAGGGACTTTAGATGCTATTGAATCCAATCCCATTATTTTATAGATGAAGAAACTGAACCACAGAGAGATGTACGTATCTCAGGGTCACATAGAAATGGGCGGGATTTGAACTGAGGTCTTCTTAACACCCAGGCTAGCATTCTGTCTGCTATGTGATAGTGCTTCTAAATGTCTCCTACTCCCAGCTGACGGTCTCTATTCAAGGCCATGTCAGGGTACCATAGTAGTTAGACACTGTAGCAATTGGTCTCCATTAATGGGGATGAACTGCACTTAGCCATCAATACTCTCTCACTCTTTCACTCAGACCCAATGATGTTTGGGAGATGACTGTTCATCAGTTAGTCTGTGGCCAAGGTTAGAGGTCATTATGTGTCCATAGAATTAAGTTCTTATGGAACTCAAACCTATGACTTATTATCATTGTTGTTATTAATAATAATAACATTTATATAGCACTTTAAAATTTGTAAAGCATTTTATACAGATTATCTCATTTGATCTTCAACAACACTGTGAGATAGGGGCTATTATCATTCCCATTTTACAGATGAGGAAACTGAGGCTAAAAGAAGTTTTGCCTAGCATCACCAGCTGAGTAGCTGTGTCTGAGGAAGTATTTGAGCTCAGTACTTCTTTTTTTAGCTTTTTTTGTTGCATGCCCAATTCATTGATCTCCTTTTTCTCTATTTTATTCATGTAAGCATTTAGAGTTATAAAATTTCCCCTAAGAACTGCTTTGGCTGCATCCCTTAAGTTTTGGTATGTTGTTTCATTATTGTCATTCTCTTGGAGGAAGTTATTGATTATTTCTGTGATTTCTTGTTTGATCCACTCATTCTTTAGGATTAGATTATTTAGTTTCCACTTAATTTGTAGTCTATCTTTCCATGGCCCTTTATTACATGTAATTTTTATTGCATCATGATTTGAAAAGGATGCATTTAATATTTCTACCTTCCTGCAATGGATTTTGAAGTTTTTATGCCCTAGTATATGGTCAATTTTTGTGTAGGTCCCATGTGCCACTGAGAAAAAGGTATATTCCTTTCTATCCCCATTCAGTTTTCTACAGAGGTCTACATATCTAACTTTTCTAAAATTCTGTTCACCTCCTTAATTTCTTTCTCTCTTGGTTAGATTTATCTAGTTCTGAGAGGGGGAGGTTGAAGTCCCCCACTAGTATAGTTTTGCTATTTCTTCCTATAACTCACTTGACTTCTCTAAGAATTTGGGTGCTATACCACTTGGTGTGTATATGTTTATGATTGAGATTACCTCATTGTCTATGGCAGCATTTCTTCAACTGTAATTTGGTGACAGTAAAAGATTTCTGAATGCTTAATGGCCAAAAATTAATTAAAAAATCAAACGAGTACTGAATCCTAGGTGTTTCTGGCAGCACTTACTGGTGTTGTGTCACACAACTTAACTGCAGCCTTGGTTCTGAATGCAAAGCATATGCACTTTGCACTGTGCTTGTCTTCAGGCCATGCAATGCTAACTAATGCTGCTAAAAGTAAAATAGGGTCATGAGTGGAAAAAGTTTAAGAAAACCTGGTCTGTGGTACCTTTCAGCAGGATGAAGTTTCCTTCCTTATCTCCTTTAATTAGACCTATTTTTTTGCTTTTGCTTTGTCTGAGATCAGGATTGCTACCCCTGCTTTTTTCATTTCAACTGAAGCATAATATATTCTGCTCCAGCCTTTTACCTTTATTCTGTGTGTATCTCTCTGCTTCAGATGTGTTTCTTATAAATGATATATTGTGGGATTATGGTTTTTAATCCACTCTGCTGCTTCCATTTTATGGGAGAGTTCATCCCATTCACATTCACAGTTATGGTTACTAGTTGGGTCTTTCTCTCCAACCTATTCCCTCCCCTCCTTAAGCTTTTCTCTCTCCTTTCTGCCTTTTTCTCCTCACTAATGTTTTGCTTCTGACCACCACCTCCCTCCATCTGTCCTCCCTTCTATCAGCCCCCCTCCCTTTTCCTTCCCCTTTCCACTCCTACTTCCTATAGGTTAAGATAGATTTCTCTCCCCAACTGAATGGGTATGTTATTCTCTCTTTGGAGCTCAGGTCGTCGTGATTCCAAGTCCAGTGCTCTACCCACTGTGCCACCTAGCTGCCTCCAGCCTACTGTACTAATTGGGAGCTATAGTTTGCATATTAAACTGCATATACACCTTCCAGAGCCTCCACTTCCACTTTTCTACTCCACCAAAGTCTAGCAAATTCCCTTTTCCTTCACTGCCTCCCACCCATCTTGAAGTATATGGGAGACTACCCATCCAAACAGTCCGGGGATACCATGAAGCTCACCGATCAGATCTTCGCAGCTGCTGTCCAGGAGGCCATATTGAGGGATGAAGTGTACTGCCAGATCATGAAGCAACTGACGAACAACACTAACCGGTAGGCTATCAAAAAATTAGCCAAAAACATTTTTAAAAAATATCACAGAGCCCAAGTTTTTAAAAAATCCTGTCTTACTGACCAGTCTGGGAATCATTTTGCATGACTATGCATATTTGTTACAAGTATTTTTTTTCTTTTTTCAATAGGGAAGGAAAGTAGGAGGCAAAAATAGATTTTTGCACATATATATACATACGCATATACATGTGAATCTATAAATACATATATGTCTCTTTCAATGTGTATATATACACACATGTGTATACATATATGTATATATACATATATGCATGTGTATACATGTGTATAGAGTATATAAGTATATATACATACACATATACACACTATATATACATATATATACAGATACATACATATACGTATACATATATGTATACATACTATATATATATATATATATATACGCACATATATACAGATACACACATATACATATATGTATACACACTATATATATATCTGACTTCTCCCTTAAAGGGTAGAAGATCAGGTTAGGTCCAAGGTTCTCCTAGCTCCTAGTACTTAGATAACGTTCTCCATATTGCTACCTGCGGTTGATTATGTGGGAAATATATAGTTTTTGTGCCCTGGGGCTCCCCAGGATTCAGCATTCAGTGGGATGCCCAAAGGGCCCCCTCCACTAACTCACTCCTTATTGGCTATGATGAGTGGCAAGTGGTGGCTGGTTGTTTCTTCAGTTACAGCTTGGAGCGTGGTTGGCAACTTCTCTGGCTCTGCACCGGCCTCTTCCCACCCAGTAAAACACTGCTGCCACACACCCAGAAGTTCATCGAGTCAAGGAGGAAGAAGCAACACATTGCACCTGATTGCAGCAGAAGGATTCAAAAGGTGATGAGGTAATTGCTCCTCCTGTCAGTCAACAGGTTTCTACTGAGCCTTAGACACTGTCAAAGAGACCAGAAAAGGAGAAATTCTTGCCCTCAAGAGACTCCCATTCTAATTGGGAAAACCAAAATTCACTCACATTGGACAGGGAGAGAACAATACAGGAGAGAATACAATCAAATAATTGTTTAAGTTAGAAGAGATCAGAGGTCAGAGTAGCAGTCGGGGGCCTTCTAGAGGAGGTGAAACTTGACCTGGGCCCTCAAGGATGGTAGGATTTGGGTAAACAGAGAAAATGGGGAAGGGGCAGAGAGAGGATAGGGAGAGAAAAGTATGGCACATACAAGCAATGAGGAGACCAGACTGAAGGAGAAGGACCCCTTGCACCTGCTGCATTAGAAGTTGAGGCTGTTCCCAGCGAACTAGCCTGGGACCTTGGTCATCCTGCCACTCCTTTTCGGCCTTATTCCCTAATTGCTGACAGCTTCCCTGCCTGGGAAGTCTTCCCTCCAAGGGCAGGCTCAGGAGAAAGGTGGTATAGTATTCTAACTCACTCCTGTTAAAGGCTTCCCCCAGCTCTAGTAAAAGGTTAGGTGGGAAAGGAAATGCTTGTTGGGGTTTGAAATGAGATCTCATATGATTAAGAGATCATAATTCTGTGGATTATCTGTGGGCATCAAATATCTATGCCCTTCTAGTCCTCTGTGGTTCCAGAAAGCCAGAAGTAGTCTGTAGAAGCTCAAGTAACTGTTGCTGTCTTTTTTAGATAGATATTTCTCTCTGCGTCTCCCTATCTTTATCTCTTACCCATTTCCATTTCTGTCACTGTCTCATTTCCTGTCTTTGTCTCACTCTCAGCCACACTCTGCCTCTCTTCTCTTCCTACCCCTCTCTGATGCAATCTTTATGTCTCTTTTCCTACCATGTGTGTTTTCTCTATAGCACAATTTCTGTTTATTTCTCTACCCTTTTCTCTCTCTTCCTGTGACTTCCCCTTTCTCCCCCTCTCCTCCCTCTTTTTCTGTTGCCTGTTTCTCCTCCCCTCCCCTTGACTTTGTGTTTCTCTAAAATCGTTATCTTTTCCCTCAAGCCCTCCTTTTTTCCTAATTTCCTATTACTGTCGAGGGCACCATCATCCACCCAGTCATCCAGGCTCACAACTTAGGCATCATTCTTGAGTGCTCGCACTCTCTCATCCCCCACATCCAATCAGTTGCCATGTCCTATTGATTCTATGATATGTAATGTCTTTCACAGAGACTCGCTTATCTTTCCCGACACTGACCCTCATCACTTCATACCTGGACTATTGTATGAATCTTCTAGTTGGTCTCTCTAATTCAATTTTCTTCCCCCTCTCCAATCCATCCTCCACTCAGCTGTCAAAATTATTTTCCTAAAGGTCTGACCACGTGCCCAACTATTCAATAAACTCCAGTAGCTTCCTATCGCCTCCAGGATCAAATCCAAACTTTTCTATTTGTCCTTTAAAGCTCTTCATAACCTGGCCCCTTCGTACATCTCCGGTCTTGCAATACCTGCCTCTTCTCCAATGACTCTTCGATCTAGTGAACCTGGCTTCCTTCAAGGCCCAGCTAATCTCATCTTCAACAACAAGCTTTTCTGGTCCCCCTTAATTATCATGCCTTCGCTCTGGGATTATGTCCAATTTATCCCATGTCTATACTTGTTTCTGCACAGCTGTTTGCATGTTGTCTCTCTCATTAGACTATAAGTTATGAGCAGAGATTTTTTTTTGCCTTTCTTGGTATTCCCAGTGCTTAGCACAATGCCTAGCTCGTAGTAGATGCTTAATAAATGCTTGTTGACTTTTCCCAACTCTGTTATTTGTTTCTTCCTCCCCACCTCCATGTCTTCCCCCCTCTCTCTTACAACCTTCTGTGCTCATGAAAGTGGGGTTTAGAGAGTAGAGGATGTCTCTACTCTGTCCAGATCTGAGCAGCAGCAACCCAGAGAGACCTCACTGAGGATAGAGGAGTTGCTGGGCCCCGGCCAGGGCTATCTCCTCTGGGAGAATCTCTATGAGCGAATTGGGAGGGAGAAGGCCTGAGACCTGAGAGCGAAGTTAAACTATAGGCCTCTAGAGTTTTCTGGTGCTGATCCAGAGAAAGTCGGGCCCCACAGAGGTCTCCGCATCCTTTCCTAATTCAGGAAATTGACATCCTTCCTCCTCTAGCCAGAGATGATATTGTATAGACCTCCCTCATTTCAAACTATTTGGCATTGGGCTCTAACCGGATGTACATGTGGCACATAGCCATGAGGGCTTTACTCCAAATAGTTCTCAAGGAGTCCCCTTCCCCAGTCACTGACCTGGCTCTGCTGGAAACAGTATAGTGGCCAAGTTGGATACAGCTTCCTCTTCCAATTCTCCCCATCTCTTTAGTTTGAACACTGAGAAAGAGAAACGATAGCACTGAGCTAAGGCTGCCTGAGGGCATCTGGGATTGTAGATAACAGGATGAGGTCTCTAAAAATGACAAGTTAGTGGACAGATAGCCAAGAAGGGATGCATAGAAATTGTAGCTGGAGGGATGGAGACTGAACAGAAAGAACTACTCTAAAGAAAAGGGTTATCAAAACTCCGAAGAAAAATGTAAACTCTCTGATCCTGGAAATTTTGGTAGGAAAAAATACACACAGATACCCTATTTGTTTCTATCATCTGGAAGGGATTAGGAGAAGCTTGCTCAGAGACAGGAAAATAAACAAAGCAACTTAAGATCGCAGGATTTAGAACTGCAAGGGACCTTAAAATTGTACAGTTCCCCTTGTTTTATAGAAAAAGAAACTGAAACCTAGAGGGTTAATTGACTTGGTTAAAGTCACACAGGTAGTGAAAAGACAGATCTGACTCTGAAATCAAGGGCTCTCTTCACTAGACCATGCTGAAGAAGATTTCCAGCACAAGGCCATGATGCAAAGGGGATGAGATGACTTCCAGATCCCACTAAAAAGAGCTAAGCCAGTACAAGGTATTTATGCACTCCAGGCAAGGACAGAAAATGGCATTGATGCCCTGGCCCTATGCGTGACTGTCCGCCAAAGGTTTTGAGTCTTCTCTGTAACACGCGCAGCTTAACTCTTCCCACAATAAATCCTACGTGCCACAGAGAATAGAATTTCTTGGCATTGAAAATAAGCATTTCTAAACATTGACATTAAAAAGTATCCTTCATGACACCCCTCTGAGTATCCTAGGAGCTGCCTACCTTGCCATTCCCTAGTCCTGACTTGGGGCTCTGTGACCACTGGGTCACAGTTGTTTGTTCCCTTCTAAACTGAGAGCGAGAAGGCGGTAACATCTGGGCCCAACAGACCTGATCTTGAGACAGATTCCAGAAGAGCTCCCAGGCCTTCAGTGGTGCCCCTTAAATCAACAGCTGTAGGAAAGCCCAGCCCAGCTGCCCTGCAATGAAATGCACTGTCCTGTGGTTGAATGAATCCTTTATTCAGGAATTGAGTGGGGAGGCCTTCCCCAGAAGCCACGGGATGGGGAGGGCCAAGGACAGCTCCAGCCAGACAGTAGCCCCAAACAGCACATTCTAGTTTGTAATCTTATTTTGTGGGAAAAACAACACAGATGGTAGAATGCTAGCATCAGAAAGGACCTCAGAGATCACAACTCTGACTCCCTCAATTTACAGTGGAGGAAACTCAGGCGCAGAAGAATAAAGTGACTTATCGAGGGTCCTGTTGCTAGTGAGCTGGGACTCCAACTTGGCTGTTGGTTCTCAGTCTGATGCGCTTTCTATCATACAATGCAGAAAAGGATCATTGGATCAGAGATTTAGATCCAGAAAGATCCTAGGAAGCCATCAAGTTCAGCCCACTCTTCTGTAAAATCTGAGGCAAAAAAAGGCAGCGTGGAGCACTAACAGCAAACTTTGACACCTTCACAGTCTGAGCCAAAGCCTGCCCTCTACCAATAATGAGCTCCATAAGGTTAGGGATTGAAAGCTGTTTGATTTCCATATATATTCATTACCTTTGGGACCAAACCTCCCAGCAGTCAGTTAATCGGTCAGTCAATAAACAACAGTACTACCCACAGATGAGCATTCACTCATTCATTTTGTAATAGAGGCCTGGTTAGTGAGAGCCAGTCCTTAGGAATACCCTTCATTCCACAAGCATTTACTAAGCATGTTATATGTAACTAGGGCAGCTAGGTGGCGCAGTGGATACAGCACCAGGCCTGGGGTCAGGAAAACTCATCTAGTGAGTTCAAATCCTGCCTCAAGCACTTACTATCGGTGTGACCCTCCCACTGCATTTTGCCATCTCCAGTCGTCCTGATCTATATTTTGCCACTGGACCCAGATGGCTCTAGAGGAGAGAGTGAGGCTGATGACCTTGTACAGCCCTCTGTCATTTAAATCCAATTCACTCACAAGTCATGACATCACCTTTCTGATGTCATGGTCTTCTTTGAGAAGGAAGGACAACAAGGAAGAAAGAACCACCCTGGGCAAGTCACTGAATCCTGTTTGCCTCAGTTTCCTCATCTGTAAAATGAGCTGGAGAAGGAAATGGCACACCATTCCAGTATCTATGCCAAGAAAACTCCAAATGGGGTCACAGAGTCAAACGCAGCTGAAATGATTCAACAACAATTGAGGATGCAGATAAAAATGAAGCAGCCTCTGGCCTCGTGGAGAGTATGTTCTACTGGAGGGAAACAACAGAAACACAGATATATACAAAATAGATCCAAAGTAAATTCCACTGGGTAGAAGGACATTAGCAACTGGGGGAGTCAGGAGAGGTGGCCCTTGAGATGAGCATCAAAGTATTTTTCAATATATTTGATAAGAGAGAGGAAGTACATTCCAGGCATAAGAGATAGTTAGTACAGAAGCATGGAGTCAGAAAATTAATTGATAATAATAATTTATATTCACATAACATTTTAAGGTTTGCAAAGGGCTTTACCAATATAATCATTTTATCCTCATGACATCTTTAGGGGGTAGGTGTTATTATTACGCCATTTCACAAATGCGGAAACTGAGGCAAACAAAGGTTAAGTGACTTGCCAGGGTCTCACAGCTGGTCAGTATCTTGAGGCAGGATCTATGCCTCCTAGCTGCCTAGATGGAATATTATAAACAGGAGCAGCAATTTCTGTGGATCTTAGAGTATACACAAAAGAGTAATGGGTACAGAATTGTGTTTTTATTAGTAGGGTTGGCTCACTCTCACTGTCTTCTTCCTATGACCAATAGCACACACAGACTCACTGTTGGTTAGCTAGGATTGGGGGGATAGTCCAGGGTCACTGAGCAAAACAATTTGGCCCAGTCAGGGATTGACTCTGGAATCTCAGCTTTATTGACACTGTAGCCCACCCTACTGAGCTAACAAGCTACTTTCAATCCTGAGGTTGGCCACACTTTTTGTGCTGTTCTTTTCTAGGACTGGCCCCCGGAAGTATCCCCCTCACCATGCAGAAGTGGAGGCCATTCAGCAAAACATCACCAAGATCTGCCACAAGGTTTACTTCCCCAATGACACAGATGAGGTGAGAGGCTCAGGCATTTCCTCCAAGTGTAGGCTACTCCTCCAGCCTCTGTTTGGGCATGGGTCCCTGAACTTGGGTCTGCCAATGTTTGGGTGTTACTACTGGTATGCTACTAAATATTTAACAACTGGCTCTCCAGGAGAAAAAAAATACACCTATGATGTACTTTTAAGTTTAATTTGCATTATTAACACTTTCTCTATCACTTTCTTACATATAGACAATCAACAAAGCAATAAGTCAAGGTCTGATTTGTCAGCATTTGCTGATTTCTTAGGTGTAAATGCTCATAATGAAAATTTAACAATTAGCTCTAAGCCAGGTATGATCTGGGGCTATCAAACCCATGGCTATTACTAGACTCCTGAAGAGATGTGTATCTGAGTTTTTGAAGGATAATATCCTAGCTGACCTTCTCTGAACTAAGAGAAACCAGAAATGGTAAAGAAGAATGAAATTCTTAAATTCATTTTTTGGCCACTGGTTTTAATAATTTTTTTTACAGATGCCTTTTGCTTTTATATCACCTTCATTTCCAAACATATCTTTTTTTTGGCCCTACCCAGGGAGCCATTTTTCGTAACAAAGAATACAACAGAGGGGAGGGGGGCAGAGAAAGGCAAACTTAGAAGCACAAGCCTGACAATGTATGAAGAGCTTCACACCTATAGTCCCCGTATGTAAAGGTGGGAGGGAAGTATATTTTCTCAGCTTCTCTCTGGGACCAAAGTTTCTAGCTTTATCTTCAAGGACTAGCACTTCAAACTTTCAAGAATGTTCTCAATTAATTTCATTTAATCCTCACAACCCCACCTTATGAGGTAAATAAGACAGAAAGTGATATCCCCATTCTACAGTTGAGGAAGTTGAGGCACAAAGAGTTGAGATACCCTGCCTTGAATTAAACGGAAAATTGACAAAAGAGCCACCACTGAAACCCAGACCTGAGTCTTAGTCCAATAATTTTGTTTAGCTCGAGGAGTATTGATTAATCTCTTGCTGTGTGCCTAATACCACATGGAGTACTATAGTATTCAGACTTTTCCTGTACTTTATAATTTGTTGAAATAAATAAGATGGGGGGGGGAATCGCCTCCTGTCTCTAGCCCTGTCCTATTTGGGGGGGAGAGGTCCTAGTAGAAAATGGCCCAAGACAAAGAGACAAATGGAAGGAGTAAGAGAAAAAGCCATGGATGAGAGAAGCTATGAAGTAAATCATTGGCCCTTGGGTAATGGAGAGACAGCTGTATTTTAGATGTTTTTCACCTGTTCTAGTCCTTGAGTCTTCAAAAGGTAAAGTCATAGATCAGAGCTGGAACTAACCTTTTGTTATTGTTCAATAGTTTCAGTCCTGTCCAACTCTTCTTGACCTCACTTAGAGTTTTCTTGGCAAAGATACTAGAGTGGTTTGCCGTTGGCAAAAAGGGTTAAGTGACTTTCCCAGGGGTCACACAGCTAGTACATGTCTGAGGCCAGATTCAAACTCACAAAGATTAGTCTTTCTGATTCCAGGCCTGGTGCTCTCTTCACTGTGCCACTTTTAAAGTCAACTAATCTAACCTCTGAAGCCCCAGAAACTCCAATGACAAGTAGTAAGTAGTAAAACTAGGATTTAAGCCAAAGACCTCCGATGCCATATTTAGTGCTCTGGAAGAGCAACAATAGTGAAAAGAACTCTAGACTAATCATCAGAAGACTTGAGCTCTAATCCCAGTTCTACTGCTCACTGACTGTGTGACCTTGGGCAAGTCACTCCCTCTATTTAGTTTCTTCATGTGTAATTTGAGGGAATTGGACTAGATGACCTATGATGTCCCCTCCAGCGCTAAAGAATACAAAAGATCATGAATTATAACCCTGACTTGTTTTCTTTACATCCTCACTGCAGAGAAAATACCCCAGCCTCTCTTGAGTTCCTGTGGGAAGAGCAGAGGGAAAGCTCACATATTCACAGACATTCCCACAGTAGAGAGACTGTCCTGGTTCTTCTGTTTGGCCATGCTATGCCAGGGGTTAGACTTCCTCATTTTCTCCTGTCCTCCATTCCAGTCCTGCCCACATGTAAGATCAGCCTTTCTCCCCCATAACTGATGGCTCTGCTTCTTTCAGATCTTTGAAGTTGGAGCCAACACAAAGGTTCAGGACCTGTGTCAAAACATCAGCACTCACCTGCAACTGAGCTCCTGGGAGGGTTGTAGCCTATTTGTCAGGATTTCAGACAAGGTATGACAGTAATAATGGCAGCAGACAGTGGTGGGAGGGCTTGGTGCTCAGGAGGGGTGAAAAACTTAGAGTTTTGGAGTGGGGGACACCAATTTACCCTAGCTGAGCCTACAATGGAGAAGGTGACCAGAAGACCCAGTCCAGCTAATGAATGACCAAAAACAAAACTTGAAAAAGAGTATACAATGGCCACAGGTGTTTGTCACTAATGGGGGAGGTCCAGATATATTGTCAAAATGATTTCCTGATGCTTCTGGCAGTGATGACATTGTGCTGATCACATCAAATCCTGAAATATCGGAGAGCCTCCTAAGGAGATCCATAATCACTCAAGAGTTTGGCCTATCTATACATGAAAAACCAAGTGGATGAAAAATATCTGTTGTCCAGTTGTATGTTTAGTACATATATATTGGAAACACATCTCAAATGAACAATTATATGGGTCCATAATTTAACAGGAGGAATTGCCTATGGAAAAGTCCACCTTTTCAATATTAATGTTATTCTAGTGATGTTTATAAGTAATTCAGTGCCACAGTCTGCAAAGAATTAAAGTCGCACAAGAGGCAATGGAGAGGCGAATGTTAGCATGCTACCTAGAGCAAAGCGTGCAACAAAAGCAGTGAAAAGATATTATCAAAGAAATGGGTGACCAAAAAAGGAAGTAGTCAGGTCATGTGCATCCACTGTCCTCCGCTGGTATCCATAAAATGTCAAGAAATAGGAAGATCCTCAGTACATTGGGTCGGTCCTTATGGGGCATTCATGGAAAGAATCATGTACCGCAGTTGCACAGATCAGGAAGGCACAGAGAGGTTGCTATCTGCACCACTGAAGGAAATACCCATGTCTGAGAGTTTATAGATACCTCAAAGTATTATTACTATTTTAAAAAATTATATTCAGCTGAAATCTCCCTTTCTGTGACTTGCACTCATTGCTACTAGTTTTGTCCTTTAGGGCTAACCATAGAAAGTTGAATTAGCAATCCTTCATCTGCATGATAGCTCATTAAGTACTTTAATCTGTCATACTTTAGATCTATTATAAGCGCCCCCACATTTTGTTTTCTTCAGGATAAGTTTCTTCAACAAATCCTTGAATGATATAGTTTTTAGTCTTCTCTGCATTCCGCTTAACTTCCTCTGGACGTGCACCACCTAGTCACTCACTCAATAAGGAAGGATTTACTAAGCACCTGCTATGTGCTAGGCCCCACACTAAGTCATGACTACGCAAAGACAAAACCAAAAACAGCTCCTGCCCTCAAATATCTTTTATTCTGTGGAGGAAAACCACATTTATAATGTAAGTTAATACCTCAGTATTATCATCGCATTAACTATGTGATAGTCTTACATTTATATTATATTTAATATGGTATTATAGTTCTATATTGTGTGTATATGTGTGTATACATGCACACATATGCATATATGTATGTACATATACATACATGTGTAGTAAATACCAAGTGATTGGGGGGAGAGGGAAGGGAAGGAGGAAGGAAGGAAGGAAGGAAGGAAGGAAGGAAGGAAGGAAGGAAGGAAGGAAGGAAGGAAGGAAGGAAGGAAGGAAGGAAGGAAGGAAGGAAACGAAACGAAACATTTATTAAGTGCATACCACGTGCCAGGCACTGTGCTAAGTACTTCACACATCGTATTTCATTTGTTCCTCACAGCAACCCTGTGAGGTAGGTGCTATTATTATCCCCATTTTACAGTTGAGGAAACTGAGGAAGTCAGAGGTTAAGTGACTTGCCCAGAATTACAAAGCTAGTAAGTGTCTAGCTAGAAAATGTCTGAGGCTGGATTTGAACTCAAGTCTCCCTGACTCCAGGCCCTGAACTCTATTGGTTTTACTACCTGCCTGCTTCCTGGATGGAAGAGAAAGTGCTCACAGTGGGGTGAATTAGGAAAGGCCGCACTCTGAGTGCAGATCAAAAGGTTTTTTTTACTTTGTTTTTCTAGCTTTTTTTGGCAACATGGCCAATCTGGACACTTATTTTGCATCACTTCCCATGTATAATGGGTATCATATTTCTTGCTTTCTCAGTGGGTGGGAAAGGGGCTGGAGGGAGGGAGAAAATTTGGAACTCAAAAATAAAATAATGTTGGGAAAGGCTTCACGTCTGAAGAAGTGCCTGAACTGAGCTTTGAGGGAAATTAGGGATTTTAAGAAATAGAGATGAGGAAAGATGGGATACACAGCCCATACAAAGGCACAGACGTGGGGGATTGAGGGCTACGTGAGTGGCTGCTAGGCCAATTTGGCTGGACCACAGTGTGGGCAAAGGGTCAAAGTATGTAATAAATCTGGATGGGTAGGCTGGCGAAAATGTGACTTCCAGAACTAAATACTATATTCTAAGTGTGATTTCACTATAGAAGAGCAAGATTCAAAATAATTCATCGCAGGCAACTGTCTCTTCTGCCTGCCTATGTTCTCGGTTCCCCTAGAAAACTCTCTTACCTCCCAGGGCCAGGCCCGGCCTTTCTGCTCCTTCCTTAGCAAGGAGCCACTCACGGGGCAGGGATTTGCATTGTTCTTAGCTGCAATCTAATCTCACATTTGCTCTCCCTCACCAGGTCATTAGCCAAAATGAAAAAGACTACTTCTTTGATTCCTTAAGGCAGGTGTCTGACTGGATGAAAAAGACCAAGCCTGCAAGAGAAGGTAAAGGGGGTCCCTGCCAGCTATCCTAGGGGAGGTGGAAAGTGGAAACCGCAAGATGAGAGGTGTTAAATAGAATCCTTGAATCAAAAAATTTAGACTTTCAAAGGACCTTTGAGATCATCTAGTCTGATCCCCTAATTTTATCGTTTAAAAAAAGTAAAGATTTCTACAGCACGAGTGACTTTCCCAAGGTGACACAGCTAGTCACTATCAGAGCCTGGTTCCTGTCTCCCAGACCAATGTACCATGACCATTTAGTACCACAGGGGTTTTCTGACCCAATGTCCAGAGGACGGCTAGGAAACCTGTCTCTCAGAACATGACTTTGGCCTTCATAGAGAAGTTCCCTAGTTGCAGATTCAAGGGCGGAGGTGGCCCGGGTAGAATGAGTTTACGCTATTGGGGTATGTGGTTGTGAAGGGATCTAATCAGTGGTACATGTGAGTATCTTCTGAGAGGAAGGAGAAAACACCTTTTTCCCCTTTGACTGATCGTAGGAGTTTCTCTAAAGGTTTGGTTAGAGTAGGTGAAAAGGTGTGCAGGACTCCAATTGCTGAAAATAGAGTGTTTAACCCGTTTCCACCCCTTAGATTGCTCTGACTAAGCCTTTGGGGGCTTTGATGGAGGTGAGTGGACAGGGTAGGAACCTGGGAGTCCCCTATAACCTGCTTAAGAGACAAGATGCACAGGGAACATCTTCAGTGATCAATCAGTCAGCATGGTTCAAGTAGGGACTGGACTAATTGACCTTTAAGATCCCTCCCAGCTCTGTGATTCTGTGAAGATTTACTGCCCACCCACTAGTGATGTGGGCGACACATGATGTGGAAGGCTTGATCCCTGTCTTAAAGGGGCTAACAATCTGGCTGTGGAGACAAGATATACCTGTGCACGCACATGCACACAAATATTTACATACACACATACGCACTTATCTAACAACACAGGGCAGTATGTCATTCTTGTTGTTCAGTTGCGTCTAACTCTGCTTGACTCCATTTGGGATTTTCTTGGCAAAGATACTACAGCGGTTTGCCATTTCCTTCTCCAGTTCACTTTATAGATGAGGAAACTGAGGCAAACAGGATTAAGTGATTTGCCCAGGGTCACACAGCTAGTAAGTGTCTGAGGCCCAATTTGAACTCAGAAAGACAAGTCTTTCTGACTCTGGGCCCAGCACTCTATCCACTGTGCCACCTAGCTAGCACAGTATATACTAAGTACCATATGAATGATATAGACAGGCACTGCTTGGGGAGTTCAAGATAGGGAGAAATCACTGTGAGCCAGGATAGTCAGGGAAGAAAATGCAGAGCTGGAGTGATGGGATTTTGAAGTTCAAAGACCTAGATTCAAATCATGGCTCTGCTACTTTCTACTTATGTGATCTTGGCTAAATTGCTGAATTTTCTGGGACCTTAGTTTCTTCAGCTGTAAAATGGGGAGAGGAATATAGGGTTAGATGACCTCATAGATCCTTTCCATCTCTAAATCTGTGACTCTGTGAAGGCATGACAGGGCAGGTAGTAACTTCAATTGAAGTGTAACTTCAATTTTCAAACCCAAACTGATTCACTTGCTTTGATCAAAAATAATGAACATAAAGTGTATGGCCCTTTGGGGGCAGGGAAGAAGGAGAAATTGATATCAAAGGGAGTTGAAAGGGACCATGGGTGGAGGTAGAGGGAGAGGTTTGAAATGAAATCAAGTCTAAGAGGATGTAGTATGGGAGGGAGAGGAGGCAGAGCCCGGGGGGAAGGAGTTGGGGGGGCACACAGAATATCCTCTGTGCTGAGCCTTGCCTAGATCACTTGGCCTGAGGAGGCTGTCTGCTTCAGGAAGACCTTGACCCTGTGGCTGATGGCCATGACCTTATTCATTCAGGGGCAGCAGTAACCCTGTATTACCATGTGTACTTCATGAGAAAACTCTGGTTGAATGTCTTCCCTGGGAAAGACTTGAATGCTGACACCATCCTTCACTATCATCAGGTAAAAGGGCTGCCTGTCAACTCCACTAATGGATGGACCACTGACCCATACAGTGTATACATACATATATACATACATATGTGCATGTGTGTATACACACACACATACACACACACACACACGCATATATATGGACCTCTGGCCCATATAGGACTCCAGGGGAGGGAGAAAGAATCATGGGCTAGGGTGATCAGGGGACACTTCAAGGAAGAGCCTAGACATCATTGATTCATTCATTTAACAAACTTTTATTAAACACAGACACTATTTTAGACTCAAGAAAAAAAGGAGGGAATGAAACTATTCAGCTAGGCTTTAAAGGATGAGTAAGATTTGGACAAGTGGAAAGAAGGCTAGGGTGGAGGTAGGGGATTCTAGTAGGTTATAGTGTAAGCTGAGGTGGGAGTGAGCATGGGTAAAGTGGGGAGTCCATGGTAGATAGCAATGGAAGATAAGATTGGAGAAGTAAGTTGGAGTCAGATTGTGGAGGCTCTTGCATTTGAAGAGGAATTGGAATTTGATGGGGTAGGCAAAGATCATACTCCACTGTGATCAATAAAGCAGGATATGTTACATAGAATGGTGTTGGTCAGCTCATAGATGGGAGGGAGGGGACAGGAAGCAGGAAACTAGATTATGCAATAATATTAGACTCATCGAGTCCTGCTCCATAATATTTTACTTATGGAGAAACTAAGGACAAGAGAGGTGAAGGAACTTCCCAACTGTACCTAATTAATTAATGACAAAGCTAGAACTAGAACTCAAGGGCTATCTTCTCCCAGGGCCTCCATCCCTATGATACACTGAGATTTGAATGGCATGTGAGTTGTAAGCCACAAAGAACTGACTTCTAAACCAAACAATTTAGCCATATCTTGCAGTAAAGGAGGCAGAGAAACCCACATTCACACACACACACTCACACACTCACATGCATTCACACATGCACTCATAGAAAAGTTCACAGTTGAGCTATGACTAGCTAAAACTGTGCCTGGGGCCAATTCATTTAGGGGTGGGAACAATTCAGTCTCATTCATCGTGCCAGAAGGGAACTCTATGCCAGACATTGTGCTGAAATTCTACACTTAGTGATTCATTCATCCCTCTCCAGGATCCATTTTTAAGGAACAAATCCCCCTGAGAGAAAAGACACATGAAGTCCTAACGCCTGAACGTAGATGAATTTCTCAGCCATTTTTCGGGGCAGGGGAAGGAGGAGCAGTTGGAAGAGGGAGGAGAGTCAGGAGAGTTCTGGAGCAGCAGCACAGTGGGGACATGAAGTGCTACCACGTGCAAACTTCTATTTTCCAGTTTTGCTAAAGGGCTAGGCAGTCTTCAGACATCAGTACACTAGGAGGAAATGTTCAATTTGACTGTCTGTCTGTCTTTCTATGCCAGGAGCTGCCCAAATACCTGCGTGGATTCCACAAGTGCTCCAGGGAGGATGCCATCCAGCTCGCAGGCCTCATTTACAAAGTCCAGTTTGACAATGACAGGTCCCAGCTAGCCACTGTCTCCAGGATCCTGAAAGAATTGGTGCCTGAGAACATGATCCAACTGATGTCTTCAGAGGAATGGAAAAAGGTCATTGGTCTGCCCTTAGCAGTCTCCATCCCTTCCCTAGGGTGACCATGTACTGAATAATCCATTCACCTGGAGGAGTATAGGAAAAGGAAAGGGAGGGGGGACTCCAGGACTGTTTCTTGGGGTACTCTTATTAGAATATATTTTAAGTCCCTCCCAGGTACAGGCATCCTTTGCTTTATGCAGTAGACAAATTTCTGAAAAACCATCTACAAATTGATGTTTTTCTAAGCTGAATTTTATTTTGCCATTGATTTACATTACCAGTTCCAAGAGGTTTTTCTTCATATCTAACAGATCATCAAGAAGCAGTGGAGGGGCAGCTATGTGGCACAGTGTATCGATAGAGCACCAGCCGTGGAGTCAGGAAGACCTGAGTTCAAATCCGGCCTCAGAGCGAATACTTGACGCTTACTAGCTGTGTGACCCTGGGCAAGTCACTTAATCCCAATTGCCTTTGAAAAAAGAAAAAGAAAAGAAAGAAGCAATGGATACTCACACCTTAGCTTTAAGCTTCCCTATGCAACCCCTCCAGACAGACATACACACACATTATTACTCAAGCAATATTCACTCAGATTGATACAGCCCTTTAAAGGTCTATGAAACAGTAGCTAGTGAAAGTATTATTATTCCTATTTTATGGATGAGAAAATGGAGGCTCGAAGAGATTAAATGACTTGCCACTAGTATGTGAAGTCTGGGATTTGAACACAGGACTTCAGACTTCCTGTCTCCCAGTCCAGTATTCTTCCAACTGTACCATGTAGCTACTAGTCTATAGACAAATGTAATTTTAAAAATGATTAAGATTTTTTTTACATCACTCTTTATTTCTAAATATATACCTCCCCCTTTCCCTACCCAGAGAGCCCCTCTTAATAAGAAAGAATAGGAAAGAAGGAAGGAGGAAGGAAGGAAGAAAGAGAGGAAGAAACAAAGGAAGTGAAGGAGGAAAGGAAGAAAAGGAGAAAGGAAGGAAGAGAGAAAGGAAGAAATAGGAAAGAAGGATGGAAATCTGTTCAGTAAGACTAATCAACACATCGACCAAGTCTGCCCGTATTTGCAGTATTTTATATCCATAGTCCCTCTCTTCTGCAAAGACGGGAAAAGAGGTATATTTTCTCATCTCTTTGTTCAGCCAAATTTGGTTATTATAATTAATCAGCATCCACAGTTTTGTTATTGTTATTGTAGTTTCCACTTACGTTGCTGTAGGCACTGTGTATATTATTTTCCTGATTATGCTCACTTTGCATCAGTTTACATTTTTCTGAATTCTTTTTTCATCTTTCTGTAATAGTGTAGTAATATTTCATTATATTCTTGTGCCATTCTCTAATTAAGAGACATCTACTTTGTTTCTAGTTCTTTGTTACCTCAAAAAGTACTGCCACGAATATACTGATGTCTAGAAGGCCCTTCTCTCTATCTTTGTCCTCCTTAATGGTCAGATCTCTGGGTGAAAGGGTATGAACATAGTCACTTTTTTTAACCGTAATTCCAGGTCACTTTCCAAAATGGTCAGATCAAATGAAACCACACCAGGAGTGCCTTTCTTTCCACAGTCACACCAACATTTACTATTCCCATTTTTTTTTACGTCTTTGTCAATTTGCTGGGTTTGAAATGAAACCCCAGAGTTGTTTTGGTTTGTATTTCTCTTATTAGTAGTAATTTGGAACAATCTTTCATATGGTTGTTAATAGTTTGCAATTTTTCTTTTGGGAACTGCTGTAAACACTTAGAGCATGTGGGTAATGAACATTATCCATCCTGATAGAGAAAGGAGTCTCTTTGTAACTTTTCTATTCTGAATATAACACCCCCCCAAAAAAATAAATAAAATAAAATTCATGTCCATGTACAAAGTAGAATAGAAAAAGAGGATCACAGACAAAAACTCAAAGGAGAATTCGCTTTTTAAAGAAACTTACAGAATGAATGAAAAAGAGTTGATATTGATTCCTGTAAAGTGAAGATTATTTGGATTGTGAGCCCAGATTTTCTGGTCAGATTTACTAACAAAGGTTGGATGTGGTCAGTCTCTCTGGTCTCCTGGAGTCCATGAAGCCAGTGCTAGTGCCCCAACATCATAGAGCATCCTCACAAGTCCCTGCATAAGTGGCTCCAGCTCACCCATGCTTATATGCCTGCACTCCCGTTCTTTCCAGAACATCTTTGCCGCTTACAGTAAGAGTGAAGAGAAGACAGTGGATGAAGCCAAGGTGGCCTTCCTGAGGCTGATTTACCGGTGGCCCACCTTTGGGTCAGCCTTCTTCGAGGTGAAGGTAGGTTCTGTTTCAGACCCCACCAATCCCAACCCTCCCTGTGCAGAATCTTATTCATTTAGAAAAGAATTGATGGATTAAGCATCTCCTCCACCTGCTAATGCCTTTTCCTTTTCAGAAAACCTTCTCCTTCTCTGTAGACATCTTGTAGGTCCCCAGTTATTTGCATAGTGTCTCTCCCATTAGAAAGCAAGCTCCTTGAGGGCAGCCAGTGTTTTTGCCTTTTTTTTGTATCCCCAGCACTTAATACTGTATCTGGTACGTAGTAAGTGCTCAGTCAATGCTTGTTGATTGACACCTATGTCTGGGGAACTATGCTAAGTAGTGGGGATATTAAGAGGATAGTAATAATAATGATGATGATTCATTTGTATAGGACTTCCCCCCCCCCCCCCCCGCCACAACAGTGAGGTAGATAGTTCAAGAATTATTATCCCCAATTTGCTGATGCTTAAACTGGTACTCAGGGAAGTTAAGTCAATTGCCCAGAGTCACATACTACTATCCTGCTAATCCATTTAGAGCTGGAAAGGATCTGAGAAGTGATATAACCAGTCTCAGACACTACCTAGCTGAGTGACCCTGGGCAAGTCACTTAACCCTATTTGCCTCAGTTTCCTCATTTGTAATATGAGCTGGAGAAGGAAAGGAAGGAAATGAGGTCATGGAGTTGGACACAACCAAAATGACTTAATAACAACAATCTAATCCCCTAATTTTACAGATGAGGAAACTGAGGCCCTAAGAGGTTAAGTAACTCACCTAAAGTCACACAGGCAGTATCAGAGCAGGAATCTAAATGCTAGGTTTTTACCCTAAGTAAAGAATTCTTTCTATTACATACATAAGGAGCCACCCAGTCCTCAGTGAGTTTACAATCTATGACTTCTTCCTTTAATCCTATCCAGGAAGCCTCTTTGTCCTGCAAATACACATCAGGTCTTAAGGAAGTTCTGTGGGGGGCTCTGTGTGTGTGTGTGTGTGTGTGTGTGTGTGTGTGTGTGTGTGTGTGAGAGAGAGAGAGAGAGAGAGAGAGAGTGCTTATCTAAGCTTTTTCTGTGTGCCTGAGAACATGGCTGTGACCATTCTGATCCTATATGTAAGGGGACATGGGAGTACTGGCCAGAGGAGATGAAAAGGGAAATATGATTTGACACTCTCTTTTCCGGTAGCTACTGAATTGTAAGGTCTCAAGAGACTTAGAGCTAGTCCCTGCCCAAGCGAGCCAGGCCAGGAGCTACAAAGCAGGACAGTGCTATTCTCAACTCCATCCCAAGTTGCCTATTTTAATTGGTTTGGGAAAAAATGGGTTGGGGGATGAAGTGAGGAACATTAGTGACTTCCTCTTTTCCTTCTCCATCTCTCCATTCCAGCAAAGCTCAGAGCCCACTTACCCAGAGGTCATCCTCATTGCTATCAACAAGCATGGACTGCAGCTCATCCACCCCAAGACCAAGGTCGGAGATTATTAACCTAGCTAGGTCCTCCAGTAAGACCACAGGAGGACAAAGACCTAACAATGACAATTACTGGGCCTGGGGAGGACAGGTGGCAGGAGAGTGTTGCTCTCCAGAGCCCAGGCTGGATACAGAACACGGTCCTTCCCCATCAAGGCACAGTGATGCCCCAGTGTTGGCAGTGGGGAGGACGAGAGAAAGGAGGGTGGACGAGAGGATAGTGGAGGGGATCCTAGTCAAGGCTCTGGCTCGGGAAAGATGTGGAGGGCACCTTATTTCTTTAGCTCTCTGCAAAATAGAATAGATAGAACTGGCCCTGTTTGATGGACTGGGATTGAGACAGATTAAACAGTAGATCGAGGACTCACCGTAAGCCAGCTCTCCGGACTGCCAGCCCTGAATTTTTACTTAGGTTTCTTAGGCATCCCTCCACCTTGGCCCCAAACCCTCTCCCCCTAACCTTGGCTCCTTGAATTCCTGTCGTCTCTTCCTTATCTCTCCCTGCAGGAGCTCCTAAATACCTACCCCTTTACAAAAATCTCCAGCTGGAGCAGTGGTAGCACTTATTTCCACCTGGTGCTTGGGAACCTCATGAGGGGGAATCGGCTGCTGTGTGAGACCTCCCTGGTGAGCCCACCCTGGGGCTGGGAGTGCAAGGGACCCCTCTGAATACCAGGGGCTCTGGAGGTGTGGGGAGGGCAGGGGAGAGGATGGCACGAGGAGTCATTGGTTTTGTTTCCAGTAGAAGAGAAAAAGGAACAGGGAACAGAGATAAAATTTTCATCTACCTTGTCCTACTATGAGATCATTAACTTGCAGACATGGCTTGGAAAGGAGAAATAACCATGGGCAAAAATGTTTTGTTGTGAAATGTCAAAGATTCTTGACTTCTCAGGTGGCCCCAGTCATTTTTGATTTCTCATTCATCTACTCAACCAACCCTTTTTAAGCTCTTGCTATGTACAAAGAACTATGTTAGGTTCTGGACTTGCAGCATGGTGTAGGCAATGGTTCTCAAAGTGTGGTCCAGGGATTCCTGGGGTTCCTCGAGACTCTTTCGTATCATAATAGCTGGTATTTATGTAGCACTTTAAGGTTTACAAAGCACTTACACATGTCATCTCATCTGATCCTCACAATAATGCTGTGAGGTAGGTAGATGCTGTTATTATCCCCATTTTACAGATGAAAAAAACTAAGATTGAGAGAAGTTAAATGATTTCCCCAGGTCACAAAGCTAGTAAGTGTCTGAGGCAGGATTATAACCCAGGTCTTCTTGGATACAAGTCCAGTGTTTTATCCACTGTATCACCTAGATGCCACTTGTCATGTCTTATATTCCTATGCTAGTCTGAAAGCCCCATTAGAATAAGGAATATATGGCTAATATGCTTAATACAGTTATACATATTAAATGTTTATTGCATGAAGGATCTTCCCCTTGACAGCTAGGTTGGCACAGTGGATGGAGAGCTAGGCCTGGAGTCAGGAACATCTGAGGTCAAATCTGGCCTCAGACACTTATAAGTTGTGTGGCTCTGAGCAAGTCATTTAATTGCTGTTTGTCTTAGTTTCCTCCACTGTGAAAAATGAGGATAATAATAGCACCTACTTCCCAGGGTTGTTGTGAAGGTCAAATGAGATGATATTTGCAAAGAACTTAGTACAATGCCTGGCACACAGTAGGCTCTATATGCTTATTCCTTTCCCTTCTCCTTCACAGCTCCTGGGGCTCTGTAGCACACTCTTCCCCCTCCCCAATGGCCCACCCTGACCATTCTGTGCCCCTTCTGTGTCTCCCAACCCAGGGCTATAAGATGGATGACCTACTGACATCCTATGTGCAGCTGCTCCTGTGTTCGGTGAACAGACAGAAGAATCTCTGAACCTTAGACTGAGGTGGCACATTGGCTGAGGTCACAGCTACCCATCCACCTGCTGAATGGACAGGAACTCTCATCTCCACAGAGAAAGGCAAGGCTGCCACCTGTTTTACCTCTCACTTCTCCAGTTTCCTCATCCTGGAATGGACTGAGCTCAGCCAGAGCATTAACTAGGAATTTTTGCACCAGGGCAAGCAACACGTAGTGTGAAGCATATCCTTAGTTTGTGATTGAGGGTGGAGGTGGAATGAGGAATGTCAAGAGTCTACCCCATGGATGGTGGGAAGACATCCAGCACCCACTTGGGTATCCAGTAGAGTCAGGTTGCTGCTGGGGAGGTCACTACCCACCATCTGGTAGCTTCCTAGTATCCAAAATAGAATTAATTATCCCCACACACACAACACCCAACTGTCCTCCAAATTTACCTATTTCTCTTGAGGACATAACCATCTTTCTAGTTACCCCAATTTACAACCTCAGAATCATCTTCACTTCTTCCTTCTCATTTTTCCCCATATCCAATCAGTCACCGTGACTTTTTGATTCTACCTCCACAAAGTCTCTCTCATTTATCCACCTCAAGTAACCACCAGCCTAGTTGCAGCCCTTATAGCCTCTTACCTGAACTATTGAAATAGTTTCCTTAGGGTACTGTTTCTAGTATCTCCTCTCTCTAATCCATCTTACCAAAATAATTTTCATGAAGAACAGATCTAACTACTTCATTCCCTTGATTAGAAATCTTTAGTGGCTCCCTATTGCCTCTAGGATAAAATAACAAACTCCCCACATTAATATTTAAAGCCTTTCACAGTCTGGTTCCAGCCTGCCTTTCCAGACTTATTTCACATTATTCTCTTTCTATGAACTCTTATGTTCCAGCCAATATGTTCCCTTAGTTTAGAATTCCATCAGCCACTTCCAGGCCTGTCTTTGCCAGAGCTGCCCCCATCTCCTGGAATATACTTTCTCCTTACATGTCCCTCCTAGAATCCTTATCATTCTTCAGGCTTCAATATAGGAACATTACTAATGGTGGTATTTCCTGATGCCCTCCACCAGGAGATAATGTACTCTATCCCTCCAAAAGTGATCTTGTATTTACTATATAACTATTAAATCACCCAGTAAAATGTAATCTCCTTGAGGGTATGACTGTTTTTCGTTTTGTTTTTGTGTCTCCAAGACCTAATAAAGTGCATTCAAGCTGTAGGCACTTGATGCCTAACTGAATTAAATTTAAATGAATGATAATCATTCCTTTGTAATTTCTTCACACTCAAATTCATGACAACATAATATTCTGTCTCCATTTTGGTTTTTGGTTTTGTTTTGTTGTTGATTTTAGTTTCACTGCATTTTAGCACATGGTCAAGTTTTGCAAAGGTATCATGTGAAACTGAGAAGTATGTATATTCTTTAATGCTCCCATTCACAAGATGCCATGAGTATTTCCAATCTAACTTCTTCAACAGTTTGCTTAATTCTATATTTTCCTTTTTATTATATCTCTGTTAGGATTTACCTGAGCACTAACATTAAAATCTCCCATAATTATTGTGTTGATGTCATTTTTTTATTTCAGGTAATCCTTTATGAATCTAGATGCTTTCCTATTCAGCGATATATGTTTAGTATTAATATTGTTTCATTGTCTATTATGGCACTTTATGTATAATATAATTTCCATGTTTATCTCTCTTGACTTTATGCATTTTTGTTTTTTTCTTTGAGCATTTCAATCCTTGCTTTTTTGAGATCACCTGAGGCATAGTAAATTTTGTTCCAGCCTTTTTTATTCACTTTCTGTATGCCTTTATTTTTAGATGTGCTTCTTTTATATAACAATTTGTTTTATATAAACAAATTTTATATAACAAATTGTTTTCTACAACAAATTTATTTTCTTATCCATCCTGATTCTCTCTTTCATTTTATTGTATTGTTTAATTATTTACATTTGAGGTTAATATTCTTAGGCTTGTCTTTTCCTACATTTATTTTGTATTAATTTAATCATCTTTTTCTTTTAAGTGAGCATTTTGCTTCAATGATTAGTTTCCTGTGTTACTTTGATCCTAGTCTAGTCCTGCAGCACACCCCACCCCACTCCCATTTACTTACCTTACCTCAAGTTCCTTGGTTTTACTTAAATTGTTAATTTTTCTTTCTTTTTTTTTATCTCTTTCTACTCCTTTTCTTTCTTTTTCCCTGCTAAAGTAAATGTGTGATTCAAATCTTCCTTCCCCACTTTCATCCAACCTCTAGCTTCAAATAATATTCTTTTTGTGGCACCATTTTATTTTATTTTCAATTATTTATTTATTTATTTTTAGTTTGCAACGTTCACTTCCATAAGATTTTGAGTTTTAAATTTTTTTCTCCCTCATTCCTCCCAAGATGGCTTGCAATCTGATATAGGCTTTACTTATACATTCATATTAAGCATATTTCCTCATTAGTCATGATGTAAAGAACAATTAGGACTAAGGAGAAGAACCATGAGAATGAAGCAGTAAAACAAAACAACAAAGGAAAAGGAGAGCAAATAGTTATGCTTCCATCTGCATTCAGACTCCATAGTTTGTTCTCTGGGTGTGGATAGCATTTTCCACCATGAGTCTTTTGGAGTTGTCTTAGATCTTTGTATTGCTGGGAAGAGCCAAATCTATCAAAGTCAGTTATCACAGAGTGTGGCTGTTACTGTGTACAATGTTCTCCTGGTTCTGCTCATTTCACTCAGCATCAGTTTATGTAAATCTTTCCAGGTTTTTCTGAAGTCTGCCTGCTCATCATTTCTTATAGCACAATAGTATTCCATTACATTCATATACCATTACTTGTTCAGCCATTCCCCAATAAATGGGCATCCCCTCAATTTCCAATTCTTTGCCACCACAATAACAGCTGCTATAAACATTTTTGTACATGTGGGTCCTTTTCCTGTTTTTATGATCTCTTTGGGATACAGCCCTAGAAGTGGTATTGCTGGGTCAACGGGTATGCACAAATTTATAGCCCTTTGGCCATGGTTCCAAATTGCTCTCCAGAATTGTTGGATCAGTTCACAACTCCAGCAACAATGCATTAGTGTTCCAGTTTTCTTGTGGCACCATTTCCCAAGAAGTTTTCCTTTGTTTTGTCCTCCTTACTTCTCTTTCTAGTCTGTTATGAACTTTACTTTCTAATATATGGCCTTTACTCTTACTTGTTCTTTCTTTAAGCTTTCTGTCTCTGTCATGAAGATATGGCTTCTGAAGTAACAAATTGAATTCCTTCCTCTACCCCACTTTTGTCATTGCATTTAGAGATCTTACTCCATCCTCTCTTTTCTACTATGCCTCATTCTTAAAATATTAATTGATGAGGGAAATAATATTAAAGGGAAGCAGTGGGATGTGACAGGAGTCAATCTATGTCTTGAGATATAAGGTCTGGTCCTTCCTTTGCCCTTACTGTGATTCTTCACCTGGAAGATGCTCATCTACCTGAAAGCCTGTATGGCTTCAGAAAGGGCCAAGGAATAGTTGACATGGTGTTTGCTGCTGGACAACTCCAGGAGAAATGCCAGGAGCAGAACAGAAATCTGTACACATTTGTCAATCTGACCAAGGCCTTTGATATTGTCAGTCATAAGAGCTTGTGAGAAATTATGGCAAAATTTGGGTGCTGGAGAAGGTCATCAGTGTTGTACATCAGTTTCGTGATGGCATGCTTGCCCAGGTTCTGGATAATGGAAGATGTTCTTGTGCTTTCCTGGTCACCAGTAGAGTGAAGTAGGGCTGCATGCTTGCTCCCATGCTTTTTAGCATGATATTTTCAGCGATATTGTCAGATACCTTCAATGAGGGTGAAAATAGCATCAAGGTCAGCTGCCACACTGATGCTAACTTGAAAAAGCTACAAGCCAAGACTAAAGTGAAGGGAGAGCTGGTGCAAGATTTTTGTTTTCAAGTGGTTATGCACTCAGTGCAGCTTCTGGAGCCAAGATGCAACAAAATATAGACTGATTCTCTGCTGCTTGTGCCAATTTTGGTCTAATAATTACCACCAAGGAAACATAGATTCTCCACCAGCCAGCACTGCACCAACCATACAGGGTTATAAAAAATGAAGAAATGTTGAATGCCGTGTTCATTTACTTTGGCAATATGCCTTCGAGGATGTCCACATAGATGATGATGTTGATGCACACATTGCCAGAGCTAGTTCAGTGTTAGGTAGGTTCCAAAGGGAAGTGTGGAAGAGAAGTATTAGACTGACTACCAAACTGAAGGTCTACAGAGCTGTTGTGCTGAACCCATTGCTGTATACCTATGAAACCTGGATAGTATGCCAGTGGCGTGCCAGGAAATAGGATCACCACCATTTGAATTGCTTTAGGAAGATTCTTAAGATCACCTGGCAAGATAAGTTACTGGATTCTGAGGTCCTTTCTCCAGCTAAACTACCAAGCATTCCAACTCTACTACGGAGAGCCTAACTCCAATGGGAAAGCCACATTGTTCAAATGACAAATGTACACTTGCCTAAGAGACTATTTTATGGAGAACTCACAAGGCAAGCACTCACATGGAAGTCAGAAAACATGATAAAAGGACGCTGTCAATGTCTCTCTGAAGAACTTCAAAATCAATTGCCTCTCATGGGAGACACTGGCAAAGAATTGTCCATCATGGGTGCCTGCATCAAAGAAGGTGCTGTGCTCTATAAGCAAAGCAGAATTGCAGTAGCTCAAAAGAAACATGAGATGAGCAAATGTAGAGACACCTCCACTCCAAATGTTCATGTGGACTATTTGTACTCGACCTATCGTAGAGCCTTCTGAGCACGTACTGGTCTGATCAGCCATAGTTGGACACCAGGTACCTTGACTCCAACATAGTGATGTCATTTTGGTCCTCAAGAACAAAAGACAACGATCAACAACTTGATTATACGTCACTTCTAAAACCAGGTTATCCTAACTCTAATTCTAATCTCATCCCTAAGACCCTGCGTGCTGGCTGACACGAAGGACTCATCTATCCATTCTCCTGGGATAATATGTAGTACTAGGAGGTACAACACTTTCTAAAAAAAAAAAACCTTTCTCAAGCAAGGTGCTCTCCTAATGTGCAAATATTTCCTAGGTGACTCTTACCCCTTGCTGATTCTTACCACAGACACATCCTTCCCTTCCCCTGCTAAATTGAGATCCCTCTTTCTACTGCCCCATCTCAGTCTTTTCCTTCCATTGCTTATAAACTGTTCCCCAACAGCCTCCATTCTTATAAATAAATTAGGTAAATGATTACTCCTCCTCTGTTTATCTATGTAGTTGGTGAGGGTGAATCTCCAACTTCCCTGTCTCTTATCTCCTTTCTCCCCTTCTATGCAGCCTCCCACTGTGCTATTCTTCTGTTCTGGCAGAAGATAGTGATTTATAGGGAATCACTGGACTTAGAAAGCTCTTCCTCCTTTCTTTTGCATTAAATCTTTAACTCCTTTGGGCTTTTTTGACCCTTTTTTCTTTTACTTCTTAGTTCAGTTACTTTTTATTTAAATAACATAAACATGAAAGACTTGGTTTCATCACTTAGTCCTCTCTTTGATGATTGTGCTTATAGGGGCAGCTGGGTGTTCTAGTGGATAAAGTAAAGGAAGACCTGAGTTTGTATATGCCTCAGGAACTTACCAGCCATATGGCAGCAGGCAATTCACTTACCCTCTTCCAGCCTTAACTGTGAGATGGGAATAATAATAGCACCTCCCTCACAGAGTTGTTCCGAGGATCAAGTGAGATTATATATGTTAAGTGTGCTGCAAACCTTAAGACACTATGAAATAGTTAGCTACTCTGATTATTTTGGAGGCAGCTAGGTGGTGCAGTGGATAGAGCACTGGGCTTAGAGTCAGGTAAGACATCTTTCTGAGTTCAAATCTAGCCTCAAACATTTACTAGCTGTGTGATCCTGGGCAAGTCACTTAACCCTGTTTGCCTCAGTTTCTTCATCTCTAAAATGAGCTGGAGAAGGAAAGGACAAACCACTCCAGTATCTCTGCCAAGAAAACCCCAAATGCGGTCAAAAAGAGTCAGACACAACTGAATAGCAACTTTTATTATTTAACTGTGTGTGTTTGGGGGATTTTTGTAAATCAAATATTCTCATCACATCGATATTTCTGTAGAAATGCCTCAAATGCCTCTAATGTTGAGAGTACATCTTTTTTTTTTCCATTTGAGATGTTATTTTGGGCTCCAGTTTGAGCTCCTTTGTTGTGGTTGTGGTTGTTTTAAAATATACTATCCCATTTTGTTCTTTGATTTCTCACCCCTGAAACATAATGCTGGGTTACTCAAACTCAGTCCTTCATATTTGAAAGTCTTTCTCGTGGCTACTAGCAAAATATGTTGTTTGCTTTTGAAAATGTTAAATTTTACCACTACCTACCTCAGTGTTTCAAGCATGGGGTTTTTCTCTGACAGCAATCTAGAGATTCAGTCAATCAGTGCTTCATTGTCTATATTCCAAAGTTCTAGGTAGTTGTTGTTTGTTTGTTTTTATTACCCCCTGCAGTATGACATTCAAGTTTTTAATCTGTCTTGTTCTTCTGGGACAACTACAATCCTTAAGTTGCCTCTGCACAATGTCTTCAAGGTAAGTTGTTTTGGCTTCTATAATATTCATGTGTTCTTTTCAAGTTGTTGCTTTTTTTACTTCTCTTCTGACAATTTCTTCCACTTCTGCATTTTTGTGTTCCAAATCTTTTATTTTTTTCCTCCGTCTCTCTGTGTCTCTCTACCCCTGTCTGTCTGTCTGCCTCTCTCTCAGAGTCTACTTCAAAAAATTTTGGAGAAATTCTTATCTATTGTCACATCTAAGCTTGGTTCCTTTCTATTTTTAAGTTGTGTTGACAAATCTGATTTATGATCTAATTTAATTCCTAATTCCTTCATCTACAATTTTTATTTCTCTTTTGAATCATTCTGGAGTTTCCTGTGATTGTTATATGATTTCCAGGGATTCTACAGAATTGTCTTTTTGATTGAGGAGTTTGGGTTCACTTTCCTTTAAAGTATAATATATGTTCATAGTATTTTTGCTCATTCTTCCTTTTTTTCTTTATGATCCCTCTTTTGTTTTATCTGCTTTGCAAGCCATGATTTTGCTTGGGCTTTCACTCTTGAACTTTTGGTCTTCCAACCCTTCTATTTATTTTCAGGTATTTGTCTCTTGTTTTCCTCTTCTCTCTTTGATACTTCTTCTACTGCTGCAGAGACCTCACAATATTGGATCTTTGGCCTTCTTGTGTTGAGGGTATATGGCCCCAGCCTGGTTGTCTGCCCAAAGTAACCTCTTTAGGAAGAGGACTGGCTGCAAATGAATTTCCAGCCCCCTTTCTCTTGGACATGCAAGCTCTTTTCTCTTCTTGCTAGTTGAGCTATTTTCCATACTACTTGAATGGAAAACATTCAGTATTCCTCCCCTCTACCACATTTACTTCCCAATTGTTCTCTCTTTCTTTCACATAACTGGGAAGAATCAGTGACTAGCACCTCTTGGAGGATGAGTCATTGCTACAGAAGGACCAGTCAGGTAGCACCACAGTTGGACTCTTAAGCACAAGCCCTTAGAAGCTACTTCACTCACTGTGTTTGTTGGGGATGGGGATTATTAAGTACATTATGTTGGAGCTCCACATTATTTTATTTCATGAGTTCACAACCATCTTTATTCTTGCAAATCTTTATTGTGCAAAGCAATGAAAATGAATTACAATAAATCTAATGTGTTGTAATTGATAGGTAACACCGGTACATACAAGATTACAGTGCATGTGTCCAGTAGCCTCAAACCAACATTTACAAAGGGGTCCATCACCTAGGACTCAATGGGAATGTTCTTTCTCCCTCCCTTGGGACCATGCACTCATTCAAGATTGGCCTCAACACAAGAGCATCTGTGAGGCTGAGCCCTTGCCTTCCTCAGTGTGAAACAATAGCTCTTACTCCAGTCCAGACACGTATCAGTACAGCATAATGGAAAGAACCTTGGACTGGGAATCAGTTGCCCTGGGTTCTAGACCTGCTTCCAGTAATAACTAGACATGGGATCTTGGATGAGTGACAACCCACTCTAGGTCTCAGTTTCCTCATTTGTAGAATAAGGATGGATAAGATGATGCATAAGGCTTCTTTAAACCTAACATTTTAGGAGTCTGTGATTCTTCTCTCTGGCCAGAGAAGGCTGTCCATTATAAGGAAATTATCCTCAATCTAATCCAACTGAAAGCTGTCCTGATACAACTGGCTGGAGGGAAAAAAGAAAAAGAAACCATTTCATGTTTTTTGTCTGTAAGTACTGAGATGTGTAGGAATTGCTAGTCCAGGCTTTGCAAGTCAGTGCATGTGAATGCTTTATATTCTATGTGATGTCCATATGCAAATAATAATAATAATAGGAATCCCAAAATATGAAAGGTAGAGGGATCAGACAGCAGGTTTCATTACAGTGAGACAGCACAGTGCAGAGTTGGGAGTAAGAAGGCCTAGGTTCAAGTCCTATGTCCATCACTTTCTAGCCTTGTAACCTTAGGCAAATCCCTTCCTCTCTCTATGTCTCATTTTTATCATCTGTCAAACAAAGGGATTGCACATGAAGACCTCTAAGGTCCCTTTCAGCTCTACTTTCTGTAATGATACTTTGTGATGTTGTGGTGCTGAGCAATCTGGAAGAGGAAAGGGGTGGGCCCCTGTCCCCAGTACAGGGGATTCCCATTTGGGACCAGATGAATCTACCCATGGACTGTTCATTTATTTCACCCACCCACCCACCCTGCTCAGGCAAGTAGTCTTTGGAGATAAAGATAGACAAAAGTGCCCAGTAAGCACTTGGCAATAGATGGATTGCAGGTTTCTGTCAAACCTACAGACGTTTCCTTCTTTTCTCTTGCCAAACTCATCAGCACCACACCACACTGTAGGATCTGATTAATGACAGTGAAATTCCAGGGGAGGATAAAATATCTAACACCTCCCTAGGACCCTGAAGAAAGTCAATAGGCAGGTGGGTGCGTTAGGCATAATCTGAGGATAACTTCCCCTCTTAAGTACGGTCTCATAGAAGAAAGCCATCCTTTGGGCCTAGGCTGATTTTTCTGGCCTGGGGATTCTATGACTGTAGGCACGCAGACTTTGCGTGCTCTAGCCTTTCACCGTGGCACATCTGAAGGCTGTGTTCGTTCCTGTTCCTTTCACATTCAAATCTACTCTTTGCTTCGTCACCTATCCAGGGCTGGTCCATCCTTCCAGGCCCAGCCGGGTCCTGCTTCCTCCTTTCTCAGTACCCTACTCTGTGCTGGTCTGTCTGTCTCTGCTGTCTTTCCAGAGCGCTTGTGATTTGCAGCCCACAAACTTTATTTCATTATCTGTTATTAGGAGGTATGGTTTTCTAAATGTTTGAGGTGTTTGAGTCTTGTCTCCTCAGCTGGACCATGATCTCTTTAAGGGAAGGGAATATGTCTTCTCACAAGATTGCTGCAAGAAAAGCGCTATATAAAATCGAGAGCACTCTATAAATGGGAGACAGGTATTTTGCCTTCTCTTGGCTCTTCCACAGCCTCGAGCATAGAACTGTGAATGTTCAATGAATACTTGTGTAATTAAACTGAATCTTACTGGGACACACCAGCTGGAAGGTGGCCAAGACTCTGGGAGTGAGAAAGCCACCTCATCGTTGGATTAAGGCATCTGAACAGAGTCTGATGTGGCCCTAAAGCAGGGGATCTCAACATTTTTGATGTCATGGACCCTTTTGGGAGTCTGGTAAAGCCTATAGACCCCTTTGCAGAATTATGTTTTTAAATGCATACAATGTGTATAATTACAAAGGAAATCAATTATATATATATAGACATAAATTTTTCTCCCATTCAAGTCCACCAACCTCCTGAAATCTATCCATGGATCCACTAGGGGTCTGCGGATTCCAGGTCAAGAATCCTTACCCATAAAGGAGAAGGGAATTTCTCAGCCAGATGGTGATGAAATATGAGTCACCAGGGAGAGAGAGCTTGTAGAAAAGGAATGGGAAGGCCATTGCCCACTGAGCTACAAGATCTTCCAAGGAGTAAAGGAAAAAGAAACCATGACTTCCAAAGGATTTTTGGTTGGGTCCATAAATGAGGGCTTCAGTTGTGTCTGGTGCACTTCCAAACAGCAGGGGTGGGATTCAGTTGTATTCCCACTTGCTGAGTTAGTTAATCTCAAACCATATGTTGCTGGAAAAAGTGTCCCAGAAACTAGAGTTGGGGAATGCCAGAGACTTATTATAGTGGTGAGAGCAGCAAACCAGCTGTGGGCTATTGGAATGGGTATACAGGTCTCATCTACCTCCTAGATCCTCTCTCTTCCTCTATTTCTTCAACTCTCAACAGGTTTTACTGTAGCGAGTGCTCTTAGGATTTCAGAGCCCCAGTCAGTGATTCAAGAGATACCAAGAAGACAACAACCATGGAGGAAAAGGGGGAAGAAGGGAGGAAGCAGAGAAGTAGAAAGAGGAGAAAAGGAAGATGAAAGGAAGAGCACAGGGAAGAAGAGGTCAGCATGGCAATGGTGAGGACACAATCCCAGCAGAGGTTTTTCAGAAAGAATTGGAGTCCACAGACTTGGGGTGGGCTTTCCGGGAGGCCAATTCAGACAGCTTCTTCAGCCTTTTCTTTAGCTCGAGAGGAAATTTTTCATAGCATTTCTTGCAGACAGGCTTCATGTCAAACTCCACAAATTTGTTCCTTTGGGAAGGGGAAGGTTTCAACCATTAGGGAGAGAGCTCCAAGATCAATGCTATGAGACACTCTACATTTTAATTCAGGAAAACTTTCCCTCTGAATTCATACATTTACTTTCAATTAATATAGTGTTTCATCTTCCAGGCTTCTCTAAGACCCTCTGCTCTTGTCTAGAGTGACACCTGCCATCTCTCCCACCTGTTCCTACATCCCCCACTACTCTGTGAGGCGGCTCCTTCCTTGGTCAAGACCTAGGCCAGAATGCCTTTGAATGGAAGCTTGGGGTAACAGAATACTGAACTTAGAGCTAGGAAGATCTAGGTTTGGATCCTGTCTCATACACTTACTAGCTATGTGACTCTGAGCAAGTTATTGAACTTCTCTCTGCCTCAGTGTCTTCATCTGCACAATGGGGACAATAACAGCACCTATCTCACAGGGTCACTGTCATCATTAAAAAACATATGTAAAAGCTCTTTGCAAATCTTAAAGCACTATATAAATGCTAGGTGCTGTTGTCCTGTTATTATTCTCCAGCATGCATCCAGCAACTCCTACTGGAGGCAGCAAAAAGTAAAATGTGACCCCCTGGTCCCTTGTTGACATTTGTCTGATGGGGTCCCTCAGTGGCCTGCTCCCAAACCTCCAGGGTCCTTTGGGAATAAGGCCAACCAAGGGGTTTGTGGAAAATTTAAGAGACAGGAGAAAGTCAGGTAGCGGCTATAAGAAGGTGCCTGCATATATTTATCCATGCCTGAGTTGAAGTCCCACCTCTGATACAAACTGGCCGTGTGGCCCTGGGTAAGTCACTTAACTTCTCTGTTCTCTAGAACAGAGATGTCAAACTCAGAAAACCACAAATTAACATTATCTATGTTGCACTGTATTATTATATATTTTGCTAGATATTTTCCCAATTACATCTTAATCTGATCCAGGCCACACACAGGAGTCACTATGAGTTTGGCATCTCTGCTCTAGGGAACTCTCTAAGATTTTAAATTGAAGAGAAGGGGACAATTTGCATTGGTAGATGGTGTTTCTTTATCTGGGAGTTCCCTACACTGATAAAATCACAGGCCCAGTCCCCATCCCTGTCCCTGGAAAGAATTACTCCTGAGGGGCTGGAGGGCCAGCAGGGACTTACTTCAGGGTGAGTTTAATATTGCAGGTGGAGCAGGAGAAGCAGTTCACACACCAGGCCTTATTGAGAGCTGATACCACTGTGAAAGGAACACAGACAGAAGGAAATTATGTCAAGGCCAAACAAGAAGGGCCCAGATCCCCACTCTGGATCTAACAAGGCCAGATGTGCAGGGAGAGCTGGGGCAGCCCAGAAGGAAGGGACACCTGGGGAGGACAGAATGGGCCTCACCATCTCCCTCGATCACGTGGCTGCAGTTGTAGCAGACGTCCCCGAAGAGCTGTGGGGCAGAGCAGACACAATGAGGAGTTATTTGGGGCAGATGAAGGCATTCCTCTTATCCCAAACCACCAGCTGCAAGGAGCATGAAATAGACATTTCACAGAAGCCCTGTAGAAACCTCCTCACACACCCATTTTAATCCTCTGAATACTCTCTCTCATGTTCCTTTCTAGTCACACACACCAGGCCTTGGAGTCCATCATATCCCCATTTGACAGATTTTTGGAAGGCATTTGTCCTTCTGTTTATTCTTCATTTTCTGAGCACTGGGCACGTGGGCCTCCTTCTGATTCTGGGACCTGAGATCCAGTAAGGCTGGTTCTTGGCCTAAGAGGCAGGATTGTGGTCTGCATAGTCAGTCAGTCAGACAACAAGCATTCATTAAGTGCCTACTATGTTCCAAACACTATATCCAGCTTGGAGATATTGAGTGAGGGATACTCAAGGCTCCAAGCTCAAAACTTACTCCTTTGGTGGCCTGTCAGATACCATAATGGCTTGCACATTGTCTCCCCGATTAGAATTGTGCATTTTGTAGCCTGAACGCTTAGCACAGTGCTTGGCACACAGTAAGCACCTAATAAATGCTTATTGACTGGCTGAGCGCTAAACTCTGAGTTAGGATACCCCCAGAAATGTCAAACTAGTTGTCTCATTCTTGTTCTGCCACTGAATGGCTGTGTGACGGTAAACAAATGAGTTAACCTCGCTGAGTCTCAGTAGACAAGATGAACTCTTTAGGATCTTTTAGCTCTAACATCCTCTCCTATCCTATCCTATCCTACCCTATCCTATCCTATCCTATCCTATCCTACCCTATCCTATCCTATCCTACCCTATCCTATCCTATCCTACCCTATCCTATTCTATCCCTACCCTATCTTATCCTATCCTACCCTATTCTATCCTATCCTATCCTAACCCACCCTACCCTATCCTACCCTAGCCCACCCTATCCTATCCTACCCTATCCTATCCTATCCTACCCTATTCTATCTTATCCTCTCCTAACCCACCCTACCCTATCCTACCCTATTCTATCCTATCCTATCCTATCAACCCACCCTTATCCTATCCTAACCCACCCTACCCTATCCTACCCTATCCTATCCTAACCCACCCTACCCTATCCAACTCTATCCTATCCTAACCCACCCTACCCTATCCTACCCTAACCCACCCTATCCTATCCTACCCTATTCTATCCTATCCTATCTTATCCTATCAACCCACCCTATCCTATCCTATCCTCTCCTAACCCACCCTACCCTATCCTATCCTAACCCACCCTATCCTATCCTACCCTATTCTATCCTATCCTATCCTATCAACCCACCCTTATCCTATCCTATCCTATCCTACCCTATTCTATCCTATCCTCTCCTAACCCACCCTACCCTATCCTACCCTAACCCACCCTATCCTATCCTACCCTATTCTATCCTATCCTATCCTATGAACCCACCCTATCCTATCCTATCCTATCCTACCCTATCCTAACCCACCCTATCCTATCCTATCCTACCCTCTCCTATCCTATCCTACCCTCTCCTATCCTAACCTATCCTACCCTATTCTGGTGAAGATACAGCAAACCAAAGGGAACCACGATGCAAGCAGAATTAGGGGCAGTTATCAGGCGCGCACCCGCAGAATGAATTGAAAGGGACAGGAGTGAAGAAATAGGGCTGTTTAGGTAATCAAGGCATGAGATCAGGACCTGGATTATGGTAAAAGCACCTGGAACAGAGAGGGAAGTATGGAACCAAGCAAGGTAGACAGTATAAAATCCTGCCCCTGGTGTGTAATACCTGTTCCTCCCTGCATTTCTCAGGGCCTCAGTTTCCTCATCTAGAAAATGAGGGAGCTGGACTTGATGGCTTCTGATGGTCCCTTCCGTCTCCAGCTTTATGATCCTCTGAAAGCCATGGAGGCAGGAGATCCAGGGCAGGCCAATATGGCTAGACTATAGAGTGCACAAGGGGAAGGAAGGAATGTGGAACCAGTCTGAAAAAAAGAGGCTAGGGCTATGTTTGAAGGGCTTTGAATGTCAAACAAGAAGGTTATATTTTCTCTCAAAGGCCACAGGCATGATAATAATAATAATCAATAATAACAATAATATCTAGTTATACAAGTGACCAGCCTACTGGTGATGATTCTCTCCACACTTAACCAGGCTGATCCTCAGAGTGCAGACATAACCTGTTGTAAAACGGTACTTGAAGCCTTTCCAGTGTCATAAAACTTAATAAGATTTTGTACTCTCCCGGGGTAGTCTTCCAAACTCAGGGTCACCTCCATGCCACAGTGAGATATTGAAACAGGATTCTGTGTTCTTGTGCCCTTCATTAGTGATGGGAGTTATATAGAGCGGGCAGGTCCAGGGGAAAAGGATTAACTCTCTGTGACCCCAAGTGCTTTACCCTGACCGGGGGGGGGGGGGAGATAGGGAAGGGGAATAAAGTCAAGAGAGTCTTCTAAATCTGGTAAAAGGACTCATGGGGAAAAGGCAGTTTATTTGACTCTTTGGCAACACTGATTTGTAGGGGCAGAAAAGAGGGTTCAACTCCAGGAAAGCACTGTTCGTCAGAGAACTATGTAGGTTGCTGCCAGAGATGGGGCAGGTCACTGGATGGGGAAGGACAGAAGTTTTGACTTTATGGACATGGATGTGAGTCGTCTATACTTTTTCTTCAGTGAAATAAATACCCTCCTATGTTTGATATATTATTAGCCTATGTGTACATGGGAACTGAGGTCCCTTTTCCTTTTGTGGTAGACACCTAGACACAAGACAAATTCTGCTGTTCTCTGGAGGATGTTAGGGTGGGGGCATTGGACAAAAAGAGATTTGAGAGAGAAACCACCAGGACTGATTCCAATCTACGTAAATCCAGAGCTTCAGCTCCAGGACAAAGGTCATACTAATCTACATCCTCATCACTTCATCCTGCACCTACTTCTGGTTGCCCTCTTTGCAATCTATTCTGCCCACAGCTATTAAAAAAAATCCTTAAAAAGCACTTTTGTCATTCCAGCCCTTTGCTCAAAAATCTTCAAAAGCTCCCCATTACCCATAAGGTAAAACTAAAATTCCCTAGTTTGATGTTCAACACTCTTCATAATTAACTCTGTCACAAGAACCCTCTGTCCTAGCCCACTCTCTAAGAGCACTCTAAATATACTATACCCATTCTAACCATCACATCTTTGCTCAAACCCTTCCAAATACTTGGAATGGCCTTCCTTCTGTCTAGTTCAAGGTCAAACTCAAGTTCCACTTCCTTCAGAAAGCCTTCCTTGAGCCCTACAGCAGCCCACTCCAAACCTACGAGCTTATAAGCTATAACTTAGCACTTATGCACTTAGCACTTATGAACTATAACTTAGCATATATTTCCTTCTCTTGTTTCCTAATGTTTTCATTTTTTTTTTAGTCTTCCTTCCCCAACTAGACAATGTTGTAAACTTTTCAAAGGTTGGAACCAAGGCTTTAGTCATAAGTCCCTCAAAGTAACTGGCAAAGAGCTAGTAGGCACAGAACAAGTGACATGTCAATCTTTATTCAATGACTGAATGGATTTCAATCACCCAGGATGTCCCAGGCTTCCTGTTGGGGTCCAGGCTGATTTCACTAGTTCAACCCAAGAGATCACCATCCAAAAAGCCTTGTTGATCTCCTAGTGAGGTAGTCTTCCCAAGGTGGGTCAAACTTACCTGGTTGTAATGTGTCTCACAGTATGCCAGGCCCTTCTTCTCATAGTGACGGTGACCCAGGAATGGTTTCTCACATTTGGCACAGACAAAATGCTGATGAGGAAGAAAGCAAATAATGTCAGTTCCCTGAGAACCAAGGCACTCACCCATTCCTGTAAGTGTTAGAGATGCAAATCCTTAGTCACAACTTGAAAGAAATTTCCATGTCATAGAGTCGTAAGTCTAGAGCTCCAAGGGGCCTCTAAGGCTGTCTTGTCCAAGCACTTCATCTTATAGATGGGGAACTGATAGCCAAAGAGGTGAAAAGACTTTCTCGTGATCGCAGAGCCAGAAACAGGCAGAGCTGGCTGGGATGTCACTCAGCTGTGGCTCACAATCTGGCACTTCTTCTCTAAATTACATGCCATTCGTGGGTCTGGGAGCTATATTGTCCCCAGGAAGGAAAGGCAGACCTTATTTAGAACAAATTATTCCAAGTGTTTTGTGACAACAGAAACCAGGGATTGGCTGGCTAATTAAAATTCAAAGACAATCCCAAACCTATGAGGATGACTTTTTTTTTTGTCCTGGGTCAGTGATTCTAAGCAATGTAGAAAACTCTCTCAAGCAATGCAAATAAACAACAATTTGGTCATTTGTAATCACAGGACAGTTAGGGGACACAGTGTCCCTGGAGTCAGGAAGACCCAGTTCAAATCCAGCTTCAGACACTCACTAACTGTGTGACCCTAGGCAAGTCATTTAACCCTGTTTGCCTCAGTTTCCTCATCTGTCAAATGAACTGGAGAAGGAAATATTCTAGTATCTTTGCCAAGAAAACCCCAAATGGGGTCAGGAAGAGTCAGACACAGCTGAACAACAACAGTCATAGAAATGCCTTTGATGACTATAACCCTGTAAGTGGGCTTCTTGAGAACTGCTTTTAGAACCTGAAATGCAGTCCCAATTCACTTCATTAAAAAAGTATCAATATGTAGTTATGGCAAGAGGCAACATGGTGACAGGGCCCACCTGGGAGTCAAGACCACCTGGATTTAAGTCCCATATCTGACATACACTAACTGTAATCACAAGTAAATCACTCGATCTCAGCATCCCGGCAAAGTCTCTAATGCCATAAATTACAAGGGAGCTGCTGATTTGTGTCCACGGAGGCTGAAAATTGCCTACACTGATAAAAGCAGAGGTCTGCACCAAGAAAATAACAAGTCTCTGTGTCAGGGGCTCAGCTATGAAGATGAGGCATCACACAGTCCCTGCTGTCAACAAGTTAATCATCTAATGAAGATTATCCCCTTGGACATTCCCTCAACTCCTTTTCAGCTGAGGCAAATCTTCACCCTTTAAAGACGGATTTGAATTTTGGAAACAGTCAAAATGCAGTCAGAAGCAAGTCTAAGTGAAGAAAGTGGGTGATGAAGCTGAGCAATACTGACTACAGTCAGAAACCAAGTGTAACTACAAAGAAAGGAAGCTCCTTTTCCGGGAGGGAGGGTTCCTGGCCCTGAAAGGCAATTAAAAAAAAAAGTGCGGTGCACTGCAAAGAACACTGAATTTATAATCATAGTTAGAAACCTGTCTCCACTATGTAGCTTTCATCTGTGTACCCTTGAGCAAGTACGTCATCTAACTTCTCTAGGACTCAGTTTCCCCACCTGTAAAAAAATTTTTTCTGTATCTGTTAAAAAAAAGGGGGGGGGAGGATTTAGACATTCTCTAAGGATTCTTTCAGGCCTAGATCTGTGATCCTAAGAAGTGTTCCCAAAATGTCCTGAAAAATGGCAGCCTCTCTGGAGTGAGTGAATAACCTTCTAAAGTCACCAATCTGAAGGAGGCCAAATTCATTTCCGGGGGATAAATTCTGGTCTGTTTGTTGGTTTAATCCCTTTGCTGTATAGCAAGGCATACCTCTCTTGTAAAATCAAAGCTCCATTATCTAGATAGATTTGTGTATTATCTTTTCTGAATCAAAGATTTTTGAGTTGAAAGGTATGATAGAGATAATACAACAATAGCATACATTTATGTAGAATTTTGAAGTTGACAGAACAATTTCTTCACTACAACTCAGTACAATGAGTGGGTGGTATATTATCATCCCTATTTTGCAAGTGAAGAATTTGAAGCTCACAGAGTCCAAGGGATCTGCTGAGGTCGTCTAGGGCTCTCAAAGTCAAACAAAAGGCTTTTAGAGACTCCAAACCTCCTGAGTTTGCTTAGACTAATGTTTAATCCTAGGCTTTCCCACTGCCTGGAAGCCATCTACCGAAAAACAGGTAACAAGAAGACCTCAGGAAGATTTCTTTCAGTCTGAGGAGTTAGGATTCCTGGCCTTTGGTACTATTTAGAAGAAAAAGGCAGTCATGTGGTTGGTCCCAATAGGTGTTGTTTTGATGCATTAGCTGGACCTAATAACCCATGGCAAAGTCTGGGAGGATTAGAGAGAGGGAACAGGACATAGAGCTGAAAGTTCTGCTTTCTGTCATTAAACAACAGACAAATCAATACATAGATTTCTTCTGGGTCCACTTAGTTCAAATGAACAAATGGTTTTAGCTGAATAAGCAGCTAAGCAGATCAATGAATTTATTTCTAGTTGATGTATTTAAGATATTAGAACAAGCCAGAATTTCAACGTGTGTACGTGTAAGTATGTAAAGATAATTCTCTATTATCTGTGATGAAGCAAGGAGAGCAGTGGTCCAAATAATCTGAGACCTTTCTGTATTTGGCTTTGGAATGCATTAGAAAATTAGACAGAAGGAGGAGGAATGGACACCTTCATTATGGGTTCTTTAAGAGATTTCATTCCCTTAGCAAAGTTTACAATGCCTCCTGGGAGCTTCCGAGGAACAAACAGAAGCTTATTTCTGTTCAAAGCTGCAGATAATCCATGTGTGGATAAACAAGAGAGTATTTTCAATTCAGCTAACATTTACTAAGCAAGACCCAAAGAAATACAAGGAAGAAAAATTATAAACCCAAGTCCTTACATAGCTTACAGTCTAATGGGAAAGATTAAAACCACAGATAGGGTAGAGCAAAGCACCTTTCAGACTTGGAGTAGCAAACAGGAAGGAAGGGGCAGGGAGTTGAGACAATGAGATGTAAGCTATGCCCCTTTTTGGGCTTTGAGTCTAATGGCTCGTTAGACTGTGAGCTCTCTGAAAGCAGGAACTAGCTTTTTGCATTTCTGTATATCACCAATGCTTAGCACCAAGAAAGTGCTCTTTGAGACTGACTGACTGGATGCATTTGCAAGATGTAAAATAGTGAGAACCAAAAAAAAAAACTTTTCAGACTGGGAATGTCTTCTTTTGCATGATGAAAAGGCCATGAATTTGGCTGAGTTGTTATCAGAAATAATGATCTTGTACACCCTTCCTTCCTCCCCCCTAACTTCCATACCTTTTCTTCCCCAGTGAATAGGAGAGACTTACAGTTTAAAAACTGGGATATTCTGAACCCCAGAGCTTTTAAGCAATAACCATTGCCTAGTCACTAGCCTAGCCAGAGGAGATGAAAATTTGGGAAATGCACTGGAAAGTCACTGTAAATTAAGGTGATATCTCTGACCAAGATGCTGTTCAGTCCATTTGGGGTTTTCTTGGCAAAGATCCTGATATGGTTTGACATTTCCTTCTCCAGCTCATTTTACAGATGAGGAAATTAAGGCAAACAAGGTTAAGTGACTTGTCCAGGGTCACACAACTATTAAGTGTCTAAGGTCAGATTTCCAGGCCTGGTGCTCTATCTACTTCACCACCTAGCTGCATCCTGTCCAAGGCGACCATGCCCCAAATCAGAAGAGTCTAAAGGTTAAACCTAAATAAGGGATCTGCTAATTAGCTTGACTGCTCTTTGTTCTAAAGATCTTCTCACCTGGGGTTGATAAACTCCTACTCCAATACTTGGAGGAGGCACAACTAGAAAGGTTGGTCTTCCCATAAGAGTGCTTACATTTTCTGAAAAAGCAGACTAAACGAGCACCACCTCACCCAGGGATTTCAGGCAAGCCAGAAACTGGAGGCACTGAAGACTACAACCCAACAGTGTCCAGCAGCATCCAGCAAAAGTAAGACTAGCAAAGCTGGCAGAAACAGCCCAAAGCAATCAGTGCAGCATTGGAAATGTGAGTTCCCTGGTTTCCCTTTTTTATTTCTCTGGGTGCCTAACCTCCAAACCAACACTGTGTGTATTTATGGAAGAGTGTATTCTTGGATTATCAGGGGCAATTTTTTTCATACATTTCATTAAATGTCTTTGCTTTGAGCCAAATGTGTCTCTCATTGACTATTAAAGGTAAACCCATGAATGGAGGCTCATAAACTATAATAACGTGAGCTACAGAGTACCTTGAACCTGGGTGCCTGTGCCCTGGGGAATTCATCCTGTCCCCAAGTGTTGCTTGTACAAACATGGAAGGAGACAGAATATGATAAGGGCAAAGGAAAAGTGAAGATAAAGTGTTTTTAGAAATATAAGAAGAGGTCATTTAATTGAAGAATCAGAGAAAACCCCAGGGTACCTAAGTAGGGCTTTGGTGAAAAAGAACTTCAACAGTCAGAGACAGGAGAGGATAGAATTAGATTAAGGAACGTCTATTTGTCCAATTTGGCTAAAACAAAGAGTACATGAAGGGGTGTGGAATAAAGCGACTCTGGAGTATTATGGTACCTTATAGAAAGGTTAGGTTGGAAATAGATTGTAAAGGGCCATAAATGGGAGTCTCTGTTTTCTCCTCTAGGCAACTGCATGTTATGGAGATTATTTTTGTTATCTGGGTGAAAGACAGATTGGAGAAGAGAGAGAGGGACTGGAGGAAGGGAAACCTGTTAGATTATTTGCAATAGTTAAGGCTACATATAACTAGGACATGCATGGTGGCAATAAAATCTGGAGTGCACTTGGAAAAATCTGGAGAGGACCTGGAAACTGACTGAATTTGTTGTAGGGGAGAAAGAAAAAAAGTCAGTTATAGCTCTGAGGTTTTAAGCTTGAACCAGTGGAAGGATGATGGTACAATTAACAAAAACTGGGAAGTTAGGAGGAATGGCAGGTTTTAAGAGAAAGATGAGGAGTTCTACCTAAGGATGGCATTACTATCCACATCTGTGAGTGAAGATGAGGAAGGTCTGTGCACCACTGTTACCTGTTTTTTCCAAAGCTGAATCAGTGAGTAACTAACTCCTAGCACTTTTATAGTTCTCCTGCATTTTAGACCTTGGACTGGGAATCAGGAGCCCTGGGTTCTAGACCAGCTTCCGGCACTAACTAGAGATGTGATCTAGGGGTCACTCACTGATTTTGTTCATGGTGACTGGAACTCACCTCCACATGCCATTGCTTTCCTAGGGCATTGACCACTCGGCCTTCAATGGGCCTCCGGCAAGCTCCACAAATGGGAATCCCCATCTTGTCATGGCAGGGCAGACAGTAAAGTTCCCCTTTCAGCTCTCTGGCCTCCGCAGTCAGTTCTTTCCTAGAACATAAATATAGAATCTTAGGAGAACAAAGAGGCACTGGGCTTTGCCAATGGTTACTTCCTGTCTCTGATTGTGATGGTTTTGGACATTCTTCCAAAAACAGAAATGTAAAGCAGAAGGGAGATTTCAAGTGCCCAGATCCTTTAAACTCACCATTTTCCATGCCTTTTAGGGTGTTTTAGCTGGTGGGGAATTCTCTTAACTAAATAGAAGAGAGTAAATAGCAAATAGAAAAGTAAACAGAAAAAAATCTTATTTTTAATATGTTCTATTTAGTCAAACTTAATTCCACAAAGTCTCACACAAAGCACTCTTTAAAAAAAAATTATACTGTGCTCTCCTAATTAGGACTGGTATTCTCCACTCAAGTCCTACTCAGAAGACTCATCTTGGCATGGAAGTGACCTTGGGTTCTCAAAGGCTATGCTAGCTAAGCTCTGGTAGGTCCTAGCAGGCTAGAAAGGTTTCAGATACAGGTCCATTGATGGTCTCTGTGTCCATCACCCAAGGATCAGCTTGGCTAAATGGAGAAAGGCTCATAATTAGAGACTTAGCCGCCAGGTAAGAAATCATTTTGGCCATAGAAACTCACGGATAACATTTACTAAGCTGTGGAGGAGCTGTGATCTGCTTTGGAGATAACATCTACACTGATGAAATCTTTTGAAGTTCTGAAGTTAAAGAGTACTGTCTTGGTATGTTTCTTGAGTGTTGACCCTGCCTCCTCAACCAGACTGTATATTTCCTGAAGACAAAGACTATGCCTTCTCCTTTTCTTGATCCTTCAGAGCACCTAGCACAAGGAGGGATGTACAGGAGGAGCTATAATAGAAATGTCTGTCCAGCTACATCTTTCACAATGCTAGGGGTCAATCATGCATTGGGACTTATTCATAGGGATAACCAGTATAAGAATTCACTGGGGGCAGGAAGACATAGGGAGAAAGAGCCATCCACAAATCTGCTTGCAGGCTGTCAAAAAAAGAGCTGAGACAGCAACAGCTAGATGGTGCAGTGGATAGAGCACTGGCCCTGGAGTTAGGAGGACCTGAGTTCAAATCCAGCCTCAGACACTTGATACTTACTACCTGTATGACCCTAGGCAAGTCACTTAACCCCACTGCCTAGCCAAAAAGAGAGAGAGAGAGAGAGAGAGAGAGAGAGAGAGAGAGAGAGAGAGAGAGAGAGAGAGAGTGAGAGAGAACTGAGATACAGAGATGACCTCCTTCTGGGACTACAGTGACAGCTAAGAGGTCAATAAAAAAATAGACACAGAATGGCTGAATCTTTATCCTCCCACCTCTTCTCACCTCCCCCATCAAATCCATCTGGCTACATGAGGCACTTTCTCTACCTGGAGAATGAGTTTTCCTGGGGTTGCTCCATACTGTTTCCTCCAACATTCAGTCAGGGAGGAGACATGAATCTCAAACTCTATTCTTTTGCTAATTTTTAATATCCCAATTAAATGTTTTGCTTTTAAAACATTGCCTGCTAGCAAACCAAGTTCAAACGATTTTAGAAATTTGGACAGGAACCTGAGAGGGCTCGGTTTCACCTATTTCCAAAACACCCCACTTTGACCCCAGTAATCCATGGGAACTCCAGAGTAGAGAGCAAAACAGGCTACGGAGTTCAGCAAAATCTTATTGATTAAGATGAATGGCTGGTCCTGCCATTTAGGCTGAAAGGCCCTGACGGACAGCATGTTTGCCAGGCTTCCCCAGATGCCAGGGCACTCACCCACAGTGGGTACAGTTGAAGTGGTCTGGATGGTAAGAGTCATTCTTGAACATCAAGGGCTGCTCATCAATAATCAGGTGACACTTCTGGCAGATGTACTTGCCCAGGCCCTTGGCTTTCTCCCGATTGTGACAGGGTCTGCACAGGTGCCTGAGAGAAGATGGAACAGAGGGAGCATCAGACACCAATAGTCACCACCTTCTCCTGAGGCCCCACCCCTGCCAGTTTATGTCCTGTCTCCTGGGCCTTCCCAGCATCACTGATGCCTGAAACACATGGGAAATGACCATCATGGTACAAGGTACAAGGGTTTGGAGCCAGAGGATGTCGGTTCACCTCTCGGTTCTGTTACTTACACAAGATCAAGAGGCTGTCATTTAACTTCTCCAGGACTTTGTTTCCCTTTTTGTAAAATGAAGGGATTGGACTGGAAGTCCTCTACCAAGTTTCCTTTCTGTTCTAAATCTTTGATTCTATTCCAAGCCCTGAAGTCTACAGATTTGAATAATATCTTTGCTTCCTCAAGGAGCTGGAAGAAGTCCAAACCTATTCTCCTTCCTTTGGAGGCTTGGAAAAGGTGGGGTGTGTTTGTACTTCTATACATCCTTCCCATTCCTCAAGATTAGCAAACCCAGAACTGGAGACCTATTATATGTCTTTATAATAAAAATTATTTTTAAAGTATATAAATATGCATAAAGGAAATACATAAAATGAGAAAAGTAGAAGCAAATACAGGATAATGGAAAAACATTTTTCAAACTGTAAATAGTTTTTGAATGTTGGTTCAGTTTTACACCAGTTTTAAAAGCCAAATATAAAAATGTCAGTTTTAAAACCTCCACACTTACAAAATCCTTAAAAAAACTCTGATGATCTCAAAATGGTTTCTAACACTATTCAGTGTGAAACAACAGCTGTGTCCCCTGGCATGTGGGAGAAAAAAAATCAGGGTGAATGTCTGACAAAATAGTGGGTAGGAGTTTAAATTCTGGGTTATTTAACCCTGAGCAATATTTTGCAAAAGGTCCTCCTAGAACCACCCTTACCCTGCACCTCCTCTACTGAGCCTGGTTGGACTGTGGCTCCAACTATAATTTTTACTGAATATCTGGGGGAATCTGAATCTAGGGTGGCTTCTGCTGGTATATGGGAATCTTTGAGCTCATACGAACTTCTGTGTGTGTGTGTGTGTGTGTGTGTGTGTGTGTGTGTGTGTGTGTGTATGTATATGTGTATGTGTACAGAACCTTCCTCACTTTCTGCAGACTTAATTCCTAGCATCCAAATACTACAAGTAACATCAGGCAGAAAGGGTGTCCATGAGACATTGTAAGACTAGTTATGACATTCCTAAAAAATCACCTCCATCATCCCACTCTACCGATCAAGAACTATACTGGTTGACAACAGCCTATCCCACTGAGTTTAAACTCCTCTACCTATTATTCAGCCGACAGGGATAACTAGATGGCTCAGTGGATAGACGTCTGGACCTGGAATCAGGAAGACCTGAGTTCAAATGTGACCTCTTACATTACTGACTTCAAATGCTTAAAGGCGGTTATCATGCCCCCTTTAAGGCTCCTCCATGCAAAATATTCTCAGTTGCTTCAGCTGAACCTCATACGATGTCCAACTCAAGATGCCTCATCTTGTTTACCATTCACTAGATGCTCCCTAGCTTATTTAATGCCTTTCCCAAAGAGTAGCACCCAGAAACAAACTCAATAATCTATCAATAAACATTTTAAAGTATTTACTGTGTGCTAGGCACTGTGCTAAGCACTGGGGATACAAAAAGAGGCAAAAGACAGTTCCTGCCCTCAAGGATCTTACAATCTAATGGGGCAGACAACATGCAAACATATATACATATAGAGAGAGAGACAGACAGACAGACAGAGACAGAGAGAGAGTCCAAGCTATTTGCAAGATAAATAGGAAATAATTAACAGAGGGAAGGCACTTGAATTAAGAGAGATTGGAGAAGACTTTCTATAAAAGACAGGATTTTAGTTGGGACTTAAAAGGAAGCCAGTGTTGTAACCAATGGAAAACACAGCAGCTCTACTGCCTCTCTAGTCCTGGTAAACACAATGTCTTTCGTAATGTCAGTCCCTTCTTGACTGCCATAACTCACCATTGGCTCACCTTGTTGACTCACATTCAGCATGCAATCCACATAGGCCTTCAGTTGCTTTTCGGGCTACTCTCACTCTTGCCTGTAAACCTGTTGCTGTTCAGTTGGGTCTGACTCTCTGTGACTCCATTTGGGGTTTTCTTGGCAAAGATACTGCAGTGGTTTACCATTTCCTTCTCCAGTTCATTTTACAGAGAAGGCAACTGAGGCAAACAGGGTGAAGTGACTTGCTGAGGATCACACAGTCTGTGTCTGAGGCTGCATTTGAACTCAGGTCCTCCTGACTCCAGGGCCAACACTCTATCCAATGTGCCATCTAGCTGCCCCTACCATGCAGTCCAAACAGCTGGTGTTTTAGTGGTAGGAAGCATGGCATAATGGGAAGCACCCAAATTTAGAACTGGAAGACTTGAGTCTGGATGCTGGCTCTGCACTAACCTACTGTGTGATCTTAAGCAAGTCACATAACCATTATAGGTCTCGGTTTCCTCATCTGCAAATTTTTTTAAAAAAAAATTAATGATGCAGTTGGGTTAGATGATATATAAGGTGTACTAGCATAGGAGGCAGTGTAATATAATAAAATATCCCTGACTCTGGAGTCAGGAGACCTGGGTCCAAACACTGCCCCATTTACTACTTGTGTAACATCGGGCAAGTGCCTGGGTCTTAGTTTCCTCAACTATAAATTGAAGTTGTTGGACAGGATGGCCTTTGAGAGCCCTTCCATCTCCAGATCCAAGATCCTATGATGAATTAATGTCTATTCTCAACTTCGGACCTTTTACCTAAGCTATTCCCTCTACTTGCCTAGTCCCCATCCTCCCTTCTCTGCCTGTCCAAACCTAACTGTCCTTCAAGGCCAAGCTTAAATCCCTTCTCTTCCATAAAATGTCGACTTTCAGTGATTGCTAGCTTTTTCTAAACTGCTATGTATTTATTGTCCCCACCCCACAATTCAGCCCTTAAATCACATACTAATAATAACAATTATTATGTAATTACATGATAATCACATTGTTCTCTCAGTGTTTCAAGTATGGATGTCTTGCATCACCAAGCTCTTGGAGACAGGATCCATTTCTCTCGGATTCCACACAGGAACCAGGTACATAATATACGCTCATTAAGTTTTCGTTGGTTGATAGTTGTGTATGAAATTACAAAAAGTGTCCAGCAGGGGTCACTGGCAGAGGGGCTAAGTGGCTAGCTCCTGGTTTCTTTTACAAAGAATTTTTCTACCTTCCTGTCTGTGAGCTCTTATTTCTAGCATTTTCATCTCCAAACTCAGACACCTGAACACCCTAACAACATAAAAACAGAAAGAAAAAACTTTAACGGGCAGGGAAAGCAATTATACTTTCAAACTCTAGGGGTAATGTTTAGCACTGTTCTCTGGTCTTTATCCCAGATTTGGGGAGAAAGCTTTAAAATTTAGTCTCCCATACTGAAATGTTTGGACAAGGGGTGGGTTTGGTTAAATTTAGAATTTTTTTTAAAATTTGGTCTCACCCTTAGAATAAAGAATGAAAGAATTTAACAGAACTTGGTTTGTATTTAAAACTCTTGCGGGCTTGAAAAGACGAGTGGAATTAGTTATTTTACTGATCATCTATGTGACCAGAGAGGGAAGAGAAAGTCTTGGTCAAGAGAGCAACCCTTGGGTGAATTAGAAAATCATTTTCCCTCTCTCTTTCTCTCTCTCTCTGTCTCTCTCTGTCTGTCTGTCTCTCTCTCTCTCTCACACACACACACACACCTCTAACCACATCTAAAACACACTGCCTGCCCTCTCCACGTTTCCAAGATGTCACTAATCAAAGACAGTTAAATGACAGAGAAAGTACTAGTGCTCACTTTATGGGTCATCCTATTTCTCTAAAATGGTGACTCCCAGACTGAGCCCAAGTTTTGCCTGTGAGGGGTAGACAGCATCCTATTATTAGGAAGTATGCAGCTGTGCTCATCTCCAGATAAAAGCATCAATTTATTCAACTATGCTTAATGGAGGCTAATTATACAGGGCAGGACACAAGGACCCTACAGCAACTGTCCTGAAAGAGTCCCCTCTCATTTAGCCAAACAAGGGCTCCTCAGCTTTTCCCACTGGCTGACTATTATCACCCCCTCCCCATTCACAAACTCTCTTGCTGCCCCATAGACCCCCCTCTATTGCCTGCCAAGTGCAGTCTTAGAAGCACAGACTCGTTGCCATGGTAGCCAGCCCCTTTGCCCCCCATTCCTACTGTTATGGAATGATCCCATTCTGAAATGTCCTGTTGTGTCTATTAATACCAGCCAGATTCACCCCTCCAGTCCCATCCCCCAACCTCTCTACCTCTCCTACAATAATCACAGACTCAAGAAAATCCAAGACTCGGGGTTCAGAAAGGATTTGGCTCTGGGGGCGTGAGGGGGAGGCGGGGACCACAGTGGAATATTCATAAATTAGAAAAGCAGGAGAAAACTCCCCTTCTTGACAAGGGGTTCTACAGGGATGAAGCCTGTCTTTCATAGAGGGAAATGGACCCCCCTCTCTTCCCTCTCTTGCTCCCTCCCTCCCTGCAGCGTGAAGGAGCTGCTAATACCCACTCCGGGCTAACTGCCTTCTTTATATACAAGGGCTCCCTCCTCCAACCCTCACTAAGCCTACGCTGACCCTTCTGCTGCAATGCCCTAAGGACCCTCTGGCTGACTTCACTTTGCCCTTCTCTTCTCCCTGACTTTCCGGCATCAGAGAAACATACTGGACCCCACTCCTGAGCCTTTTTCTTCTTTCCTGGGAACTGTGAGAGGTAAGGGGATTTACAAAAAGAGGGAAAACACTACTCCCCGTGCAAAGAAATGAGATTGTCAAAGCTTAAAGAAAGAAATCAGGGCTGTAAGGGAATGATAAACTATTGATGATGTAATAGACTAATTTCCTAAGCAAACAAAATATAAACTGGTGTGCAAATTCCACTTTAGTGTGATCTCTTCTTTCCCTAACAGGTCCTTTGTATAGTTTAATTCGTGGCTTTCTAAGTCTCAGCCTGACATATCCTAACTATTTCTTGTAGGACTGGTTCTTGGCCAGGCTTCTAATTAACAGACTACCTCACCTCCGGATCTGACTTTATTTATCCCTGGGGCTGGCAGCAAGCCTAGATGCATTCCACAGATCCAGAGGAACATCTGTGGAAACCTGTGGAGATTTTTCAACTTTACACATCTCCTTGCTTTAAAATGCAAGAATGAGGTGTTTGGGAAAATGTTCATCTTAAAAAAAAAATAGCCTTGTCTTTCCCAACCCAGTGATCGATTCAAGAGTGATATCACTGAAGTGTGAAATTCTGTATTCAGTTTGAGCATTCCTAGTTAACCTGATTTTGTATCATTCAAAGTCCTATGTTATAGTCCAACCTCTCATGAGTGCTGGTGGCCTTGGAAGGCAACAACTCCTTCAAGAGCCAATTCTTCCATTGCAAAGCCCACCCAAGCAGATACGATGCATTTACACAAATGCTTTAGAAAGCAAAAATATGCCTTAAGCCTAGACGTTCCTAAGAGCCCTTCTTCTTTCTGCCTGATAATGCCACAATAACCACAAGGTGGCTGTCAGGCTCAAGCAGTTTCTCCTGTGACTTTATTTACATTTTCATCAAATAAAATTACTGCTTTGGGGATCAGTGTGGACCAGCCATCCAAGCCCTAGAACTGGACCTTTGGCTCTAATTCCAAACTCTAATTCTTAATTTAGCAGTTTCCTGATCTGAAAATGAGATCCATAATATTTACTTATCCTTTAGGGATGTAATTAACTACCTGAGAAATTCACTCTTTCATTGTTCATGATTTCCAAGTCATTTGAAATTGGGAAGGAAGCCAGGACAAGCAGCTGGAACACTCTACCATATGCCAGGGTGCAATCACTCCTTGGCTGATTTCCTGGCTCTACCACCGTCAGGCGGAGGAATGACCTCTCAAGGCCTTTTACAAGCTATGTAATCTTGGCATAGGTTTGAGCAAATTAACCTCTCCATGCCTCAGCTTTCCAATCTTTGGAGCAGGAATAATAAATAATACCCAATTTCCAGACTAACATAAATGCTTTGAGGATAGGAACAAATTCTCATGCTGTTCTTTGGTCATCTCATGTAAAAGGTTCAAACCTAACCATTTATTTGACAACTAATCATGCTCTATTTTAGACCGTTATCTTTTCACGTATGTCTTATCCACCACCCATCATCCTTCTCCAGAAGTTCTACTCCTGATGTCTTAGCATGATGGGGAGGTGACCCTGTGTTTACAGGCCATTGCCAGTGAAATGCCAACTCTGACAGGGGTTAAACCTGCTTCAAGCACGGGATGGTATGTCTGCCACCCAAAGATTAGTATAGCTAGGTCCAGAAAGACTCACTGTCAGAATGCTGACTACCAGATAGATCTGTCCATTCTTCCTTTCTTTCTTCCTTCTGCCTGCTATAATAACTCATAATAGCTCTTTACAAAAAGCATCAATGGAAAAGAGTACCCACACATATTTGATCATGGATCTTTGAAGCATGCCTCCCTTTTTTTAGTTTTATAAAGACATCATTATTGATACATTTTGTTTTCACATCACCTATACTCCCAAATATATCCTTTCCTGCTCCTCCTCCCAGAGAGCCATCCCTAATGACAGAGGGGGAAAAAAGCAATAATGGCAAAACTAATCAATGTTACATCTGAAAAAGTCTGACATTTCTATTGTTATAAAACTGTAATCTTTCCACCACCTCTGCAAAAAAGGGATTTCTTTCTATCAAAAGAGGGAACTTTCTCATAACATGAAGCATGTCTTATTGCCATCTAGATTATAAGCATCTTGAAAGCTGTCACACAGTGGATACAGGTCTGGACCTGGAGACTTGGGTTCAAATCTTGTCTCAGAAACTTACTAGCAGTGGGACCATGAGCAAGTCACTTAACCTCTGCCTGCCTCAATTTCCAATTATATAAAATAAGGATAATAATAGCACCTATCTCTCAGAGTTGTTGTGAGGATAAATGGCACAATATTTGTAAAAGCACTTCACAAACCTTAAAATACTAAACAGTAGTAGCAGTAGTAAAAAAAAATAACTAATGTGAGCATTAAATAATATATGATCTGTGGAACAATTAACTCTTAGAGCAGTATGGTATAATGGATAGAGAGTTGGCCACAGTGTCAGGGAGACTTTATTTCAAGTCCCATCTTGACACATACAGGCTGTGTGACCTTAGTTAAGTCACTTAACTTTTCATTGTCCCAGATAATGCTCTAAGACTAATAAATTAAAGAGTAGATACAGAGTAGAGAGTTTCCCCAGGCATTTCTACTACCAATTAAAAAGAACAACAATAACCAATTAACTCTAGAGAAGGGCAACATTAGAAAGCTCTTATGTTGGAATTCAAAGCGGAACAATTAGTAACAAATTAAAATACTTGGAAGCTGGGGCTGAGATGGAGAATGGTGATCCTGAATTACATTGTTACTTTTAAGGCACAGCCTAATGTCAGAAGCTGGGCCTCTAGGCAATTCCCAGTTTGGTCTGCTCATTTTTGCCCCTTCCCTTTCAGATGGTCCTACTGTCACATACATAGCTGTCTCCAGAACACATGTGCTCCTGTGCTCCCTACTTCTGACTCTGGGATCCCTTAAGGGAGGTTTCTTCCCTAATATCAACTATGTCTTCTGGCATCTGCCAACTCATTGTGTGGTCTTAGGCAAAATAACAAATTCCCGTAGGCCTCCATACCCTCACCTGCGGGGGGGGGGGGGGGGGGGGGGGGGGGGGGGGGGGGGGGGGAATGATAGGTCTTTGAACTGAAAGGGACCTTGAGGAAACACTCAGTCTACCAGTAGTGAGTAGCAGGGCCTAGTCTCGAACTCAGGTCCTAATCGCCCATCTAGAGCTCTTCTCCTCTCTCCAGATAATGTCTAAGGTCCTTTTGAATAGCAACATTCTCTAATGTTGCTCCCTGTCTGAGTCTAAGCAACATGCAGAGGAGAGGCAAGTCCTATGTGGTAGGATAGAAGACTTTTCCTCAAAGCTATTGATACTCTATGTAGAACATTGTCCTACACGGCACAAGTTAAGGTCTGTCCTTGGACAAAATTGAAGACCAGCAGTTTTGTTCCCAGTACTTTCTTACATCTCTTTTTTTTGGAGTTGCCTCCCCTTTAGCCACCCTGAACACCCATAGGGGAAAGGGGGCAGGAGGGTGGGAATGTCATCAGGGTCTACCCTTCTAAAGGTAGTCTGTTCCAAAATAATTCCTCCCTACTGCCCTTCCATCAAAATTTCCATGAGTTCAGTAGCCTAATCTCACCCGTCTTCAAGAAAGCCACATCATTAAACTAAATCATACTAAGTCCTAAATGGCTTAATAAATAAATTAATCTGGGGGGAGTGGAGGGAAGGAGTTAAAAAATGGCCAGGAACTGAATTTTATGCCTATGCCAATCCAAAGAAATTAATCCATAAGGATGAATTTCAAGTACCGGGGCAGGCTAATAAGGAGGTCGAGGAGGCAGATATTTGAGGCAGGAAGGTTTTCTTGGCACCTGTAAAATCATGCCAGGTAGGCATCTGCCTGTTCTCCATACAGATCACTTTACATTTGTTCTACTGATCAGATACATAAGTACCTTGGGCTATTTCCCCTCTATCATACAGTACTTTCTCACTCTCTCCTCCTCCTCCTTCTCTTCTTCTTCTTCTCCTTCTCTCTCTCTCTCTCTCTCTCTCTCTCTCCTCTCTCTCTCTCTCTCTCTCTCTCTCTCTCTCTCTCTCTCTCCCTCCCTCCCTCCCTCTCTCTCTCTCTCTCTCTCTCTCTCTCTCTCTCTCTCTCTCTCTCTCTCTCCTCTCTCTCTCTCCCCTCCCTCCCTCCCTCCCTCCCTCCCTCCCTGTAACAGGATGGGCCCAAAGAATAGCCCACAGGAAGGTATCACTAAGAAGATCTATTTGCTTGTAAAACATCATAACCCATTCCAAAGATCAATCACTTTCCTCTCAGCCCATGCTCTTCCATTACCTCTGCTCACCTCCATTATTATCAATAGAATTTTACTGCAAACATAAATGTTATAAATAGACCCAGAGGTATGCAAGGCCACAATCAGAAATGCAGAAGTTCTACTCATTTAACCTTTCATACATTCACACCCAGGGCCTTTTTTCTTGATAGGGAAGCAAATATGAAATGATTAGAGCAGGAGACTCATACCTGGAATTTGAGGTCCCCCAAAGGGGAATCAGAAAGATGGGTGATGTTTCAACGTACAGCAGAGATGAGTAATAATCACAAGCATATAAAAGGGGAAGAAGCTGCTCCCTCATCAGAGAGCTAACAGGGGTCAGCAGCTGGACCACTTCAGGTCAGTACAGTGGTTTCAAAACAGAGTCAGTCTGCTCCCATCCTTCTTTTTCTGTTTTTCCCAGCTTACTAAAAAGCTTGATTTTTGAGTGACTAGTAGGAAGGAAGCAGTAGGAGTGAAGTAAGTAGTGTGGGGGTGAGTTTGGAATCTAATCCTCCTTCCCTACTCTGTTTATTTTGCTTCTTTAAAGTACTGAAGTCAAAATTCAGGAGTGAGTCATTCAGTGAAGGAAGTGTGAGGTTAGTCTTTCCAATGGCATCTTTCTGAGTCACTCTTGTCTAGAACTCAGCCCAAAGAGAAGTGATCTGGAAGGAAGCCTTATCTCAGCCATAGTTCCTTTTTCCAGGAAGGTGAGTAGCTGCTGTTTTAGTAGGTTTGGTTTTAGATGTAGATTGCTGGAAT